TTTTTTTTTTTTTTTTTTATCTAGTTTGAAAAATGACCCCTGGTTTTGCAGTATTTTTTAATGCTTCAATGTAATCTTATCTGCTGAAATAAAAAGTAATTATTTATAAAACAATTTTTTTATATTTACCAAGTGTTTCTTCTATATTTGGGCTTTCATTTTCTGATAATTTCTTTATTTGAGAGGTACAGTTCTCAAATTTCTTGTTACTTTGATATGCTTCATATATCATGTGCTCTATATTATTAATTAATATTAAAATATTCAAATTATAAATACTTTATTAAATATTAATAAAAATTATTTTATTATGAGCTATAAATCTATTAATCTTTTTACACGTAACATAAATACAAAATATCACATACAAATACCACAAATATGAATAGACAAATTACAGCCAAATATTTATAATAAAATCTAAAAATTTTAAGGGAAAATTATATTTTGTTTACTTTAGAGCAGTGGTTCTCAACCAGGAGTACATATACCCCTAGGGGTATGAGCGTAAATCAAAGGGGTACATCTAACTTTCATTATAAAATGGCGTATGTTAATGAATTTGCTGTAAATTATTAATGCAAGAAATGACAAGAACTTGCTTTAAAATATCCCAGTATGAACACCGATTTCCCTTTTAACAGTACAAACAACTTGTTTATCCACTTGATTTACCTGTCTATTTGTGCCATTAGTGCTGAGTGAACCTGTAGTCTAGTAAAATTTTGATTTAACCGAGCATTAATTTTAGAATAGATGTCAGCAGATTGGCAGTACTTTTAGTTTTTGTGAAATATCAGTACAACAATTAGATTTGCGAAGATTTGTTAATGTGCGATGGCCTAAAATATACAACTATGGGTTTTGACATTTTCAACAAAATTGATGTTTTCATTCAAAGTAATGAAATAGATTGGAAAAAGTGCATCGACATCTGCACTGATGGAGCTAAAGCTATGCAAGGTCCAATTTAAAAGATCTAAAGAAAACTTTTACCATTTTAACAATAGTCAAGTTCAAAAACCACTTGTTCACAATTCACAAACGTTTATATTAACAATTAAAACTTACATACAGTTATGAATTTCACAAAAATAAAACAATTACAATAATTCAGATAGAGCAAAGTTCAAATGTCAATTAAACCACAACAACAGGTCCATCAAAAAGGACTCCTTGAGATGTATTCCTTCAGACGTTGGTTACCACAGAGCGAGACAAAACAACCTTCTAGGCAAGCTTAGACAAAGCTAAACAAACTTGAGTTCCCTGGATAAGTCTTAGGTGAACTGAACTTCCCGCCTAAATTCAATCCTTTTATATGGATTGAAACGAATGTAAGTCCTCCAATCAGCGCTTAGTAGCGCTATTGGAAGTCCACTGGTCGTACGATGTTTTCTAGCCAATCTGTGGTCGAGTTCCAAAACTACTAACATCGCCAGATCTGCATCTCCATGATGATGTCCATTGGTCATTTGAAAACAGGAAAAGCGCTGGAAATCGTACGTCCAGACGATTTATCCCAACAACAACATATTTGTGACAAAAACTAAAAAAAAACAGGCTTGACACATCAGCAGATATCGTTGTCAGTTAACAAGGTGGGAACCAAATTTTGAAAAAAATTGCTGAAGATTTATTGCAACAAATATCCCATTAAATTGTTAGAAATTATTGTAAAATAATTTAAATTTTGTTTATCGTTAATTATAATTATTTATTTTTAGGAAATGTAATTTATGCATGTATTGAAATGACTTCTGTGATTTTATATAATATACTTATCAAATAATAATAAATAAATGTATGNAAATTGATTCATAAAGAACGGAACGTTTTATGCGTCTTATAGAATGATCTACTTTATATTATTTTATATAATATACTTATCAAATAATAATAAATAAATGTATGTACAGTACCTGTTTAAATTGCTTATTATTTACGTAAAATAGGTAATCCACTTTTAGTTATAGTTAATTAACGAGAGTTTTTTTATGGCACTCAGTTATAAGGGCTGTATAATCTAACACAGTAGTTATAAAATTTACATACAGAAATATAACGGGTACTTGCGAAACAGCTAATGAGCTAATGGGGTACATCAACAAAAAAAGGTTGAGAACCACTGCTTTAGAGCATTATATATTTTTTTTTAATGTAATTAAAATTAATAAACAAAATTATGATTTAAACTCTACTAAATTTTAAAAATCTTACAAATAAATAAAACATAAATACATTCACTGCTTATTCACTAGTTTACTATAGAAATTTATTGTATTAATATAATAAAGACAATTTTATTAAACAATGAGATAAATTTAAAAAATTCATAAAAACTGATGATAGCAATATATAGATATCAATTATTTTGTATCTATTAAATGTAAATCATGACAATATTGCTATAGCAAGAACAATAGTAGTTCAAAATTAACTAATCAAACAGAGCACTCTTTCCATTTAGTGTGTGTCAAATATACTATTGTTCTAAAACCTAATATAATAAAGAAATTGATGATAAATTTCCAATAAAATTCAAGCTAAAGTAAGTAAATATTGGATAAATATGAATTACTTATTTTTAATTTAGAATCACTTTCAGTGCATAAAAACTGACATATAAAAGTCTTACAATTATAATACTGTACTTTGATAACAATCATTTCATTAAAAACATGAAAAATTATCATATGTATATCAAAAACATTAAACCATTTTAACTTTTATGATTATATTTTAAATTATAAATTAATTTCTTAACTAACTGAGGTTTTAATCATTGATTCTGCTTGTTAATCAGAGCTAAAACTTTCTGTTTACAGATATATTGAATATAAATTTATTCATTCAAATAAGTATTATATATAAAAAAGTAAATAAATTACATAAATTTAAATTTTACCTGGCTTTTCAGTTCCAGTTCTACGAAGCTGTATGAAGAGTTCTATATCATTTTCTATAGAGCAGTTTTCTAATGTTTTACGAATTTCTTCATTCATCTTAGAAAAGAATAAGACATCAATAAAAAATAAAATTTGAATTCATAAAAGAAAAATAAGTGACTCACATCATCTTCATTTACACATTGTAAAGAACTTATATTTGTTAATATCCACATGGAATTTCTTAGTGCATCAATTCTTTCTTCTTCTAATTTTTGAAAACACTAAAATAAATAATGTAAGTTTAACATTTCCACATGGTTAAAATGTCTTAATAATAATTGTTATATGCAAAAAATACCTCACATGTAGAATACATTTCGTTTTCCCAAAGCTGATGAATTTCTTCAAGAGATTCTAAAGATGAACTATATGTCAAATTTAAATTTTCTATAATTTGTTCTATTCTATTATGTTTCTGAGTCAACTGTAAATAAAAAATTTATATAAATCAACTTTCATACAAAATACATCAAATATGATTAAAAATATCAATAATAAAAATTAATCATTGTCAATCTATTTCCTTCCTTCTTACTTTTCTTTCTATGAATACATATTTTCATTTAAACAACTCTATTAATTTGGACTTCCTCTAGATCAGTGTTTCTCAACGGGGGCGATATCGCCCCCATGTTGAGGGGGTGATTAGTAACAATTTATATTTTGGGGGGTGAAAAACAATTTTCTGGGCGACATAGAAAAACATTATATTAAGAATAATTAGATATATTATTCGTTATATCGTACAATAATTAAACAAATAACATTATACTAGTCACAAGTCTATTCAATGCAGTACGAATTTGGTGTTAGTCTTGGTCCTCGGCATCGGTATTTTGGAGTGAAGGGGACGATACTACATAACGGTTGTATTGAAGGGGGCGATACTACGTTGAAGGGGGCGACGATTCGTTAGAGGTTGAGAAACACTGCTCTAGATAAAGCTATAAATATAGTTCATATAATATATATATACATTTAAGAATGTTCATAGTATTAAAATTAATTTTACTATATTATTTATATATCTCAAAATATTTTCTCCTCAATTAGAAAATTCAACAAGTAATATTTTTAAGTACAAATCTGTCTAATCAAATCTATAAATAAAAACAATGCTGTTATGATTAATTTTTCAATAAATGTCTTCATTAAAACTAATAAAAAATCCAGCAGCAAGGGTCATAACTTTCACAGTAAAAAAAATTAAAATTGTGTGTGGTGCCATCTGTTATAAAAAGATATTTAATAACATCTCATATTATTAATTATTATAAAATGACAAAAAGCTTAATTTTAAGGGTAGATAAATTTGATAAAAAATCATAAATGTTAATTATGAATAAAATCTTCAGTAAGTCTGATTCCACTAGAGATATGACATATGACCCCTCTATCTCTCCACTCTCTTGACCTTTAACCACCGAAATTTAACAGCATCAATGCCCCTTATACACAAACTTCCCTGAAAAATTTCACAAAATTTTGACAAAAAGCACAGGAATTATTAAGCTTCAAAGTGAAATGAACAAAATCACCAAAGTGAACATCCATAAATAGAGAAAACCTGCCAAACTCTTTTTGCATTTCTTGATGTGTCAAGGTCCCAAGTCCAAAAAACATAAAAATTGTTGACCGATCACAAGCTCTCTCTCTGTTATGTATAACAGGCAGGNACATCCATAAATAGAGAAAACCTGCCAAACTCTTTTTGCATTTCTTGATGTGTCAAGGTCCCAAGTCCAAAAAACATAAAAATTGTTGACCGATCACAAGCTCTCTCTCTGTTATGTATAACAGGCAGGAAAGTAAATTAATTAATTATTATTGAAGCACAAATTGATATATTCAATATGAAGGTAAAATTAAAATAATTTCAAATGTTAAGAATATTTCTAAAAAAATATGAATGCAACAAAGTATATGTCAATATATAAAATATACTATGAAACAATTCATTGCAAACTGAATATGTTGTGATATAATATTGAGAATGAAATATGACATAATGCAAATGACATTAAAAATACGAACAATTCCATAACACTCACTAAATAAACCATTCCCAGTTCATAACCAAACAGAAAAATTCTTTCTATGAACGTTTTCATCTATATGTAATAGACATCCTCAGGTATTGACGATATCGAACTAACGGNATATGACATAATGCAAATGACATTAAAAATACGAACAATTCCATAACACTCACTAAATAAACCATTCCCAGTTCATAACCAAACAGAAAAATTCTTTCTATGAACGTTTTCATCTATATGTAATAGACATCCTCAGGTATTGACGATATCGAACTAACGGCTGGTAGAATAGAATGTTTTTGAAAGTTCCGTTTAACTGCATTAATGCAACGTATTCGAATTACGTAGTTAAATGGAACTTTCAAAAACATTCTATTCTACTAGCCGTTAGTTTGATATCGTCAATACTTGAGGATGTCTATTACATATAGATGAAAACGTTCGTAGAAAGAATTTTTCTGTTTGGTTATGAACTGGGAATGGTTTATTTGGTAAAAGTTATATAATTAAGTATCCAGTTTTTTGAAATACAGTATACAAACAATTCCTTTATTTGTTCATTTTCTGTTCTATAAACTTCAGAAAAATGACTATTAAAAAAACAAAATCATCAATTGTTTATATATAGTCTGTATAAGAACTGTGAAACTAGTCAAATTATAAACGTAACTCAAAATACTTTACAGATCTAAATCAAAATTTGGATATTGATCTTTTTAATAAAAATAATATATTTCTTATTCATACTATTTATAATAAAACACATAATTTATACTATTTTTACTTTCTCTTTTTTATTCATTTTTTAAATATATTATTATATCAAAATATCTGTATCTAATTTGAATAAGGGTAATATTTGAAAAATTTTAAACTATTAATAAAATTTTATTTATTATATGAATATTTAAAAACTTAATGATTTAATTTTCAACACATTGAGAAATCCAATAAAAATACGATATATTAAAATATACATAAGCTCCAATTGTATAAAAATTTTATAGTTTCAATGTTTTGAAATGTTAATGTTGGAATGTTATTTATACAAGGTGAGTCAAAATTATGTGAACAATTTTGACTCACCCAAGGAGCTCATGTATAGTACAAAAGTAAGAGACCTCGAAGACCTCAAGGACAGAATAAAAGGTGTGATATCCAGAAATGTGTGTTCTGGCACTAAATTGTACTCTTGAACTTTGGTTTGAGTACATTAATCGTGCTGGTGGTCAGGTTGAGACTCTGTATAATGCAAACTTTGAGTAAATGCTTTCTCTCAAATAGTGTTCATATAATTTTGATTCGCCCTGTATATTATATCATTAAATCAGATTTTATGGCTGTATCATACTTGTTTATGTTATTGATACCACTTAAAATTTTTGCTGACATTTAGACTATCTTTCTATTATGTAATAACAACCTTTAATTTTTATTTTTTAGGATAAAAGTCTAATGAAAATCTTGAATAAAAATTCACATCATGTTCTAAAAATAAATGCATTAGATTTACTTGTAAGTAAATCTAATGCAAATTATAAAATGTATATAAAATAATTAATGTAAATAGCTTTCAAATGTCTAAAAAACACAGAAAAGTAATAATCTTTCAATGCAAACTTAAACATTGATATATTTTTTTTTATGATTAAATTATTAATAGAGTGGTCATATTCTTTCTTGTACAAATCAGGACAGCTTTTAAGAGCGATTAAAAAATGGATCTAAAAAATGGCTAAATAGATAATGTTTTTTAAAATTATTTATTTTTTGATATATAAATTGGTTATATTCCACTTATAAAATGATTCCATTTAAAATTTTATTCCATTTTTGAGAGCTAAAAACAGAAATCAGAGACTGTCCCAGACAAACCAGGATATACAGTCACCCTATATATTAGAATACTTTCTTTTCATTAATTCATTGTTAAAAAAATATTTTGTTAATAATATTTAATTAATTATAAGCAAATGAGAAGAGTAATTATTGTAATAATTAATTTATAATTCCAACATAAACAAATTTATTCTAAACATGCATAAACTAATATTTTAATATTTACTTCAATTAATATAATGTATTTTTATTTAAATTTTACTACAATTTTAAAATTTTAAACTAGAAAATTTTTAAAGAAATTTCATAAACAGTTCAAGTAAAAATACCTTTTCATATTCTTTACACTGTATATTTTGTCCCACAGATTGTAAAGTCTCTTCTATAACTTCCTTTTCTTTGCATCGTGTGTAATAAGTTTTCTTAGACTATAGAAAAGAATAATAGCAATTAATTTTAAATACAATACTGCAATTAATATGTTCATTTTAAAATAAACAAAACCAATTTTAAATATTAAAATTATAAAAATTGTAAAAAAAAAAAATTCTTGTAAAAGGGCTTCTTCATATTTAATTTTAAAATAAATATTTTAAACCTCATTTTATTTATTTTGTTATAAAAAACTAATTTGTCAAATTATACATGAATATGTTATTTTTTATATAATGGTATGAATATATAAATTTTACTAAATTTAAATACAATGAAAATAGAATAATAATTATAAACAATAGTTTTTATTTAAAATTTTTATAATTGAAATATTTCATTTACTTTACTTAAATAATATGTTATGCAATACTGTATATATTGTTTAATTTGTTTCACATGACATACATTTATTTACTATAATAAAAAACAAAACACATATTTTTCTCTTCATTGAACTAAATACAAATCTATTTATAAAAGTATTTAATTTTTATTCATTGAAAATATCAAAAATTCTTGTAAAATACATATAGAATTTATTTTCTCTGATGGCATANGAATTAGTCTAGAATCGATTAATTTTATGAAAGAAAACCTTTCAAACAGCCGTAGTCCGTAAACTATGATTCCTACAAAATTGATTCATAAAGAACGGAACGTATCTACCGTCTTATAGGGGGATCTACTGTATATTATATTATAGTATTTGATTCATATTTACAAAAGTTATATTACATAAGAGTTTATCACACCAAGTGACCAATCTAATAAATTTTAAAAATTCTTTAAATTGTGTACAGTAGAGGAATAAACAATTGTTAAAATGTGTTATATTGGTCACTCGATGTGATAAACCATTTCGTAAGATAACCTTTGTATTTATATAAATCAAATACTATAATATAGCAAACATTAAAACAAAAACCATATAAAAAGTTTGGTTATTTCAGCCTACCAACGTCACATTTATCGCCATACTCAGATGGTAAGAAATGGCACAAATTCAATAGTCAAGTAGACAGGAATTGAAAATATATCTTAAATTTTTCAGATATCATAATATTTTCTAATGTTAACTCTAAGAAACTGTACCATTCACAGCCAAATATCAAACGGTAATCCGCCAACCAATCAAATTTTGAAAAAATAAGACCAAATATTTAAACTCTGCATCCTTGAAAACCACTCAAATCATATTTGTGCTGACCAGTAACCTTATGTTATGTAATTTTTCTATTCAAATGCCACCATACTCACGATCCAATAGAAAGAAGGAATGTTACAGAAGGGAGACAAAGTTAATTCGACCAAAAGTAGTCACTGACCTCCTCCCGGAAGAGCGGATGGCCAAAGACTACTAATTAATACCGATCTACTATTAATATATTTGAGATCCGCGTTGGATGGGTTGTGATGGCCTCGCATGTGATCAAAGTTTCTAACCTTAACGTCCAAAAGGCTTTGTATGATTTGTGTAAATAAATAAAAAAATCTTGTAAAAATGCTAGAATAATTGCTTTTATGTGATGATAAATTTTTTAAAATTTTGGCAACAGATTGTATAAACTATGCAGGAAATGTATGCTCATAAATATTGCATTTATGGAAAAATTATTGGGCTACAATTTGAAACATTGTAGACCTATAAATTCCCACTGTCGTCACCTATCTATCTGTCCTTCCTTAACTTCGAGAAAAGAGTTAGATGGATGAAAGTCAAGACCAGATGTGGAAAGCTTATGGCAGGAAGCCCAGATTAACTATATACAAACTTCCAGTTTAGAATGGAAGTAATGTTACTTTGATTAAAAATTTTCCCTAAATGGAGTTAGATATACGAATTTATTGCTAACAGGAAAAGTATAATGTACAGGGACAAGACCACCACTAAAAGAATTAAGAACATTGTGACAAAAAATTGCAGCCTGGCATTATGATGATGTCACAATAAATAATTGCTTGTTAGAATTAGTTTGGTTTGTTTGGTTACAGCAATGCAAAATGTGAGTGATCTGTCAAGGAGGATGCATTCTGGAAAGATGTTTATGTAGAGTTGGTCCCAATTGAAGTGTTACTAACACGAAGAAAACTCAGAAAATGCCACTTTGGCCAGTCCGTTTGCCATGTGTGAACCATGACTGACTAATGGTGTTCAGTCGTTTTATCCACTTGGTTATTAGAGTATACTTATTGGGCTATAATTTCAAAAAACGGTAAAGCCATAAATTTCCAGTCATCTGACCTTAGACTCGAGAGGACTCTGTCTGTCTTTGATGGCAGACATTTTATAGTTTCATCGGGATTGAATTATTTCTAATTGGTTAGGCTTTCCCTTCCCCACTCCCCTATTGGTCTCATACCTGTCTCTAGGTAAAATTTGAGACCAGTTTAGGTTGCGAGAAAAGTCTGCCCAGAATGTTTTATTCGATACCATCTTCTCGACTCTGATCACACTTTATTGATGACTATGACACCTATGCCCATTCTATTACAGTTTTGTTTCATTTTACTTTATTTTACATTAAATATTTTCCTTTTTAATTTTCTTTTATTCTAAAATTTTGTTTTTTCCGTTATTCCTTATGAGCAACGATGTCAAAGTCCAGTGTCGCTAACTCAACACTTATACAACTTGTTTTCTTGATGGTTTAACTTAAAAGTTTTACATTTCTCTCTTTAAGTCCCTCTTTTTCTTTTTTGGACTATTTCCGGGGTCTCACATTAAAAAATTTTTCTATTAATTCTATTAAATCCTTATGGTATTAATATATTACTTTATATTTTAGAGATTTAGTTTAATAGAATTATGTATTGATTAAGGTTTAAATCCATAATATTAATAGACAAATGAATTATTATCTATTATTGTTTAAAATTTAAAAAATTATATTAATGCAAACTTTTAAAACAATACTTAAATATAAAATAGGAATATTAGAACTTACTCAATTATAAACATTTGTTTCTTGTCTTTCTTTTGAAATTTAATCATTATCAAGCTTCTGTATTGGCTTCTAGTCTGAGGAAATATTCCTCAAAAAATTTTTACTTTGACACATTCTCCAAAGTGTCAAAGTGGGTCCAAGCAACGCCTCCTATAGAGAAAGCCAAAGTACAAAAGTCACGTAGGTCTGATGTCACTGATAGTCTGTCGTTCTTGCATATGCTTAACGAAACCACTTGTTGGAGACTTCAAAGATAGCTGCCATCTTAAATTTTTTAGTTTCCTCCTATTTTTTTTTTCTTTTTTACTTTTTCTGATTTTCTTTCACTCTCTCATAGGAGAACAGTTGGACAAAAGTCTAGGAAAGATTCAAAAGTTCGTTTTTACTTTAAGAAGTATAAAATATGTATTGCTTGCATGTTTTGCGAGTCATGCCGGACAAATGTTGCATTACAACTTGTCGCGGTAACTACAAACATGGTTCAAAGTATTTTTGTTCAGCTTTCCAAATGATCCTGATCTAAAACAAAAATTGATATGGAGTTTGAAGTAAAAAGATGGTTTTCAACCTACCAAACATTCTGTGGTAAGTACTTTGTGATTCACTTGAATTTTTGTGTTCACTTTGTATTCCTGTAATGAATTTTAGAGCAGTATCTACTGAGTTTAATTTTATTTAAACTATAATTAAATTATGTTGCAAGTTTGAAAATTTTGTTATCAATGCAAGTAAGTGATTAGTTACTTTTCTATATTAAATTTAGGTTTGCGAACTGCATTTTCCACCTAAGCAAGTGTTAAGAGAAATTGAAATGTTTGATGAAAAGAATGGAAAACTTATAAAAGCTCCTCTCTCACACCCTCATCTTAAAAAAAAAAAAAAGGATCTATTCCAAGAATATTTCTAATGGGCTAAGTTATCTTTCTGTGATGCCATATTCAAGAGAGTCACTAACTAAAAAGTGAAAACACCAGAAAGTAGATTTGATTGAAAAGGCTATTGCAGCTAATTTGGAACTAAAAAATCATATGGTTTTACACCTTTAGGAATTTATCTGAACTTAAGTTATGTCTTAATCATGTAGATATTTTTAGGATGTGAAATGTTATAGAAAATGTGTCAAGTGTAATGTTCTGCAGTATTAAGTCATCAGAAATTGTTAAATCTTTAACAATAGATGAAGAACTAAATGCAAAAATATTTGTTTAATCTCTAGGCAGTAATGCATTTCCTAAAAAATTTGTAGCTTACATAATTTAAAAGATGTTTTAGTTAACTTAGAATCATTTGAATGCAGTGATAATGATTTGTTAATGGTTTGTATTTTATTTGTCCAAGAGATCTTACAGTAGCTGAAATTAAAAGTTTCTCATAGGCAGTCTGAAATTGATTTTCTAACATTCCTCTTTGCAAAATCTCTTTTTGGTATTCATCTCATTTATTAACTTCTGTAACTTATTAAATGCAATATCACCCCATGCATATAAATTTTTATATGCATGGGGTATATTGTTTATGCATGGGGTATATTTTTATATTGTTACCACATCCTAAAACTATTATGAAAGTGTTTAATAGCTTGGGAGTAGATCCTAGAAAAGAACAACTGATGATAACTGTTTGAGTTACAAAAATCAAAAATTTAGAGTCTCATGAAAAAACCATCTTATTAATGATGAATGAAATACACCTTAAGCCATGTTTTGATTATAAAGGTGGTGAAGCACTCATAGCAGCTTGTTCCTTATCACAAGCTGCTGTGAGTGCTATGTTTTCATGATTTATAGCTCGCTATCTTCGTATGAAGATTTAGCATGTATTTTTGTCTGTTAAAATCATCAGTGCAGGTGATTTACATCATTCCTGATGAAAATTATAATCAAATTGGAAACTATTGGTTTCAGAATAGTTGCAGTTATCCATGTTTGAAAGTCCACCTAAAATTAGTATTGTTTATAATAATCCTGCTGAGGTTGGTCATCCTCTCTTCTTTATTATTGATCCTGTGCATATTTTAAAATTGATTAGAAATAACTGGATTAATCAAAGAAACACAGATCTGTATTTCTTTGATTAATCCAGTGCTGGAATGACAAATGTCAAACTAGCATTACAAGTATTCAATGCTCAGATTGCTGAGAGCTTATTAACTGTTGGACATGAAAATATTTTACTTTTTTGTAAGGGAACTGCTTCTTTTCTTAAAATCATCTACACTTGGTAGTCTATTGTTAATGTAAAAACAATTTATAAAGGTCTGCATAAATTAGATAAGTATTAAGAACTATTTACAGTTGGAAACAATGAATTAAAATATGTGTGCTTTAACAAACTACTTGATTAGTTAGAAAAATGGAGATCTCTTGGTCTGAAAACTGGCACCTTGACAAAAGAAACATTCTGTATTAAACCAGAGCACTTATGACTTAATTGAAATGGCTCCATACTGTATTGTGAAATTAAAATTTAATTATTTTCTACTGGTAAGGTGCAGACTGACAATCTAGAATGCAGATTTGGCAAATATGAGACGTTATTAGGCTCAGTATGTAACGTACCTATTAGACAAGTTTTAATGAAAATGAATGCAAGTTACGATTACAAAGTATAATTCCAAAACTAATTAAATCAAATAAGTTTGGTAATATTTCTGTTAATCTCCATGTAAAAGATCAACTTTCTGATGAGGATGTGGCCATTGAAGGATCTGCTAGTTTTTTCAGAAAGGGTGACAGCAGTCATCAATGAAAATGATTTTGTTAACATTAATGATGATATACCTATTTTAACTTATATTGCATGTTACTGTTGTCATAACAATATTAAAAAACTTAAATGTCATCTTTGTAAATGCAGTATCACACTAGATAAAGAAATAGCCACTGATTTGTCTAAAAAGGATTCAAATAAGTGGCTAAAGAGTTTTGACTAAGGTGGTCTTTTCTATCATCAAGCTGATGTACTGAATATTGTCATATATAATTATATTGCTGTTAAAAAGTTGTTTTCAGCAGAATTTGAAATTGAATTTTTGAGGCACAGCAATCAGCAAGGCATTGTTTGTCATTTAACTGATAGCTTGCTCAAAGACGATTCAGTTTATATAAATTCAGAATGCAACATACACAACTCAACAGTAGTTGTAAAACATGTACTTTGTTCATCCACAAACATTTTTTTGAGCAATTATTGTAAACTTAAAAATGATAGTTATGTTGCTAAGAGCATCACAAAGAAGTATAAACTTCAAATGCTTAAAAAATTATAAACTATATGAATTGAATAACTTTATCTTTACTGTAATATTATTTGAATTTCATAATTTGTAATAATCTTAAACTGCACCATTGACTTGTAATTTATTTTATTCAAATATTATATGGAGTTTTCTGTAACTATTTGGATTGAAAAATAAAATTTTAAAAAACCTAAAATACTAGTCTAAATGATAATCTTTAGTGACACAATTTTTAAAAAGTAAAGAAACATCTTTTAAAAGAGTTAAACAAAGTTTAGGACAAAAAACTAATCATTACAACCTTTGGGACAACAAGTTGTGATGTCACATTTTAATGCTTTAGCTTTCTCTTTAGGAGACATTGTTCCAAGTGAAAATATTCCCCAAAAGTTGTGATAAGTCTTTAGATTAGAATCCAATATAGACGCTTGATAACCATTAAATTACTCAATTTTATGGTTCTCAACTGTATCATATTTACAGAAAATATTGTCTTGTAACAGATATTTACCTCCAACACTTTCTTCATTGCATTCTTCATAATCATTTGTGTCCTTCTTAACTGGTCTTCAGCATGTTTTCTTTGCATTTTCTGTTTCTCCATTAAATCTGCTATTTTATTGGCCTCTTCTGTCAAACTTCCTGCAGTCATTACATGTTGTTTACCAATATTTTCTGTTTCAGTTCTCATAACTTCCCACGACTGTCTGAGAGAGCTGTAATGAACAAATACTTGATCAGTATATTTTAAGTTATCTTTTTGCAAATTCAATTAACTATAATCATTTTCACAAGAAACTAATGAGTTAATTATGCATGAAAAAATTCAAATATTTTAATTAAAACATTAATTTATATATCATAAGGAGTAACCCATTATCCATTCTTCAGTTTCCATTGATTCATGTTTAATTTGAAATAAATGGTCTGTAATAACAATCAATGGTAAAAAAATTCAATGTTATAGATGATATTTGTTTAAAAATCATTGAATTTCTTGATTTAATTAAAAATTTACAATTTTTTTAAAATAAAAACTACTTTTGAAATGTTTTTTTTTTTTATCCTTATAACTATAAATTATTAAAACTTTTTACGTTTTTTAGTATTGTCTCATTCAGTGTTCCTCAACTGATCTGGTACATTAGTGTGTGCTGTATGCTACAAATTTCTCAGACACTATAAAATTTCAAAATATCATTTAAAAGTTTTGGAATTTTAATTATATTTTGATTAATTTTTATTATTACTTGTATATTTTCTGTATAAAAACTGTAGATCTTTGCTGTAAATGTGTATATGTACAAGAGCATCTTTGATTCAATCCTAGCATATTGGCGTGCCAGTCAAAATTGTCAATGAGTCACTAGCTCAAAAATGCTTGAGAACTATTAGCATAATTCAATGTTAGAGTATTATTCAATCAAATTATTGGCAACTGAATTTCAAAATTTGGTTTATTTTACCCAATTTCTTCTTTTCCTCCTAATGACTTGGATAACTTTATAAGAGCTTTTCCATATAATTCTTGGACTTGAGCCCTAAATTTGAAGAAATCAAATATAATTAACTATATGGAATTTACTTGTGATTTTAATTAAATGTTCATATAAAATTATAAAATTTCAGAAAAACAATATAAATTTAATATCACACAATACCTTTGTCGTAGGAAATCTGCATAGTCTTTACACACTTTCCTACCTTCTTTCATTCGTTGGCAAAGGACATCAAATCCAGAAAAATTGCAGATTTCTGAATTCTGTAATTTAAAAATATTGGTTAGAAAATTAAATGCACTTTACACCAAATAACGTTCTAGCACAGCGATGTAAAACTGGTAGCTGCCAATGCAAATTTTCATGGCCCACGGCCACGATGCTCTGCAATAAAATGAAATACAGAACAATATGTTAGGAAGAAAATATCAAGTATCCGTTGCGTCGTTGCTATGACATCATATGTCATATGTTATGATGCGCTGGTCAACCGTGGGAGACTAGGCCGCGGTTAGGCATTTCACCAGTAACTTCAAGCCAATTTCAATCTACAAATGCCAAGCTTCAAAGCTCGCTAAAACGTCTTCTTTTCGCTTGCAGAGATATATACGGCGATTAGACACGGCCGCCACAATGGAGGTGTTTAATTAATCCTATTTTCTTCGAATTTTAACAAAAGGCATTTGTGCTAGTTTCTTTGTCCCAATTACTCACTAGCAGAGAGTACTGTCCAACCAAACTAATAAACTTTTCTGTAAAGGAAAAGTATAATCCATAAGGTATTGCTTTCCTTCTCTCCAGAAACATATATATACTCTATGCAAGCAGATTTGGAAATTAAAAATTTTCAAATAAATATGTATCTACTGAAAAAGAAAACTTTGTAAAGAAACTAGAAGACCACGGCCATAATTATGGCAACCACTTCGTCTTTGGGCCAGACTACCTTTCTATGGTCCTGATTAAAGAAGTATCTCAAAAATGAATCCAATTCAACTTCTTTTTTTTATAATAATATCTTTTAGAATATTCAATGCTTTTAAGGTTACAATTTCCATCATCTTAGAAATTTTTAGTTAAATTTGCAGTTTTTGTAACATTTAAAAACATATTTAAAATGTTTTGAATAATTATTCTAAAATAAAAATATCTTGAAATAAAAAAAGACTATGAATAAAAATATTCTTTTTGATACTAAATAAATGAATGAATATGAATCACAGTTGAAAAATGATTAAATTAATACAGATTGAATTAACTATTATGAATCATAAATAAACTGAAAAGTTTCATTAAATTTTTTTAAAATATTTCCACGTACACATAATTCATAGTAAAACAGTTTAATCCGTGTCGGCAACAGTAAAATATACTCTTATAAAATTTCTTTTTTTTTTTTTTTACTTATCTTCACATTTCTATAAACTATATTTACAGAAGCTAATAAAATATTACACTTCTTGCTAAAAAAACATCCGACTAATTTGACATTTTTACGATTAATTTAATAGTAATATAATTGCCACCATCCTCGTTAAGGCAATAAATTCTTAAACACAATAAATTCCGACATTAATTACATATAAATAAACACATTTTGCTATCCTTCCTATAAACAAAATGATAATTTGTTACACGTGATTTTTGTTTATTTCAATGCAAAATAATAGTTTAAAAATATGATAAAAACATAAATTAATTACTTTAATTGATTGCATTTTTTAAAAAATTTTATAAAATCAGTTAATGTAAATACAGCATCTTCACAGATGCAGCAGCAGAATATACATAGATAAGATATAATGTTTATAACCTTCTGACTTATCTATAGAAAGAAAAAAAAAACTTGAGAGATAACAATAAACATTTTATTTATTTACTTTATTACATGTGAAGAACATTTAAGCATTATAAAAATGCTTATATGCACTTAAATAAGAGAGAAAAGCATGCAAAAAATTTAAAAAAATGGCAATAAACATTTAGATTAGTCATGCAAACCCATATAATTTGTAAAATTATTAATTTAAATATTTTAAAACAATTATTAGAGCAAATATAAACAATCATGGAGTAGAATATATAGTTTCAGCTTTATAAATAAAGAAATAAATGATTAATATTAAATAAAAGAAAATGTTTCATACCCAAAAATGCTGTGAAAACTTCATCTCTTTACCATTAGATATTTTGAAATAAAATGTAATTGTGACAAAGGAAGTATTTATTTCCTTTTGAATTCCGGTTCAACCCAACTCTCTTTCAGTTGCCATCCTTTCGTTTTCATGACGGATCTTTTACTTATTTTTATTTACAAACAACAAAATATATGAAAGGATCATTTGTACCTATGAAACTAAATTCAGAAGGCGTGTCGAATCCTACCGCTCTCATTGGACAATTCTCTTCCGATTTTTTATTGTGACGTTTAAAAATTTTTCAATTTCAATTTGTGTCAGCGAATGAAATATAATCTCTCTTTTATAAAAAAAAAATTAAATAGAAATAAATTCGTATTCATTTCAGAATGGTTTATGTTATAATAAATAAAATTTCTTTCTTACGCTATTTTTTTCTTTAATAATATAAAAGTCGAATATTTCTTTTTTGTGTGTTTATTTAAAATATAAATTTCAATTATATTTTAATTATAAGCAAAACTTTTTTAATCTTCTCCATAGATGGCAGCATAAACGGAAGCTTTGATGTAGCTCGCATCAAAATGAAACGGGCTATGTCATTGGATCATATTCATCGTAGAAAGAAAATTTCTTTTAATGCATATTTATAAAAGTTTAAAACTACTCGTTTTAATTACAAAAAAATAATTAACATTTTAATATTATTTATCAAAAATTGTTAACATAAACGGATAATAATGCAAATGCTCAATATTACATCATTTAAATTTCACGTCGGGAGATATTTGTCACTTCTATAATTCCTATTACAGGCAATTATCTTTGAAAAGATAATTATTTTTCTGATTTGAGCTTTGGAGGAGGAAATAATTGATATCCACATTGAAAAAACTTATAAAACGATAATTCGTGAATTTCCGGACGTCTGCAACCACGTGGCCAGCATTTCCAAGGTACCGCCGATTCCTTCTTCTCTCCTTCCTTTTCCATATTTCTTATATCTACAGAAACGTTGTATTCGAAACTAAATATTAAATTTCATACATTTATAACACGTTATTAAATTAGACGTACAGTACGTACTTACAAATTTGAAATAAGCTTCTAACGGTCGTAAACTTCACTATTAACAGCCTTCAGATTTATGTAATAAACGTTTTTCGCCGCGAGATGGCGTTTTGGCAGAGTAAAATGGCCGAGGTCCCGAATATGGAAGCGCTTAATTCTGGATTAAAAGCGGTGAAAGCTCTGAGGAATACGACTAGAGAAGTATTCAAATTATTAGCCGATGGCATGAAGGCTTGCCAGGGCGACGAAGGGAAGGAAAAACAATTTCTTTCTCAATTACAAACCTCGTTGGCTAACGTCATTTCTCGTCTCAGGTATGGCTGACATCACGCATCTTTTCGCGGAATTTTTTCATATGGTAAACAATCGTTTTTGATATATTTTAGGGATCTGGAAACTGCCTGCACGTTGTTGGGAAATCCGACGACACCATTAACTCTTGGTAATTCTGGATTATTGAGTCAAGATCCTACTTACGATAAATCTCCTTTATATACCGATATGATCAAAGTTTATCGATGGTGCGATAAGGTGAGAAATTCTGGCCCGTGTACACTTTTTCAAGAGGACCGCTATAATTTACATTACCAACTTGTATGGGCAAAAATGTCAATGGAACCGGTTTCTAAAGGTCGGTTTTTACGTTGAACCGGTACCGGTGTCTGTTCCTCGTGCTCTACGTCGGTCGAGGCTGTTGACACCCACTGGGTGAGCCCTCGCACTCCTAAAACTATATAACGTCGAGTACTCTCGAACGGTCGGGTGGGCTACTCGAAGCCGTCGCGGTTGCGTGGGCTAAATACTTAAAGGCAATAGTCTTGGTGAGCAACGTCACTCCAGATCAGGCACCACCCGGAAGTAGGCCGGTGTCGGGGCTGTATCTCCTAAAGGGTGGCATGTAGAGATGTGGTTCCTTTTGACTTTTTTGCTCTTATGAATGCGGTGTATGGCTCTGACGAGATCCCAACCATCTCGTTTGAGGTGTGATCGTACCCAAATTTCCCGGTTGCGTTAAAAAATAGAATATAAGTTTCTGTAGACTGATACCTGCCTTAATACAGATGGACCCGGTTAGGATGGGAAACTTGATTTGTTCGTATCGTGCAGACGTGTCCTCTCGGTCTTATAGTCTACTTTGTAGCATAATGGGGAAATTTTTACTTTGTTTATGGGTATTTCTGGCCACTCAAATAACAGCTATTCAAAAATTATTATAAGTAAGGATGATGTATTTTAAGTGTGTACTATACCACTACAACACCATATTTGAAATGGAAAACGTGACTATTTACAATGTGCATTGATGCTAATATTTCTGTTTACCTTCATTAAGAGAACATACATTATGTTTAAAATATTCTGTGACGATAACTGTAAAAGTTTTAAATGCAATACCGGTTCTCAGGAAGCAGCCTATTGATGGAACGCTGTTTCCTAAGAAGTAATGCTTTTCTTTTTTAAATGTGGTGCCAAAAGTGATTGTATTGTGTACTGGAAACAAATTGTGCCATCTGTAGTTATAAAAGTATTGTTTTTAATGTGCACATCATGACACATCACTTATTTAAAAAGTTCAAAAATATAAGTTATTATTGTCCATAAAACAATGGTCCAAATGTAAAACTATATGCAAACAAATTTTCTTTATAAAGTAAAATAATTAAGTTATTTATGTAATTTAATCAAAAGTTAGATGTTATTTAGATGGATATTATTACTTTATTCAGCTCGCATCAAAATGAAACGGGCTATGTCATTGGATCATATTCATCGTAGAAAGAAAATTTCTTTTAATGCATATTTATAAAAGTTTAAAACTACTCGTTTTAATTACAAAAAAATAATTAACATTTTAATATTATTTATCAAAAATTGTTAACATAAACGGATAATAATGCAAATGCTCAATATTACATCATTTAAATTTCACGTCGGGAGATATTTGTCACTTCTATAATTCCTATTACAGGCAATTATCTTTGAAAAGATAATTATTTTTCTGATTTGAGCTTTGGAGGAGGAAATAATTGATATCCACATTGAAAAAACTTATAAAACGATAATTCGTGAATTTCCGGACGTCTGCAACCACGTGGCCAGCATTTCCAAGGTACCGCCGATTCCTTCTTCTCTCCTTCCTTTTCCATATTTCTTATATCTACAGAAACGTTGTATTCGAAACTAAATATTAAATTTCATACATTTATAACACGTTATTAAATTAGACGTACAGTACGTACTTACAAATTTGAAATAAGCTTCTAACGGTCGTAAACTTCACTATTAACAGCCTTCAGATTTATGTAATAAACGTTTTTCGCCGCGAGATGGCGTTTTGGCAGAGTAAAATGGCCGAGGTCCCGAATATGGAAGCGCTTAATTCTGGATTAAAAGCGGTGAAAGCTCTGAGGAATACGACTAGAGAAGTATTCAAATTATTAGCCGATGGCATGAAGGCTTGCCAGGGCGACGAAGGGAAGGAAAAACAATTTCTTTCTCAATTACAAACCTCGTTGGCTAACGTCATTTCTCGTCTCAGGTATGGCTGACATCACGCATCTTTTCGCGGAATTTTTTCATATGGTAAACAATCGTTTTTGATATATTTTAGGGATCTGGAAACTGCCTGCACGTTGTTGGGAAATCCGACGACACCATTAACTCTTGGTAATTCTGGATTATTGAGTCAAGATCCTACTTACGATAAATCTCCTTTATATACCGATATGATCAAAGTTTATCGATGGTGCGATAAGGTGAGAAATTCTGGCCCGTGTACACTTTTTCAAGAGGACCGCTATAATTTACATTACCAACTTGTATGGGCAAAAATGTCAATGGAACCGGTTTCTAAAGGTCGGTTTTTACGTTGAACCGGTACCGGTGTCTGTTCCTCGTGCTCTACGTCGGTCGAGGCTGTTGACACCCACTGGGTGAGCCCTCGCACTCCTAAAACTATATAACGTCGAGTACTCTCGAACGGTCGGGTGGGCTACTCGAAGCCGTCGCGGTTGCATGGGCTAAATACTTAAAGGCAATAGTCTTGGTGAGCAACGTCACTCCAGATCAGGCACCACCCGGAAGTAGGCCGGTGTCGGGGCTGTATCTCCTAAAGGGTGGCATGTAGAGATGTGGTTCCTTTTGACTTTTTTGCTCTTATGAATGCGGTGTATGGCTCTGACGAGATCCCAACCATCTCGTTTGAGGTGTGATCGTACCCAAATTTCCCGGTTGCGTTAAAAAATAGAATATAAGTTTCTGTAGACTGATACCTGCCTTAATACAGATGGACCCGGTTAGGATGGGAAACTTGATTTGTTCGTATCGTGCAGACGTGTCCTCTCGGTCTTATAGTCTACTTTGTAGCATAATGGGGAAATTTTTACTTTGTTTATGGGTATTTCTGGCCACTCAAATAACAGCTATTCAAAAATTATTATAAGTAAGGATGATGTATTTTAAGTGTGTACTATACCACTACAACACCATATTTGAAATGGAAAACGTGACTATTTACAATGTGCATTGATGCTAATATTTCTGTTTACCTTCATTAAGAGAACATACATTATGTTTAAAATATTCTGTGACGATAACTGTAAAAGTTTTAAATGCAATACCGGTTCTCAGGAAGCAGCCTATTGATGGAACGCTGTTTCCTAAGAAGTAATGCTTTTCTTTTTTAAATGTGGTGCCAAAAGTGATTGTATTGTGTACTGGAAACAAATTGTGCCATCTGTAGTTATAAAAGTATTGTTTTTAATGTGCACATCATGACACATCACTTATTTAAAAAGTTCAAAAATATAAGTTATTATTGTCCATAAAACAATGGTCCAAATGTAAAACTATATGCAAACAAATTTTCTTTATAAAGTAAAATAATTAAGTTATTTATGTAATTTAATCAAAAGTTAGATGTTATTTAGATGGATATTATTACTTTATTCTTCACTGGAGAACAAACTTCAAATAATTTCTGATATTAATAATTAGTTAAATTATGGAGCTAATACTGTTGTACTTTAATTAACAACAAAAATTATATATATAATTTTTATTATTAATTACAGGTAACCCCCGTAAAACATGGTAGTTACGTTCCAAAAAATTGCCATGTTATGCGAATCTGTGTTATACTAAACAAAGGACTAATACGAAAAGGAGGGTTAGGTTCCAAAAATTAAAAAACATGCTAGTATATTTTCACAATTAAGATAAATATCTTCATTAAAATATTTTTAAGTGATACATATTAATATAAATTAAACAATGTTTTCTTCGTCATCACTAAAAACACTATTAATTAACCGAGAGCGTTTTCTTTTTGGCAAGTTATCCTTATCCTCTGAGCATTTTTCTGCATTATCTTCAGATCCATGCTTTACCTTTTGCAAAATGTATGTAATTTTAGATTGCTTGCTTCTAGTTAAAAGGTCTTTATAAATTTCCTTATATGGTGCTAAGCACTTATGAANAAATTTTCAGCTTGACTGGCGAAACGATTTGCTAAACGGGAAACAGCGTCACGAATTACGTATTATTTGCTCTGTTTTTTAGTAAATGTCAATACACTTTCTACACTTTGTCAAAAGTGTAGAAAAAGTCAGCGGTTCACGCACCATTTCTATAATTTTTACAATTGGTTTTATTTCTACAATCTTTTTATTTTATTATTTAATTTTATCTATTTCTATTAAATCGAATAAGTTGTGCAAATTAGAATAATTTTAAGTGATTTTATTTACCGGGTTAATATTCTACATAGTTTTTAGATTACATTTTTTGATATATAATATCTATAATTGCGACTTCTTCCCAAAACCAGTTTTTAAAGAATTGTCAAGAGCTGAAGAGGAATTTAGACCCGAAATGCGTACAAAAACGACAATTCGGAATAATTAATTTCGTCACGCTCTTCTAAACACATATCTTGTATGATAAGTCCTACATTTGTCGAGTTGTGAGATTTAAGAAGTACAGCAATTGAATAGGACAAGAAGCTTTAAACACATCAAACAAATAATAATCGTTTTATAAACATCTATGGGCGTTGAGTCTTACATTTATAAATTTCAAAACAATTTTATTAGAGATCTTCGAAGCTTTTCACATTCACATTCCAGTCTACGACACTTAAATTTGACTAACAATCGGATCAAAGTATTAGTATACCCATGCCTTTTTGTCTGTAGTTTAGTTTAACTATTCAATCAATGAATATAGATTTTTTCTTGCTGCATAATCTTTATCAATTTTCCAATCGCACAATCATCCTTTTCAAAAAAATTATTGATATTTTATTAAATATCGATTTTGTTAATTTATCTTCCAATCCGTTTTTATAATTCACACTGTAATCTTTTTTATCTGCATACTTAGCTGAATGGGACCAATTATAGAGATTTTAATCTTTTCATTTGTTATCTTCCTACAGAATTAAGTGATAAAAAATTGAAAGATCTCAATTCTAGATATGAAGATTAATGAACTTCCTTACAATGACTGTAACATTATCTGTTACCGTATGTGTTCTTTATGTTTCGAATCAATATTAAGTACTCCCATTTTATATTACAAAATTTATCGTTGGTATCTCCGCTACTTTTGGTTTCATTTTAGAAACATCTGTAATTGTAAACAACAAGAAACAAGCATTACAATATTATAGATGCATTTATAGTGTACTGCTGGTAACCTTCAAAAAAAAATCAGTCGTCAAAAATTATACTGTATTCTGGAACAGTGAAAGTGAATATATAGTGACTGTTTTTTCGTTTTTTCGACTATACTATGGCCGAAAAGATTTTTAAATAAAGGAGTAATTAAAGTTTAAAATGAAAACAAGGGATTGTAATTTTAATGAAAGTAATTGTTCTTTTAGATAAAAATATATATATAATTAAATTCAATTAACCTACTGTAATTAAAATATTTGTATCATAAATTGGTTATATATTATGCAAGAAGAATATAGGCTACATTACATATAATATACACTAACTGAACGAAATAGTTTTTGTATTTTTATATTTAACTCGTTACACTTTAGTAACTTCGGATATTTATAGGGAATAAGAAGAACTTAGAGACGTGTCGGAGTTGCCGTGATCGTCTAGTGGTTAGGACATTGCGTTGTGGCCGCAATAACCCAGGTTCGAATCCTGGTCACGGCACTTTTTTTTTAATTATTACTAATGATTTATTCATTTAAATGGTAATATTTCATAGGAACAAACAAATAAAAACTGTTTTTGTTTATTTCAATTCAAAACTTTTCCCTTGAAAGCAGTTATATAGATGAATATCAAGGGGATGAAATCGTATTGAGTAATGAAGTATATACAAGAAAGCATTGTATAATAATTAAAAACAAATCACGGGGTGAAATTAAGGGAAGGATGAAGTGTCCAGGTTTTAAGGTAACGTCCACCTTAAATTAGTACTGTAGTATCTTACCACTGTACTGTACATTATATTTTTCCGTTAGCAATGGATTCGTGCGAGTCATCTATTAGCTGTTTCCAGAGGAAACGTTTTAAATTGACATAACTTGACCACTTCTCACCGGAAAAACACACAATTTCATAGGAAAATATGTTAAAGTGATCGATACTTGTTAGATGAGAATTATTACTTCATTGTTAAATAATACTGTATTAAAAATACAAGGTATATCGATAGAAATTAAACACGACATTAATATGATGACTTGGAAAGTTAAATGCGTGTAAGTATTCATTCTATTATTTTAATGAACAATTGCCTAAAGTAAATGTTAGTTTTTTTTTTTATTATAACGAGATGAATAGGGTGTCGGTGTTATGTGACGGTGTCGTATACTGTAACGAAGCGTGGATATGTAAATGATTGGATGCGACGAACAAACTAGATAATGGTTCAACTGTGAATGTTATCGTGAGGGGTGTTTGTAAGGATGTATTGTAATGAAGTCGTCCAAATAACGAAATTCGTGCTTCTTCGAAATCCTCTTCTTCGTCCTAGGAAAAAACTGACATTTTTCCGTGTAAATAAGAATGGTTATTTAAAAAAAATTATAATGACTTTACGCAATATATAAAATGTACTGTACGTTTTTAAACAGTAAGTAGAGGCTACGTGTTAATTCTACAAATAAAAGCAATGATTCTAGAAAGAAAACGATGGTATATGGCATATATTACCGCATTCTCTTAGTTTTCGTTCAAATCTACACAAAAAAGTAAACAGAAAGACATAGTTCCCTGTGTTTTCTCTCAGTTTACAAACTCGGAAAGAATTTCTCGTATTTTTCAGTGTTTTCATGCCGTTCTTCACAAAAAAAATGAAACAGCCAGCGGCGTTCACAGACTGTAGAAAGGGGGCACATGCTACGAAAAAACGGCATCGTATATCAGTGCCGTAACTAGGCAGGTGCAACAGGTGCACCCGCACAGGACCCACTTGAAAGATGGGCCCAAAATGCATGTATTTGTTTTATTACTTTCCCAAACCTAATTAATCAAGGGGCCTAAATGCAAATTCCTGCACAGGGCACAGGAATGGCTAGTTACGGCACTGTCGTATATTATTCAAGAAGCTTCAAACTCTATGATTCAATGTCGGTTCGGCGTGGCTCTGATTGCACTGGGGAGGTTAACTTGGCCTCGAAAACAATGGATGTAGTTTTGGTCTATGTATATAAAAACAGTTGCATGGGATAACCAGAAGTCATGAATTTTCTATTGTTTGTCGATAATGAAATTTGGAGCACCCTTGGGATTAGAAAAAGGGGGCGCGTGACCCAATGTACGGGCGCTCCTGAAACCAAATGAGAGTAAATGGAAGAAAGGAGACTGGGAGACGTATTGTGTAGGAAGGAGTGTACTAGTATAATTCCTTTTTATTTACACCAATGTCTTGTCTTATCACCGACATATTCTCCATCATTGTCATAACGTAATTTCGATACTTTCAAATTCGTGTACGCTTCTACTTGAGTGGCGTATTCTCTGATGTATTCGACAGAAGAATGTGAATAACATTCATTTTTAACATAAACAAACCGATAAGCGCTTTATTACAATGTCAATTATCTCAAGTTTCAACGATTGACCTCCGCTTTCTTTGTAGCTGCAGGAATGGGTAGAGTTGGGTGACAAGGTCACAGTATAAACTGTGAAAAAAGCATGGGGATTAAAAACCCTTAAAGCTTGTAGTTGTTATACTTAGCCATGGGCACAATACAAGGTCACAGTAGAAACTAGAAAATCTTTGTCCTCCCACTAGCAATTGTCGAGTCTATTGTATTTGTAAAATAATGCAACTGTTGTTCAAAATGGTGATCGATAACATCTGAAATGTTTACCATAGCAACGCTTAAGCAGTTTTAGTACAAACACTTGGATAAAACTGTTAAAAATGAAATATGAAGTCTTCTTCGAAAACAAAAGACTCTTACAAAAAAGATATAGAAATATTGACTCGTCGCTTACAACTAATCGGTAAGTACATTTTTATATGCGTAATAAAATCATATTCTAATATAATTCTTCTATATCTGTAGAAAAGGAGAGGAAGGCCCAAAAAGAAGACTACGAAGAACAACTACGAAACAACGAAAAAATTATAAAAAAATTGAAAGAAGAGGTTGAAGAATTGCACCAAAGAAAGAAATTGCTAATTTCGGTAAATATATTCAACTTAAAAACCCGTCTTCGGAAGCATTTTTAGTAATTTCTATTGTTATTTTAGCTAGATCAAGAGAAGAATGTTAAAATCGATCATTCTGCAATTTCGGAAGGAAGAGTTAATTCACTAAACGTGCAAGTAATTTTTAATGTTTTTTATGTAACAATTTAAACGATTAACTTGCTTGGATTAATAAATTTTAAAGTAGGGGTAACGGGGCAGTTGTTACCATGTGTTTTTAACAGTTTCTGCTGTCTGCAGTACCTCACTTATGGCCTGATAAACAAGCGTATATCAATTTAGATTTGTAATGGCAAGTGAGCTATATAAACATATATATAATACCCCGGCCAGATGGTTGAGCGGTCCGGGGATCGAATCCGGACGGGTAGAAAAATCCCCATAATTATTCCTGGTTTCCCCAACACAAAACTTAATTAAAACCTATTGTTTTCGTGTAGCATTATTTTCGATTTCTTGTGCATCTCGTGTTGGCATCTTCATGTTTACAGTGTTAACACTGACAATATTACAAACTTTTGCTGTATTCTAGGAAAATGTGGACAAACTGAAGCAAAAATTATTTGATCAGACTAAACAGTTGGATTTACTTCGTTACTACAGTAGTAAGAAAGAACAACGATTGAAAAATAAAAAGATTCAATGCAGCGAACTAGCAAAAACAGTTGGGAGAATTAAAAAGAAAAGAAGCGCTAATATATGGAATAATAAAGTAAGTTTTTATAAGAATTAAGTTATACCATTCTTGCGTTTTTATAAGTACAGTATAGGGGAGAATGCGTGGNTGTTAGAAATATACCATAGTAAATAATAATTTTAAATTATTAATTATTCTTATTTTATATTTCTAACATTTTATTGATAGGTTCATGAACACGCCAGTCATGCCTCAGCAATTCTCAATCAAAATTCACTGAAACGATCGAATATAAACCCCCTTTTAGCAACTAAGAGATTCCGAAGACCTCAGCACAATGGTCACAACGTTTCTCCCCAGTGAGTATTATGGTAATTTTAAAATTTATAAAAATATTACTCAGTTTAATCAAAACATTCTTTTTCATCACAGAAATGTGGATGCTTTTACATCAGGTCTACATAGACTATTTCCAGACATGTCTATTGAAGTTATGAGACCATGTGGAAGTTCAGCTATGCTGAAAGTATGTATTTGCTCTAAAATTATTTTAAATCTTTATAATTCTTTTACTTCTTTTATACATAAATTGTATTTTATTATTAAAGATTACATTGGCCAGAACTTTAAAAGCTCTTGTAATATTACGAGGTTTGATAATTGAATGGGTAGTCATAAAAGGATATAATGAGGATTTCTATACTGATGATGATAAAGTAAGAATTTCATTTAATAAACTCAAAAAATAATGCATACTTTATTTTATTTCTTGTGCACTAATTAAAAATTGTTTATTTTCCAGTTGGATGTTTGGTCTGATTCTAGATATAAAGTTTTTCAGAAGGTAAGATTAAATGATATATTTTTATTTTAAAAATCAACAGATAATTTAATAATTTTAATGTAATATAAATATCAAGTTTAAAAAATCTAAATACTGCTGTGTGAGAATTTTAAATTATCTAAGTCAGATAGCATTCTACAGTCATGTTGTAGAATGTTTTGACTAAGGAGGAGTAATTAGTTAGAGTCTAGATGCAAAAAGAAATATGTCCATTTAAAAAATATGAAGTATAAAGAACGTATTATGATCAAAAAGGAAATGGCATTTAGATCATTAAATTAGAATTTACTAAAATACAACAGATCTCATATTTGTTTACGAAATATGATGGCTTTGCAGAAATAGTAACATGTCGAGAGTGTAGATTTAGGTAAAACTAAGCAAAGTATCAATTTTTTTCTTAATTGATATACAGTCAAAACTTGATTTATGAACATAATTCATTCCTAAAAGTTGTTTTCAAACTGAAACAAATTTTCCCGTAAGAAACAATGTAAAATGGATTACTCTGTTTTGACCCCCCAAATAAAACCCCTTTTTTTTTTACCTTTTTAGCTGTATTTCATTCATAAGATTGCCTACAAATGCAATATATAATAGATAGTATTATGTATATATAATATTGTATTATCTACATCCATTTTATATACAGGGTGGGGCAGAAAGGACAGACATTTTTTAAAAAATCACAACTTCTGTAATTGTTACTACAAAAGATTTCTTGGAAGATGTGAGTTTGTGTTGAAATAGCATTTTACAGAAGCAAGTGTGGAAAACATCATCTCCCATATGTTGTCCATTATCAGTAATGCATTTCTGGAATCGTTTTTTGAAGTCAGCATCCACTCTTTCTAACATCACTCTGTGTGTAATCCCCAGGCTTCTCCTGTTGCACAATGGCCAATTTGTAGGGATGGAAATGGTCTAAATGCAGAATACACTGTACTGAATGATAACTGATGCCAAGTTCAGAAGAATGCTTCCGAGCAGATCAACGAAGACTGTGCAGCAAGGCTAGTCTGATGGTCTCCACATTTTCAGGGGTACATGACATTCGTGGTGCTCACGGCAGTCTTTTGTCCACGAGTGTACCTCGCATATGAATGCTTTAACCCAACGTAGGATGGTGTTATGAACAAAAACGGCTTTGTTTCTGTGGATATTGAAATAACGACGAAACTCGCGCTGAACTGACACAATAGACTCGTTATTCTTGAGGAAATAGTCATATGCAAACACATAGCATTCGATTGTCTATGGCTCTATGCCTTCAACTAAAAACACAATGCTAAGACCTCACTACCTTCATGCCACCTGCCAAACATCCGTCACTTCACCTGTGGTGAGTTCTAGCCATTTAAAAAACATCCGTCCTTTCTGCCCCACTCTGTATATAAAAAGCAAAATGATTTGTCATCGCCAACTGAGACTGAAACCATCAATAATCCATCAGTGCTATAAATAGAGACTCAACCCTGTTGCATGCAATATAATAAATAAATTAATTTTTTTTTTATTTATTTAAGTACCGAAAAATGAAAGTAGTAGCTTACTCGCATGCACGTTGAAATATAATTTGAATAACTACATCATCAATGGTTTGTGTTGCAATGTGTAATGACACAAGACGATTTCTGCTTCACTAACTTCTAAATCAGTAGTCCTGTCATTGATTGGTCGGACCATTGACTTTCTTTAACATAGGAAGTTGACCATCAGTGGCTGCTCTGCCGAGTAGCTTGCTCGGAAACAAGTTATTGTATGGCAACCAGAGCAAATAAGGCATTCAAAATTTGTTCTTAAAAACCGAATTGTTCATAACCCAAGGTTTGACTGTATTACATTTTTCATCTGGGATACTTGTTTGGAAATATACTGAAATAGTTTGAATATACTGAAATAGTTTTCAAACTATTTCAATATATTCCGTGCAAGGTAAACTGAGAAACTTTGTAGCAATTCAAAAGGTATAAAATGTAGTCTTGTGAAAAAAATAATAATAATAATAAAGTAGATAAACAATCGACTTTTAAATAGATATTCCTTTAGTTTTGTCAATTATATACAAACTTCCTTAAAAATTGGGATATTTTGTATTCAAAGAAATGTTTATGACAATCTGTAAAATTGAACCAATACATTGTATAAAATTGTTGCATGCAAAACATTGCTTGAACATATTTATTTGGAGAAATTTATATTTATTATTAATATATTCAAAATTGCTTGGCACAGTTAATACAGTATTTTCTTTGTGGTAGGTGACAGATCATGCCAACGCAGCTATGTTGCATTTTTATTCACCACTGTTACCGGATCTAGCAGTGAAATCATTTGTTACTTGGTTGCATAGTTATTCTTCTCTTTTCACTGCTCCTTGTCGCCGATGTGGCAATCGTCTTCACAATAATATGCCACCTACGTGGAGAGACGTTCGAAATTTAGATGTGTATCACGATGCTTGTAGACCATAAAATTTTCATCATATCATTTTGTACATATTGGTATATTAAATAAATACTTGTTTATGCTATTGAATTTTGAGTTGAAATTTCATCAAATTCTTTTCTCTTGCTGTTCTTTCGTTTACAACTACACTTAGCAACTACAAAGGTTATTTCTTTCAGTTTACATTCATTTAAATTATATTTGCACAAATTTATGATTATAAATTATGCTAAAATTGTCACGGCCCGAAAAACTTAAAGGGAACCGCACCTTCTGGGATAGGATAAGCTCGTCAGGTAACAAGCCACGGGCTGAACTTCACAGGCCAAGGAAAACACCAGCAGAAAAGAGATTGCCCTAATAGGCGGGAAGGCGGCGAAGCCAAACACGTGTGACCCAAGGTAGCGGACCGCGTGGTGGCGGAGGCGAGGGCATTCAAACTCTCGGGGCCACCGGGAAGCGTGCAAGCGAAGGATAGGGTCGAGGTAACGTGTGGAGAAAAGAGGCCTTCGTCTGTAACCGAATCGGGGACAGAAATCTATTATCGGGGTAACAAAAGTCCTCGTGCTGATAATAGAAGAAAAAGGGAACTCGCGGGTAGTCGGGCAACAGAGAGGCTAGTGAGGTCGCGGCAAAACGAGTGGGCGCGGTTCACGACGATCGACCAAAAGTTGAGGGAGTCGCCGAACAGAATTAAGCTGGTAGGCGCCGGAAATCAACTTTCGGCGACAGTCGACTTTGGAGCAGGGATTTCGGTCATAAGGGAATCATTGGTCACTACATCGGTGACGGAAACGAAGGGAGAAATCCAACGGGTTGGAGCCTTAGGTCACCGGAACGATGCGGCAACGGTCCCTAAAGAGCTGGAGGAGGAAGGCCCCCACAGAATCGCGGTGGGTTGGGGCTTGTATGAAAGAATGGTAACTGGGGCGAGAAATATTGTAATTTCCGGAATTCATCTGGGTAAGAATAAAGTTGCTGATTGTCTAGTATATTTTGGAATTTGTGGATGTGATTATTCCTAGATAATAACTGTCTAAACCGGGTTCATATTCTCGGTTTAGACATATACAGGTAACAAGCCACGGGCTGAACTTCACAGGCCAAGGAAAACACCGGCAGAAAAGAGATTGCCCTAATAGGCGGGAAGGCGGCGAAGCCAAACACGTGCGACCCAAGGTAGCGGACCGCGTGGTGGTGGAGGCGAGGGCCAATAGGATCAATAGGCGTATAGTTTTCTTTTTCGGGACCACCGTCGATGAATGAATTTTTCAATTAGAAGTAAGAAAATTGCGGCTATTGCGCCCATAAATGCATACCCATTAAATGGTATGCCTCCAATGATCGGACATAGTACTCCGGATAGGTGTTTTGAAATGGTGTAGATTACGGACTAGATTTCTGCAGATTATAATGAAGATATCCTCAAAATACTTGTAATCCCCATTCCTGTTTTCTTTTTCGTTTTTTCGGCTATACTATGGCCGAAAAGAATTTTAAATTAAATAAAAAATAAATTGAATTAATATAATAATTATAAATGTTTTATTATAATAAAGGAGTAATTAATGAAAGTAATTGTTCTTGTAGATAAAAATATATATATAATTAAATTCAATTAACCTACTGTAATTAAAATATTTGTATCATAAATTGGTTATATATTATGCAAGAAGAATATAGGCTACATTACATATAATATACACTAACTGAACGAAATAGTTTTTGTATTTTTATATTTAACTCGTTACACTTTAGTAACTTCGGATATTTATAGGGAATAAGAAGAACTTAGAGACGTGTCGGAGTTGCCGTGATCGTCTAGTGGTTAGGACATTGCGTTGTGGCCGCAATAACCCAGGTTCGAATCCTGGTCACGGCACTTTTTTTTTAATTATTACTAATGATTTATTCATTTAAATGGTAATATTTCATAGGAACAAACAAATAAAAACTGTTTTTGTTTATTTCAATTCAAAACTTTTCCCTTGAAAGCAGTTATATAGATGAATATCAAGGGGATGAAATCGTATTGAGTAATGAAGTATATACAAGAAAGCATTGTATAATAATTAAAAACAAATCACGGGGTGAAATTAAGGGAAGGATGAAGTGTCCAGGTTTTAAGGTAACGTCCACCTTAAATTAGTACTGTAGTATCTTACCACTGTACTGTACATTATATTTTTCCGTTAGCAATGGATTCGTGCGAGTCATCTATTAGCTGTTTCCAGAGGAAACGTTTTAAATTGACATAACTTGACCACTTCTCACCGGAAAAACACACAATTTCATAGGAAAATATGTTAAAGTGATCGATACTTGTTAGATGAGAATTATTACTTCATTGTTAAATAATACTGTATTAAAAATACAAGGTATATCGATAGAAATTAAACACGACATTAATATGATGACTTGGAAAGTTAAATGCGTGTAAGTATTCATTCTATTATTTTAATGAACAATTGCCTAAAGTAAATGTTAGTTTTTTTTTTTATTATAACGAGATGAATAGGGTGTCGGTGTTATGTGACGGTGTCGTATACTGTAACGAAGCGTGGATATGTAAATGATTGGATGCGACGAACAAACTAGATAATGGTTCAACTGTGAATGTTATCGTGAGGGGTGTTTGTAAGGATGTATTGTAATGAAGTCGTCCAAATAACGAAATTCGTGCTTCTTCGAAATCCTCTTCTTCGTCCTAGGAAAAAACTGACATTTTTCCGTGTAAATAAGAATGGTTATTTAAAAAAAATTATAATGACTTTACGCAATATATAAAATGTACTGTACGTTTTTAAACAGTAAGTAGAGGCTACGTGTTAATTCTACAAATAAAAGCAACAATGGTATATGGCATATATTACCGCATTCTCTTAGTTTTCGTTCAAATCTACACAAAAAAGTAAACAGAAAGACATAGTTCCCTGTGTTTTCTCTCAGTTTACAAACTCGGAAAGAATTTCTCGTATTTTTCAGTGTTTTCATGTCGTTCTTCACAAAAAAAATGAAACAGCCAGCGGCGTTCACAGACTGTAGAAAGGGGGCACATGCTACGAAAAAACGGCATCGTATATCAGTGCCGTAACTAGGCAGGTGCAACAGGTGCACCCGCACAGGACCCACTTGAAAGATGGGCCCAAAATGCATGTATTTGTTTTATTACTTTCCCAAACCTAATTAATCAAGGGGCCTAAATGCAAATTCCTGCACAGGGCACAGGAATGGCTAGTTACGGCACTGTCGTATATTATTCAAGAAGCTTCAAACTCTATGATTCAATGTCGGTTCGGCGTGGCTCTGATTGCACTGGGGAGGTTAACTTGGCCTCGAAAACAATGGATGTAGTTTTGGTCTATGTATATAAAAACAGTTGCATGGGATAACCAGAAGTCATGAATTTTCTATTGTTTGTCGATAATGAAATTTGGAGCACCCTTGGGATTAGAAAAAGGGGACGCGTGACCCAATGTACGGGCGCTCCTGAAACCAAATGAGAGTAAATGGAAGAAAGGAGACTGGGAGACGTATTGTGTAGGAAGGAGTGTATGGTATTGAGTAGTCTAGTATAATTCCTTTTTATTTACACCAATGTCTTGTCTTATCACCGACATATTCTCCATCATTGTCATAACGTAATTTCGATACTTTCAAATTCGTGTACGCTTCTACTTGAGTGGCGTATTCTCTGATGTATTCGACAGAACAATGTGAATAACATTTATTTTTAACATAAACAAACCGATAAGCGCTTTATTACAATGTCAATTATCTCAAGTTTCAACGATTGACCTCCGCTTTCTTTGTAGCTGCAGGAATGGGTAGAGTTGGGTGACAAGGTCACAGTAGAAACTATGAAAAAAGCATGGGGATTAAAAACCCTTAAAGCTTGTAGTTGTTATACTTAGCCTTGGGCACAATTCAAGCTTCGAAGCTTGAATCTTACCCTGAAGATGGCCTATAATAAGGTTTTTGGGAAATATTTTTACAATAAAATAAATGTTTTATCTTTATTATATAGAAAATTATAAAACTAGAGAATAAATGGTTAACGAAGAAAATGAGATTAGAAGAAGCTCAGTTTATTAACCAAAAGTATAAAGAAATTAAAGATATTTTACTTCAGGTAAGTGTTTTTTGTAAAAAAAAAACATCATCATATTTGGCACATTGTAGCTTTATGGGGCACAGGCAAATTCGAATTAAGGGTCCTCCATGTACAGTGTTGAATTCAAATATTTTTCTTCGGGGAATCACCAGTATTCTTTCTTTTTTAACGTGACTTCCAGATAAATTATTATTAACCAAATTGTACAGGGTATCCCAAAAGTTTCCATACATACAAAAGTGAAATGTAACTTCACAAAACATTAAAATGTTAGCATTAAAGATTTGTGTCAGTGAATTGAGGGAGTAAGGCAACGGAACACATGAGTGATCTGCCAATAGGATAAACTTCTAGCAGGACTTTCTATGTGGAAACTGGATTCTGTTTAGGTGTTAGACACATGAAGAAAATCCAGAACACTGCATGGTGGCCAGCCCATTGAACAGGCACAACCAACTAAGTGTTCAATGGTTTTTATTTATTTGACCACTGGTGAGCTTGATTTGTGTCACTGTATGGAGACTTTTGGGATACCCTGTATTATTTAGCCTACGGTAAAATTGGTTGTATTATGTTGTTTCGCTTAATGTCGCAGCTTCCAGCCAATAACTTAAATGAGAACTTCCCGTATTTTCAAACTTTTAAAACAATTCTCTTTTTAGCAGAAATATACTGTAACATGTTCTTAATCTTACTTGTTTAGATATTATGATGACTTATCACTTGAAATAAAATTAATATTAATTACATATTAAATCAAGAATTAGTCAAAAATACAAGTACTTGTACGATAAAACAATCAGTAAATTCTGACTGTAGAAAAACTATTTTTGAAATATAACAACACTTCAAGGATATATTTGCAGTTTGAATGTGCTTAATTACCTGAAAGGTCTTCAGATGGTTAATCATCCAAAAAGTCTTTATTAATAAAGAATTGTTGACTCTAGGAAGAAACCATTTGACTTTCTTATATACAGTGAAACATGTTAACATGACCACTGAAGAGACCAGCTCAAAGTGGTCAGGTTAGCAGGTTTCATTGTATGTGTGTGTGTGGTGAAAATAAAATTATATTGCTATATGTATTAGTTACTAGTGTTTCAATACATATGTGATAATACCAATTGAAGTTAAAGTTTTGTTTCTCTTTTTTAGGAGCAAAAATATTTTGAAAAACAACTTGATATTTTAATAGAAGAATTGAAAGATTCTAAAAGTAAAAAAGAAAGTATTGAATTATTAAAAGAAAAGGCTAAATTAGCAAGAGATCTACAGTCAAACAAATTCAATAAATCAAAAAATAGACTTGAAAAGACTAGTCAGAAACAGAAGACAAGAATTGTTAAATATCAAAATCAGCTGTCAAAACTTAAAACAAAACAATATAAACAAACAGTAAGAAAGGTAAGATTATATTCTATTATTAAATAGAATATATTATATATGATTAAACTTCTTTGAATATTAACAAAATTAGCCAACAATTAAAAAAGAAGATTCAATATACAAAAATGATAAAGCAGAAGAAAATTTTTATGAAGAAACACTACAAACAATTAAAGATATTACAGGTGTATCTTCTATTGAAGTTGAGTTGAAATGTTTTACTTAAATATATATTATTAATTTTTGCAACTAATAATGAGAAAATGATTCTAGGAATTTGAGGAAAAATATTTCCAACAGCAAACAACCCGTAAGGAATTAGAAACACTTCGTGATGAATTGCAACAAAGATTAAAAGAATTGAAAAATGAAGAAACAGAAGTAGAAATTACCTTAGAGAAATTAAGAGATACTAATAATTATAACAAAATGTATGCTTTCTAATATATCTACATTTCAGTAATATTAAAAATAAATTATAATCTTTATTTGTAGGGATGTTGCAAAAGATTTAAATCAAAAAGAATTAGCTCTGTTAGCAAAACAACAGCAAAATGAAAACGAAATGAAACAAATTAATAAACTATTGGGAACTATAAAATTATCCTTACAACATATTTTCATAAGTCTCCAAAATATTTTAATCCAGGTATAAAACTGTTTAGAATTAGCTGTATAAGGAACGTAAAAATATAAAAATTGGAATATCTAATTTTTATAGGAAAATTATGAAATTCCAACTAAGAATCTTTCAACTGAAGAACTATTAAAACTATGTAATGATGGTGTTAAAATTCTTCTTAAAAATATTAAAGACCATAATTTACATGAACTGAAGAAGAAAATAGAACTAGAAGGAGTAAGTTTAATCAATTCTCTCTCTTATTTGTTTATTATATTTGACAGATGAATAAATAAAATTTGTTTTTCAGTTTCAGGAACAATTAAAACCAGTAATAGTTTCAGACATTAAACTTAGAAAAGAATTATCAGGTATTTAAATTAATATTTAATCTTATTTTTTTAAAATTAAAACTAAATTACTTATGTTAAAAACCTACAGTTAAGAATCCTTCATTGAGTGATAACGATGAAAATCTTGAAGAGTGTCGCGCATCCATAAAGGAAGCAGCAAAAAAATTTGTGGAAATAAATACAAAGAATAAGAGTGAACAAATACAAATAATTCAGTTATAAATAACTTCTGATCTTATAAATAATGCATCTTATGTGTTATGTTATTAAAATTAATTTTCTGTTTCAAATATCCATAATATTGAAAAAAATAAAACATTTATGTATAATAAATAAATTATTTATCATGGCTTTATTAAATTTACATCATCTGCAGCTTTCTGTTTTAAGTTGTGTAATTCTTCATTAAGTTCATTCTTTAACATTTTCAATTGTTCATTCTCTCGTTGCAAATTGGGAAGAATTTTCTCTAATGTATTACAGGATTCTACAAAAGTTTTGACCTAAAGAAAAAAATATTTTAATACATATTAATNAGATAATTTAATAATTTTAATGCAATATAAATATCAAGTTTAAAAAATCTAAATACTGCTGTGTGAGAATTTTAAATTATCTAAGTCAGATAGCATTCTACAGTCATGTTGTAGAATGTTTTGACTAAGGAGGAGTAATTAGTTAGAGTCTAGATGCAAAAAGAAATATGTCCATTTAAAAAATATGAAGTATAAAGAATGTATTATGATCAAAAAGGAAATGGCATTTAGATCATTAAATTAGAATTTACTAAAATACAACAGATCTCATATTTGTTTACGAAATATGATGGCTTTGCAGAAATAGTAACATGTCGAGAGTGTAGATTTAGGTAAAACTAAGCAAAGTATCAATTTTTTTCTTAATTGATATACAGTCAAAACTTGATTTATGAACATAATTCATTCCTAAAAGTTGTTTTCAAACTGAAACAAATTTTCCCGTAAGAAACAATGTAAAATGGATTACTCTGTTTTGACCCCCCAAATAAAACCCCTTTTTTTTTTACCTTTTTAGCTGTATTTCATTCATAAGATTGCCTACAAATGCAATATATAATAGATAGTATTATGTATATATAATATTGTATTATCTACATCCATTTTATATACAGGGTGGGGCAGAAAGGACAGACATTTTTTAAAAAATCACAACTTCTGTAATTGTTACTACAAAAGATTTGTTGGAAGATGTGAGTTTGTGTTGAAATAGCATTTTACAGAAGCAAGTGTGGAAAACATCATCTCCCATATGTTGTCCATTATCAGTAATGCATTTCTGGAATCGTTTTTTGAAGTCAGCATCCACTCTTTCTAACATCACTCTGTGTGTAATCCCCAGGCTTCTCCTGTTGCACAATGGCCAATTTGTAGGGATGGAAATGGTCTAAATGCAGAATACACTGTACTGAATGATAACTGATGCCAAGTTCAGAAGAATGCTTCCGAGCAGATCAACGAAGACTGTGCAGCAAGGCTAGTCTGATGGTCTCCACATTTTCAGGGGTACATGACATTCGTGGTGCTCACGGCAGTCTTTTGTCCACGAGTGTACCTCGCATATGAATGCTTTAACCCAACGTAGGATGGTGTTATGAACAAAAACGGCTTTGTTTCTGTGGATATTGAAATAACGACGAAACTCGCGCTGAACTGACACAATAGACTCGTTATTCTTGAGGAAATAGTCATATGCAAACACATAGCATTCGATTGTCTATGGCTCTATGCCTTCAACTAAAAACACAATGCTAAGACCTCACTACCTTCATGCCACCTGCCAAACATCCGTCACTTCACCTGTGGTGAGTTCTAGCCATTTAAAAAACATCCGTCCTTTCTGCCCCACTCTGTATATAAAAAGCAAAATGATTTGTCATCGCCAACTGAGACTGAAACCATCAATAATCCATCAGTGCTATAAATAGAGACTCAACCCTGTTGCATGCAATATAATAAATTAATTAATTTTTTTTTTTTTTATTTAAGTACCGAAAAATGAAAGTAGTAGCTTACTCGCATGCACGTTGAAATATAATTTGAATAACTACATCATCAATGGTTTGTGTTGCAATGTGTAATGACACAAGACGATTTCTGCTTCACTAACTTCTAAATCAGTAGTCCTGTCATTGATTGGTCGGACCATTGACTTTCTTTAACATAGGAAGTTGACCATCAGTGGCTGCTCTGCCGAGTAGCTTGCTCGGAAACAAGTTATTGTATGGCAACCAGAGCAAATAAGGCATTCAAAATTTGTTCTTAAAAACCGAATTGTTCATAACCCAAGGTTTGACTGTATTACATTTTTCATCTGGGATACTTGTTTGGAAATATACTGAAATAGTTTGAATATACTGAAATAGTTTTCAAACTATTTCAATATATTCCGTGCAAGGTAAACTGAGAAACTTTGTAGCAATTCAAAAGGTATAAAATGTAGTCTTGTGAAAAAAATAATAATAATAATAAAGTAGATAAACAATCGACTTTTAAATAGATATTCCTTTAGTTTTGTCAATTATATACAAACTTCCTTAAAAATTGGGATATTTTGTATTCAAAGAAATGTTTATGACAATCTGTAAAATTGAACCAATACATTGTATAAAATTGTTGCATGCAAAACATTGCTTGAACATATTTATTTGGAGAAATTTATATTTATTATTAATATATTCAAAATTGCTTGGCACAGTTAATACAGTATTTTCTTTGTGGTAGGTGACAGATCATGCCAACGCAGCTATGTTGCATTTTTATTCACCACTGTTACCGGATCTAGCAGTGAAATCATTTGTTACTTGGTTGCATAGTTATTCTTCTCTTTTCACTGCTCCTTGTCGCCGATGTGGCAATCGTCTTCACAATAATATGCCACCTACGTGGAGAGACGTTCGAAATTTAGATGTGTATCACGATGCTTGTAGACCATAAAATTTTCATCATATCATTTTGTACATATTGGTATATTAAATAAATACTTGTTTATGCTATTGAATTTTGAGTTGAAATTTCATCAAATTCTTTTCTCTTGCTGTTCTTTCGTTTACAACTACACTTAGCAACTACAAAGGTTATTTCTTTCAGTTTACATTCATTTAAATTATATTTGCACAAATTTATGATTATAAATTATGCTAAAATTGTCACGGCCCGAAAAACTTAAAGGGAACCGCACCTTCTGGGATAGGATAAGCTCGTCAGGTAACAAGCCACGGGCTGAACTTCACAGGCCAAGGAAAACACCAGCAGAAAAGAGATTGCCCTAATAGGCGGGAAGGCGGCGAAGCCAAACACGTGCGACCCAAGGTAGCGGACCGCGTGGTGGCGGAGGCGAGGGCATTCAAACTCTCGGGGCCACCGGGAAGCGTGCAAGCGAAGGATAGGGTCGAGGTAACGTGTGGAGAAAAGAGGCCTTCGTCTGTAACCGAATCGGGGACAGAAATCTATTATCGGGGTAACAAAAGTCCTCGTGCTGATAATAGAAGAAAAAGGGAACTCGCGGGTAGTCGGGCAACAGAGAGGCTAGTGAGGTCGCGGCAAAACGAGTGGGCGCGGTTCACGACGATCGACCAAAAGTTGAGGGAGTCGCCGAACAGAATTAAGCTGGTAGGCGCCGGAAATCAACTTTCGGCGACAGTCGACTTTGGAGCAGGGATTTCGGTCATAAGGGAATCATTGGTCACTACATCGGTGAAGGAAACGAAGGGAGAAATCCAACGGGTTGGAGCCTTAGGTCACCGGAACGATGCGGCAACGGTCCCTAAAGAGCTGGAGGAGGAAGGCCCCCACAGAATCGCGGGGGGTTGGGGCTTGTATGAAAGAATGGTAACTGGGGCGAGAAATATTGTAATTTCCGGAATTCATCTGGGTAAGGTCCATTATCAGTAATGCATTTCTGGAATCGTTTTTNAACAAATAAAAACTGTTTTTGTTTATTTCAATTCAAAACTTTTCCCTTGAAAGCAGTTATATAGATGAATATCAAGGGGATGAAATCGTATTGAGTAATGAAGTATATACAAGAAAGCATTGTATAATAATTAAAAACAAATCACGGGGTGAAATTAAGGGAAGGATGAAGTGTCCAGGTTTTAAGGTAACGTCCACCTTAAATTAGTACTGTAGTATCTTACCACTGTACTGTACATTATATTTTTCCGTTAGCAATGGATTCGTGCGAGTCATCTATTAGCTGTTTCCGGAAGAAACGTTTTAAATTGAAATAATTTGACCAGTTTGCACCGGAAAAACACAAGTTTCATAGGAAAATATGTTAAAGTGATCGATACTTGTTAGATGAGAATTATTACTTCATTGTTAAATAATACTGTATTAAAAATACAAGGTATATCGATAGAAATTAAACACGACATTAATATGATGACTTGGAAAGTTAAATGCGTGTAAGTATTCATTCTATTATTTTAATGAACAATTGCCTAAAGTAAGTGTTAGTTTTTTTTATTATAACGAGATGAATAGGGTGAGACTGTCGCTCACGTGATCAACGCAACACGTGAGTGATCTACTGAGGGGATGCATTTAGGGAAGACTTTTTTATGGGAAGCTGAACCCTATTTAGGTGTTATAAAAGTGAAGATAAATCAGAAAATTGAATGTAGATAGAAATTAATTGATTTACAGAAAATCAATAGATATTTTGGGGTGGGATGTACTGTACTACATGATCTACGTTAAAAGTATTTAAACTTAAACGGAACTACCGAGTTTCGTAGCAATTAGTCGAACGGCCTAGGAGTGTATAGCGATACAAACAAACAAACATCCTCATATATAGGCCTATAAATTACATATTCCTTTATACTTATGAAACAGTTTAAACACAGCATCCGTGCTCTCAATGAAAATATCTTTAGAAAGTTTTAGCATTTTGCAAATATCCTTACATCTTTGTTAACAAAGTTGCACAGACAACTGTACAACAAGCCGCCACTCGAAAACATCGAGTGATGTTTTCACTTCCCAGGACGAGGACCTACGGGTTGGATTTTGGGAAGCGGTGTTATGTGACGGTGTCGTATACTGTAACGAACCGTGATATGTAAATGATTGGATGCAACGAACAAACTACTTAATGGTTCAATTGTGAATGTTATCGTGAGGGGTGTTTATAAGGATGTATTGTAATGAAATCGTCCAAATAACGAAATTCGTGCTTCTTTGAAATCCTCTTCTTCGTCCTAGGAAAAAACTGACATTTTTCTGTGTAAATAAGAATGGTTATTTAAAAAATAAAATTATAATGACTTTACGCAATATATAAAATGTACTGTACGTTTTTAAACAGTAAGTAGAGGCTACGTGTTAATTCTACAAATAAAAGCAATGATTCTAGAAAGAAAACGATGGTATATGGCATATATTACCGCATTCTCTTAGTTTTCGTTCAAATCTACACAAAAAAGTAAACAGAAAGACATAGTTCCCTGTGTTTTCTCTCAGTTTACAAACTCGGAAAGAATTTCTCGTATTTTTCAGTGTTTTCATGTCGTTCTTCACAAAAAAAATGAAACAGCCAGCGGCGTTCACAGACTGTAGAAAGGGGGCACATGCTACGAAAAAACGGCATCGTATATCAGTGCCGTAACTAGGCAGGTGCAACAGGTGCACCCGCACAGGACCCACTTGAAAGATGGGCCCAAAATGCATGTATTTGTTTTATTACTTTCCCAAACCTAATTAATCAAGGGGCCTAAATGCAAATTCCTGCACAGGGCACAGGAATGGCTAGTTACGGCACTGTCGTATATTATTCAAGAAGCTTCAAACTCTATGATTCAATGTCGGTTCGGCGTGGCTCTGATTGCACTGGGGAGGTTAACTTGGCCTCGAAAACAATGGATGTAGTTTTGGTCTATGTATATAAAAACAGTTGCATGGGATAACCAGAAGTCATGAATTTTCTATTGTTTGTCGATAATGAAATTTGGAGCACCCTTGGGATTAGAAAAAGGGGACGCGTGACCCAATGTACGGGCGCTCCTGAAACCAAATGAGAGTAAATGGAAGAAAGGAGACTGGGAGACGTATTGTGTAGGAAGGAGTGTATGGTATTGAGTAGTCTAGTATAATTCCTTTTTATTTACACCAATGTCTTGTCTTATCACCGACATATTCTCCATCATTGTCATAACGTAATTTCGATACTTTCAAATTCGTGTACGCTTCTACTTGAGTGGCGTATTCTCTGATGTATTCGACAGAACAATGTGAATAACATTTATTTTTAACATAAACAAACCGATAAGCGCTTTATTACAATGTCAATTATCTCAAGTTTCAACGATTGACCTCCGCTTTCTTTGTAGCTGCAGGAATGGGTAGAGTTGGGTGACAAGGTCACAGTAGAAACTATGAAAAAAGCATGGGGATTAAAAACCCTTAAAGCTTGTAGTTGTTATACTTAGCCACGGGCACAATACAAGGTCACAGTAGAAACTAGAAAATCTTTGTCCTCCCACTAGCAGTTGTCGAGTCTATTGTATTTGTAAAATAATGCAACTGTTGTTCAAAATGATGATCGATAACATCTGAAATGTTTACCATAGCAACGCTTAAGCAGTTTTAGTACAAACACTTGGATAAAACTGTTAAAAATGAAATATGAAGTCTTCTTCGAAAACAAAAGACTCTTACAAAAAAGATATAGAAATATTGACTCGTCGCTTACAACTAATCGGTAAGTACATTTTTATATGCGTAATAAAATCATATTCTAATATAATTCTTCTATATCTGTAGAAAAGGAGAGGAAGGCCCAAAAAGAAGACTACGAAGAACAACTACGAAACAACGAAAAAATTATAAAAAAATTGAAAGAAGAGGTTGAAGAATTGCACCAGAGAAAGAAACTGATAATTTCGGTAAATATATTCAACTTAAAAACCCGTCTTCGGAAGCATTTTTAGTAATTTCTATTGTTATTTTAGCTAGATCAAGAGAAGAATGTTAAAATCGATCATTCTGCAATTTCGGAAGGAAGAGTTAATTCACTAAACGTGCAAGTAATTTTTAATGTTTTTTTATGTAACAATTTAAACGATTAACTTGCTTGGATTAATAAATTTTAAATAGGGGAAACGGGGCAGTTGTTACCGCGTGTTTTTAACAGTTTCTGCTGTCTGCAGTACCTCACTTATGGCCTGATAAACAAGCGTATATCAATTTAGATTTGTAATGGCAAGTGAGCTATATAAACATATATATAATACCCCAGCCAGATGGTTGAGCGGTCCGGGGATCGAATCCGGACGGGTAGAAAAATCCCCATAATTATTCCTGGTTTCCCCAACACAAAACTTAATTAAAACCTATTGTTTTCGTGTAGCATTATTTTCGATTTCTTGTGCATCTCGTGTTGGCATCTTCATGTTTACAGTGTTAACACTGACAATATTACAAACTTTTGCTGTATTCTAGGAAAGTGTGGACAAACTGAAGCAAAAATTATTTGATCAGACTAAACAGTTGGATTTACTTCGTTACTACAGTAGTAAGAAAGAACAACGATTGAAAAATAAAAAGATTCAATGCAGCGAACTAGCAAAAACAGTTGGGAGAATTAAAAAGAAAAGAAGCGCTAATATATGGAATAATAAAGTAAGTTTTTATAAGAATTAAGTTATACCATTCTTGCGTTTTTATAAGTACAGTATAGGGGAGAATGCGTGGGTTTTAAATACGCCGCTGTTTGTACTTGCTTCCTTGTTTAAATTTTATATCAATGTCTAAAAAAATGGAGACGAGTATAGTTTTTTTGTTATCATTTTAGTTTTAACCCATGACCATTGTTATTGATTGCGAGTAAAAAGTCTTCAATTCGTCGATTATCTTTCCAAATTATAAACACATCATCGACATAACGGTATTTTTTACTCGGTCCGTTAGTTTTACCACCCTGCAGTTCATCTCTTCTAACCATTTTGGATTTTCAAGGGATGCTAATACGCTTCCAACAGCATGAAAGTATATGATAGAAAGAAAGCATGTAAAAACCCTTAAAGCTTGTAGTTGTTATACTTAGCCTTGGGCACAATTCAAGCTTCGAAGCTTGAATCTTACCCTGAAGATGGCCTATAATAAGGTTTTTGGGAAATATTTTTACAATAAAATAAATGTTTTATCTTTATTATATAGAAAATTATAAAACTAGAGAATAAATGGTTAACGAAGAAAATGAGATTAGAAGAAGCTCAGTTTATTAACCAAAAGTATAAAGAAATTAAAGATATTTTACTTCAGGTAAGTGTTTTTTGTAAAAAAAAAACATCATCATATTTGGCACATTGTAGCTTTATGGGGCACAGGCAAATTCGAATTAAGGGTCCTCCATGTACAGTGTTGAATTCAAATATTTTTCTTCGGGGAATCACCAGTATTCTTTCTTTTTTAACGTGACTTCCAGATAAATTATTATTAACCAAATTGTACAGGGTATCCCAAAAGTTTCCATACATACAAAAGTGAAATGTAACTTCACAAAACATTAAAATGTTAGCATTAAAGATTTGTGTCAGTGAATTGAGGGAGTAAGGCAACGGAACACATGAGTGATCTGCCAATAGGATAAACTTCTAGCAGGACTTTCTATGTGGAAACTGGATTCTGTTTAGGTGTTAGACACATGAAGAAAATCCAGAACACTGCATGGTGGCCAGCCCATTGAACAGGCACAACCAACTAAGTGTTCAATGGTTTTTATTTATTTGACCACTGGTGAGCTTGATTTGTGTCACTGTATGGAGACTTTTGGGATACCCTGTATTATTTAGCCTACGGTAAAATTGGTTGTATTATGTTGTTTCGCTTAATGTCGCAGCTTCCAGCCAATAACTTAAATGAGAACTTCCCGTATTTTCAAACTTTTAAAACAATTCTCTTTTTAGCAGAAATATACTGTAACATGTTCTTAATCTTACTTGTTTAGATATTATGATGACTTATCACTTGAAATAAAATTAATATTAATTACATATTAAATCAAGAATTAGTCAAAAATACAAGTACTTGTACGATAAAACAATCAGTAAATTCTGACTGTAGAAAAACTATTTTTGAAATATAACAACACTTGAAGGATATATTTGCAGTTTGAATGTGCTTAATTACCTGAAAGGTCTTCAGATGGTTAATCATCCAAAAAGTCTTTATTAATAAAGAATTGTTGACTCTAGGAAGAAACCATTTGACTTTCTTATATACAGTGAAACATGTTAACATGACCACTGAAGAGACCAGCTCAAAGTGGTCAGGTTAGCAGGTTTCATTGTATGTGTGTGTGTGGTGAAAATAAAATTATATTGCTATATGTATTAGTTACTAGTGTTTCAATACATATGTGATAATACCAATTGAAGTTAAAGTTTTGTTTCTCTTTTTTAGGAGCAAAAATATTTTGAAAAACAACTTGATATTTTAATAGAAGAATTGAAAGATTCTAAAAGTAAAAAAGAAAGTATTGAATTATTAAAAGAAAAGGCTAAATTAGCAAGAGATCTACAGTCAAACAAATTCAATAAATCAAAAAATAGACTTGAAAAGACTAGTCAGAAACAGAAGACAAGAATTGTTAAATATCAAAATCAGCTGTCAAAACTTAAAACAAAACAATATAAACAAACAGTAAGAAAGGTAAGATTATATTCTATTATTAAATAGAATATATTATATATGATTAAACTTCTTTGAATATTAACAAAATTAGCCAACAATTAAAAAAGAAGATTCAATATACAAAAATGATAAAGCAGAAGAAAATTTTTATGAAGAAACACTACAAACAATTAAAGATATTACAGGTGTATCTTCTATTGAAGTTGAGTTGAAATGTTTTACTTAAATATATATTATTAATTTTTGCAACTAATAATGAGAAAATGATTCTAGGAATTTGAGGAAAAATATTTCCAACAGCAAACAACCCGTAAGGAATTAGAAACACTTCGTGATGAATTGCAACAAAGATTAAAAGAATTGAAAAATGAAGAAACAGAAGTAGAAATTACCTTAGAGAAATTAAGAGATACTAATAATTATAACAAAATGTATGCTTTCTAATATATCTACATTTCAGTAATATTAAAAATAAATTATAATCTTTATTTGTAGGGATGTTGCAAAAGATTTAAATCAAAAAGAATTAGCTCTGTTAGCAAAACAACAGCAAAATGAAAACGAAATGAAACAAATTAATAAACTATTGGGAACTATAAAATTATCCTTACAACATATTTTCATAAGTCTCCAAAATATTTTAATCCAGGTATAAAACTGTTTAGAATTAGCTGTATAAGGAACGTAAAAATATAAAAATTGGAATATCTAATTTTTATAGGAAAATTATGAAATTCCAACTAAGAATCTTTCAACTGAAGAACTATTAAAACTATGTAATGATGGTGTTAAAATTCTTCTTAAAAATATTAAAGACCATAATTTACATGAACTGAAGAAGAAAATAGAACTAGAAGGAGTAAGTTTAATCAATTCTCTCTCTTATTTGTTTATTATATTTGACAGATGAATAAATAAAATTTGTTTTTCAGTTTCAGGAACAATTAAAACCAGTAATAGTTTCAGACATTAAACTTAGAAAAGAATTATCAGGTATTTAAATTAATATTTAATCTTATTTTTTTAAAATTAAAACTAAATTACTTATGTTAAAAACCTACAGTTAAGAATCCTTCATTGAGTGATAACGATGAAAATCTTGAAGAGTGTCGCGCATCCATAAAGGAAGCAGCAAAAAAATTTGTGGAAATAAATACAAAGAATAAGAGTGAACAAATACAAATAATTCAGTTATAAATAACTTCTGATCTTATAAATAATGCATCTTATGTGTTATGTTATTAAAATTAATTTTCTGTTTCAAATATCCATAATATTGAAAAAAATAAAACATTTATGTATAATAAATAAATTATTTATCATGGCTTTATTAAATTTACATCATCTGCAGCTTTCTGTTTTAAGTTGTGTAATTCTTCATTAAGTTCATTCTTTAACATTTTCAATTGTTCATTCTCTCGTTGCAAATTGGGAAGAATTTTCTCTAATGTATTACAGGATTCTACAAAAGTTTTGACCTAAAGAAAAAAATATTTTAATACATATTAATATATATAAAATTCAGGTAATAAAATTTTATAAATTCATTTTCTCAATAAGAGAATGTATAACTACATTAATTATATTAATTAATCAAATATTTTCACTAATTAATTTATGTAAAATTTTTAAAAGCTTAAGGAGTAAAAACTATATAATGAAATAAAATCAAATAGAATTGGTAAATACAGTATAAATAATGGATAAATGCTAAAGGCCATAAAAAATTGGTATGATTAAATGCAAATATTTTCCAGTGCTTTTATTTTTTGGATACCATCAATGCAGTGATGCATAGTTTAAAAACTCCACTGGACAGATTACTGCCTGATCTTCCTTGAAAACAGAATCAATTGACTTTGTACAGTACATTATGTAAGTTCCTGGAAGTTGCTTGGATATGCAAATTCAGTTTGACATTCTCAAGCAGTTTTGTTCAAGACAGACTGCATAATCTTCAATACTTTCATTAATTCTTAATAAACTTTTTGTCACATCTGCACTCTTTTGGGCTTTTTTGATGACATTTTCAAAATCGGTTAAAATTCGTTTATTTGTACAGTACTACTAAATTATTTATTCAACAAACAAAAAACTAACAAGAATCATTTTTACAAACAGATAGTGCTACATGTAAAAGCTGTATACTACCCCAATATTTTGAGGTAGTATATAGCTTAGTGTTGATTCTAGGGTCTAAGTAATACTCATACAAATTTTGGTTCAGATCAGTTTAAAAATAAATATTTGTATAAAGGTATGTTGTTGTTGGTTTGTACCAACAAGATTTGATTTTTATATATATAGATTATTATGAATATTGTGCTGTGAACAAATTATATATTTCATAAAATTGTTTGATTTAGAAATAATTTTAATAAAATGTACATTTTTAGAAAATGTTTGTTAGTAAATTTTTATTACTCCACAGATTTGTGGAGTAATAAAAATTACTAGAATTAGTCTAGTTATTATAATTAGCCAAATTTTAGATCAAAAGTAATTTAATTAATACATGAAAGTTAGTATAACAATAAATGATTAATCATCATCAGATACTAACATTGATAATAGAAATTTATCAAAGTTCTTATCAACATATAATTATTAAAATCTACTACTGCTAATATTTTCATCTTTTTAAATGATTTGTTTTTCTGTTTCCAAAAATAATCATCTCTGTTTATTGTATCACTTGGAAACTCATCTATACTGATGATGATAACTGATTAATACTTTTAAAATAACAAAGTTAATTACCCTGCTTAATGATTATGTTGTTATAATTATTATCTTACATGTTTTGGGACATACAGATTTTGTTAACATTAAACAACTGATGATAATACCCATAATTACAAGAAGAGTCTACTGTACTGCTATTCTGTACAATATATAAACAATACTACATTTTTAAATTCTTTGTTTATAAGCCTATACTGAAAATATTGTTTTGATAATTTTATTATCTGAAAAAAACCATAATTTCAATTTTTGCTTCAACAATACAAAATTTATTTTCATTCATAACATTATTACAACAAACCAAAATTATTTTTCAAAACTAACTATGAATACTTTTACCAACATTTATTCTTTGAAAACATTTTTAATGAACATAAATTGAAGATTATTTTTAATAAAACTTTTCAATAGATAAATATAACTGTTTAAAGTTATTCCTTCTCTTATTTCAGTCATTTATACATAAACAAAAGATGAAACAATTCTATGCTGTGTGTTTCAAGGCACTGATAAAAAGCAATAAGTGCATTAATAGTAGAGGAGATTAAGTACAAAACTAAATGTTTTGTGTACAATTATATCTCATTTGTTCACTTTTCATATATACAATCATTAGTATATAACTTATTAACTTTCCTTCATAATATCTAAACACTAATGTATTCTGTTCCTGATATTTGAGTAATACCAATTCTCAATTTAAGCATATTCTGTGTATAAAAACATATAGTTTATTATTTATACACTAAAATTCTTGGTTTCATAAAGAAGCATCCAACTACTAGAAATCACAACTAATCAGCTCTGGAAATTTGTAACTATATTGGCTCAAATGGAGACTGATTATTATAACTAACTCTTGCCTTATGGCCATGTTTAACTTTTAATCTATTTACTATAGATATATATGTATAGTATAAATGTATATAGATAGAGATATGTACAGTACTTATAAGTTCAAAAAAGTGCTTCTTATGAAACTAATACTTAAAGTATGCAAATCTTTAATTCAATAACATTAAAATAAAATAGTATATTTGGTCTCTGCTCCCTTTTACAATAAATTTATTTTAAATTATAATTAATAGATCTGAAATACCTTTAAATATGAAAGATTATAATCATCTAAAACCTTTGATGATAAATTATCTACATGTTTTCCAACTTTAGAACTTGAATCTGCAAACAATTTAAAAGCCAGATTAGTAAAATACTCGTATCCAAAAAAAAATATATTTAAAAATTACATATTTAGAAAAATTAATTAATAAATTTGAAATATAACAATCAATGAATAAGACTGTTATTTATGAAAGTAAAAAAGAATACTTGAAGGCAAATTCATGAGAGTGCAAAAAAAATATTTTATCACGACAACATTGACACGATAGCTTCAACAATGTCTAATTAAATGAAATCAAATATAAAGTCTCTAGTTAATTAAAACAAATAAAAACATGTTTTTATTATAAATTATTTTTTCTAAAATCCAAGAAATTTTTAAATTAAATAGACAATTTTTAATAAAACATTTTTTGTTTCTATTAATGAAATCTAAATTAATATAAAAAATGAATATAAGTACATACTTCCAAACAGAACACAAATAATCCAAACAATTGAAAGAAACTAAATACCAAGGGATCTCTGAATAATATTTTAACTTTCCATCATTTTTGAAGAAAAAAGACAGCAGCACATCGTATGCCGAGATTTAAACTTCAGTCTCTCTCCATTTTCACACCGTAAGCAGTGACGGACCGGGTATAAAAATTCGGTTGCCAGCAGACAAAACAGGCCCACGTAAGGCTATTATTTAATTTTACACAAAATAAATAAAATTTTCAAACAACACATATATGGAAGAAAGATGCAATTAAAATTTTTGCTAAATAAACTTATACTTTTTAGTAATTACAGCGTGCATATATTGAACAATACACCTTACTAGCAATATACAATAGATACTGAATGTAAATACAGATTATTAAAATTTAATATTTTTTAATTTTATACAAATGGTAGGTATTTTGAAATAGTTTGCTTGTACCGAACGTTTTACACATTAACAGGTATATCGAAAGCATATTTCACGCAATCAACTATTAATAGCAATCATTTAAATTCACTAGGTGATTTTATCTTCGATAATTGCTTACATATCCAATTCATCTAATAAATCTTTTTCAATGGATAGCAACATTGAAAAATAATTGTCCTTTCACATTAGACTCAACAGTAGTGCGCAGGTAACTTTATAAAGATTATTGGTAAAAGTGCATATAGGTACTCCTTATGGCGCAAAGGTCAGATTTTAACTGTATCAGTCTACTTCCTATTCTACACGCTTCACACGTAGATGTACAGCCGGTGCCTCGACATCCAGTTGGGAGCGAGTCCCCACACCACCTTCAAACCGTATAGCATCGAGTACTCCACGAACAATCAAGTGAATTAAATAATTAAACGCCATAGTCTCGGAAGTACCACCATTACAACTACCTACGTGCGCTTCTACCAGATTATCATATACCTTTTTATGAAGTCTGATGGATGCCAAAATATTCAGTACACATGATAAATAGATGAGGAAAATTTGAGGAAATTTTCTTCAAAACTTCAAATTTCGGCAGAAAATTTCAAGTTTTCCTCATTTCCTCAAATGAAGATACAAATAATTTCGGTTAAATTTACCTTGGGTAGCCAAAATGGCGGCTCGTTTCTGATTCCAGCAAACAAAAGAAACAGTGGGGACGCACGTTCTAACCTAACCTAACCTAACCTATTCAAATAAATTACCATAATTATTACCAACCAAATTATTAGAATAGGTTAGGTTAAATTAGAACGTGCATTCCCACTGTTTCCTTTCTTTTGTTTGCTGGAATCAGAGATGAGCCGCCATTTTGGCTACCTAAGGTAAATCTAACCCTTTAATACCTGGACTGATTAATAAGACGTCGTCGGGTTTAGCGAAACTTAAATCTTCTAACATTTCTTCAATCGAAGGAGGAGACGGCCTTTCGGGTAAGATCGATTTCTTTTTAAACATTACAAAATTGTCTAAAACTTAAATAAATCCAACGAATTACTTAGTTTTTACTTTAATTCGCTATTATTATTATCCTATTTTAATATTTAATTCTACAGAATATGTCTTTCGCTCGCCATCTTGATTGTTTACACTTTCAAGCGCCCCCTAAAGGAGATTTTTAGAGTTAATATATATTATTAAAAAAAAATTCTTTTTTATGGCAGTAGTCAAATTCTCAGTAAATCGTCAGATTTTTAATAAATAATTTAATTGATAAATAAAATAAATATTTAAAGATGTTATTTGTACGATTAATCAATTGCATAATTTATTTTTTTTAATTGGAATTTACGTCATCAAATTTCATCTGCTTCTAGTAGTAAAACTTTTATCCACTACTGATTAAATGTAATTTGTACTCATTTCAAATTTGTTAAAAACATAAAAACTTTCATGTATTAAAGTTAACATAACACCAACACCGCTTCCCAAAATCCAACCTCTAGGTCCTCATCCTGGTAAGTGTAAACGTCACTCGATGTTTTCGAGTGGCAACTAAAGAAGCTCTGGTACTTTTTTTTAACTCTTTCCGCCCTGTGGGCACTAAGAGAGCTTCCTTTTGCAAGCCCATTACAAGTTCGGCTACGCCCACAATGATACTGCCGAGTAATAAGAAACAAGGCCCGACATATCCGAACGGACCATCCCCGAAAAATTCGTGGAGAATTTTCGACCCGTTCGCATTCGAGCCCGGGTCCCCCAGAGCGGTGGGCTGCCACCTTGACCGCTCGGCCATCCGGCCGCGAGGCTTTGGTACTGTACACTAAATATACACATTCTTAATCTCTGCGCAACTTTGTCAAGAGAGATATAAGGGATATTTACACAATGCTAAAACTTATAGGGATGAAAATATTTTTAAAATATTTTCATCGAAAAGCACGGATATTATGTTCAAACTTTTTTTAAGGTTAAGGGAATCATCTAATTATCAGTATTTTCGACTTTAAAAAACCGATGGTTGATTCCTTTACTCTATTTCTATGGTAAACAGGAAAAAGGTTCTTCTTATTCCTATAAAAATAAATACGACGCTGAAAGTAACGAGCCGAAGACTTTTGCAGTGTAAATTTGTATTCTTTGCTTTCCGTAATCGGAAAATTAACGATTGAGCATGTCCACACGTGAACCGAAACCTACATTTTCAATAGTTTATCACTATTAAATCCGTACCTGTATATTAATTCTTTAAATAAGACCGAAGGCATCTTATCTAGTATTTTATAATCATCTCCAAAATAATACAGATGTTCATCTAAATTCTGTATATAAAATTACTTGTCCTAAATGAAAAATACATTCATCATTGTACAGAGTTAGGGTACGTCATGAAAACTCACACTAAGCAAAAATTTTTCGAAATTTTCCCCTTTCCGGGTAAGAGAGGTAACAGATTAAAGCTTAACCTGAAAAACGGTTTCAACTTATTTCAATACGATTTTTTGTTTTCAACTACGACTAATCTTCATTGAGTTCTTAGCAGTTGCAAGCTGTAATTAAAATCAATAAAAGCGCCGCTTCCCTTGTATTTTATAAATAATAAATACATATAAATTTTAATTATATATAAATTATCGCACAATATTTTATTATAACCGCATTATGTATCTTATTAAATATTTCTACAGTACACGTATATAGTAATAACAAAATCGCTATTGTATATTCAAACATTAGTGGCGAAGTGATAACGCCGTGTTGTCACATTCCAAATAAACAGATTTGCGTATGAAATTTACAAAAAGAATACTCACACAAATCACCCAGTAAAAGCCTACAACCTTCGGTTAATAATACACATATAACACTTCCCACTCTATACAGAACCGGTTCTGGGCTGTTTGCCGCTCGCACGCTAAATATTTGGCCCGCCCTCTCCCAATAACGCGAATCGCGAGTAGCTTTATAAATTCACCAAACCGATTCTAATTTACTAGTACGTTTTCATAATAGTATACGGTGTGTGTCTACCCCTCGATGTTGTGAGGATAACGTCATATCTTATTTAAACCCGCCTCTTACCCGTCGCCGGCCGTTCTCTAGCGACACTCTGAGATTTCAAATGTCCGGTCACTTTGGTCTAAAATGTGCGTGTCTACCCCTCGATGTTGTGAGGAGGACGTCATGTCTTATTTAAACCCGCCTCTTACCCGTCGCCGGCCGTTCTCGGCCTTAGCGACACTCTGAGATTTCAAATGTCCGGCCACTTTGGTCTAAAATGTGTGTGTCTACCCCTCGATGTTGTGAGGAGGACGTCGAGGACGTCATGTCTTATTTAAACCCGCCTCTCCTCTTACCCGTCGCCGGCCGTTCTCGGCCTTAGCGACACTCTGAGATTTCAAATGTCCGGTCACTTTGGTCTAAAATGTGTGTGTCTACCCCTCGATGTTGTGAGGAGGACGTCATGTCTTATTTAAACCCGCCTCTTACCCGTCGCCGGCCGTTCTCACCCTTAGCGACACTCTGAGATTTCAAATGTCCGGTCACTTTGGTCTAAAATGTGTGTGTCTACCCCTCGATGTCGTGAGGAGGACGTCATGTCTTATTTAGGAGGACGTCATGTCTTATTTAAACCCGCCTCTTACCCGTCGCCGGCCGTTCTCGGCCTTAGCGACACTCTGAGATTTCAAATGTCCGGTCACTTTGGTCCGGCCGTTCTCGGCCTTAGCGACACTCTGAGATTTCAAATGTCCGGTCACTTTGGTCTAAAATGTGTGTGTCTACCCCTCGATGTTGTGAGGAGGACTTCATGTCTTATTTAAACCCGCCTCTTACCCGTCGCCGGCCGTTCTCGGCCTTAGCGACACTCTGAGATTTTAAATGTTTCGTCAATATTTGTTTAGTTCGAAAAGTCTAACCCTCAGTGTTGTAGGGAAAAGGTGTCGTCCGAATGAAACCTGTGTCTTATTCCTGGCCGGTTATTTTTCGGCCACAACGACAGAGATTCAATGTTCGGTGAAAATTTCTATAATTACAATGATTTTTGTATTTGTATATTTTATCGATCAGTTAGTTCATTCTAATTATGCTTTATATTTAATTGTTTTTGTATTTTTTAATTTGTCTTTCATTTGTGGCCCTAATGCCAAAGTGGTATTTTTGATATGCAACAACTGACTTAGTTGCTGTTTACCAAAAATATGCAATGTTTACGTTATAAAATATCAAAATATAATTATATAATTTATTATAAATAATGCAATTATAATTATATTATCAAAAGTAAGATAACAATTAATTATCGTATATTATTATCTATTATTGTTGTATGTTAAAATGTAAAATTGAATTAGAATGTACTGTACCTGAGATAAAGTTTATTGTTACGTTTAATGTTAATTAAATTTTTAACATTTTATTTGCATGTAATTTGTGAATTGATGCTGTATTATATTATAAAACTTTTATTTGATTATTTAGGCGTTTAACTGCCATAATATTTCTAAAATGATAGGCCAGAAAACGAGCACTCTAAGAGATAACTTTTAATAAGTATTTGGAGATACTGTGCTACTGAATGGATTAATTTTAGGGAAAATCATTGTTTCTTTCTTTCAGGTAACATTTTACCTTATTCCAGTTCAGTTACAATCTGTTGGTATTTGAAGAAAAACAATTAAAAAGAAATGTTTTATAAACATTACAAGGAATTACTCCTAGACGTATATTTAGACTTTTTAAAACTTGCTTTATGTAATGCTAAATGATTGGAAAAACTAGAAATATTATCTTAAAGTGGTATATAAAATCAATGTTTTCTTTACAATAGGCAAAAAATACTTATAAACTATTATATGAAACTATTTTGCTGTCGTAGATTGGGCTTCCTCTTGTCGACTACCATTGTATATAAATTTTGCTTTTTGTGCTACTGCTTATTGTAATAAAAAATATCAAAGTTTATAACAGCTTTAAACCATCGAATACGAGTGCCATTATTCTATATTTAGTGTTCCGTATTTGTTTATGTGGCTGTTGTAATAAAAATAAATTGTTGAATACGTATTTAGAGTAGCATCAAAGTAACTTTGCAATTAAAATTTTCATTATAATTAAATTAATTTTGAATGTATTTTCTCTCTTTTGTATTAATGTATCACTTAAAGTCCTTACACATGTAAACTTATTATAAACTTACGCTTATAAACTTATTAATGAACAAAATTAAATTTACAATAGCAATGTTATACACAAAACAGTATATCTAACAATAAAAATACAGTAGACCCTTATAACACTGTTGATAATTCAGTGTTATATGAATTTCATGTTGTACGAGTCACTTAGATTTTACAAATACGTGAGCCGTTCACAGCCCGGCGTATTTGTAAAATTTAAGTGACTCGTACAGCATGGAATTCATATAACACTGAATTATCAACAGTGTTATAGGGGAGTCTACTGTATACAAAAATAATTTTGTTAACCAGTAGCGTGTTATCCTATGGACAAAAAATACAATTTCCTGGGTGGGCCTCCCTAATTCAAATTCAAATAGACTCCGTAAAGCTATAACATGCCACTGTCATTAACTTATTTCAACTTTTTTTACTTTGAAAAGTAATTAGATTTTTGGACTGCAATTTCTATACCTACAAATTCGATCTGTCTTTACTTAATATCGAGAACGGAACCCGATAAGGAAACCTCAAGGGCCAAAGGCCCCAATTATCTATATGAAAACTTCTGATGCAAACCGGAAGTTGAGTTATTACAATTAAATCTTCCCCTGGAAAGTGTTAGAGATATGACAGGCACAACTGTATTGTTAAAGGAAAAGTGTGATGTGCAGGGTCAAGTCACTACTAATTTGAGGTTGAGAGGATATATTTTAAGTTAAAAAAAATTAAAAATTGCAGCCCAACATTGTGACAATGTCACAATATGTAATTGCTTGTTTTTAAAGAAAACCATTTGGTAAATAATATATTATGATAGACTCACGTTAGCATCACTAGCTGTGAAATCGTCTTTAATCGTGTTAACCAATCGTCAATTTTTCCTCAGAAAAAGTTATACACCATATCAATTGTTAACTTTCACTATATACTTCATTTTAAGATTGCAGTTTCTTTTTTTCTAATAATTTTCATGAATTATATCCATCAAAATCCTGGAAATAACGTTTTGTTTAATAAATAATTTTGCTGGTAGTTTTAAAAATTATATTTCGTTCAAACAGTAATAATTCTGACAGTTAATGAAAGGGACATCATCATTAACTAATATTATTTATTATAATGTGTATACTTTGAACTAGAAAAAGATTAACGGTAGTTATTAACTTTGTTTTCCTACACCATTGTTAGAGAACCTGTGACATTTTGTGGTTTCTAATGCTACCAGACAAAATATAGTGTGATAAAATTCATGACATGTGCCCATGTTGCAGCAGTCTTGTCAACAGCTTGCTTTATCTTTCTCTAGACATAGTTATCAATGTTGCAAAAAATAATCAATATTCAGCCTGTACAGTATGGATTATTCCAAGATCAGCTGTAGAACAGCAGTACAAAGCACTCAACTTGCACATTTTCCAGTTGGGACTCAAACCAAGCAGTTGTCATCTGACAGGTAGATTCTTTACTTTTGTTTCATCTTTTAATATAGTTTCCAATTCAACTATTTATTAAAAATACTTTGCATCATTCAATCTTGAGTTTGCAGTGTGTAGAGCACACATTGTTCATATAATAAAATATGTTCTTGATGTTTTTGCAATGATTAAAAGCCTCATCTAATATATACAAACATCTCCAACCCGATATATAATTATAGCTACAACCAACAGACTGCCGAAAATCTATCGGGCTAGTTTTATGCTACTTAGTAGCATAAAACTAGCCCGATAGATTTTCGGCAGTCTGTTGGTTGTAGCCTCATCTAATATTCTCCATATCTATGTCATGTACAGTAGATATCAGTACATGATCCTTCTTTGGATAAAAGTGATGAAAGAATGCAGTGTAGTGTAGTATGAAATCATTTCTTACCTGAGGTACTGCAATAAAACATGGCAGTTAATCGCTATTTAGAATTTTTTCTTCCTCTGCAGCAGTCATCCAAAATGATCAATGGTCCAAATGCTGCAGTAGTTGGAAGAAACTGCCTGTATCATCAGGATTGAAAATGTCATCTGTGCTGTACGTAAATATTGTATCTTGTCTGTAGTCCATGCACATGCTATGTGCAATGAAACATCAATGTTTCTCTGCATAAAGATTTTGAGATAATTTCATACTTTTCAAAAATTCCCTGTAATAACAAGGAACTGCCTATGGGACAGTGGCACGCTTGAACATCTTGAAACCAGATGAAAATAACTTTCCGCATATCCTCAAATTGTGTGCTATGCGTTTTATTCCTGCTGGACTCAACATTGGATCTTTTTAACTTTTTCAATGTTGATGCTCATTTAAAATCATTGACAGAATGGAAAGGGTGATGCCAAACTCCCTTGAAACATCTAATTTTTACTTAGAATCAACTTCTTGTAGAAAGAAGCTTTTTGAACAATAAAAATTGGTTGCATTTTTCCCCTTTGGCATATTTCATTATGAAGTCTGACAAGATTACTTTCAGTGACTGATGGATCATAACTACAGCGTAGTAAAGTATATTACCCATTTGATACTAAAGTAGTGTAAGGATTCGTTTAATATAAAACACTTATTTACTTTCTTCTTCTTGTAACTTCCTAGTATCATCTCCATACACATCTTATTTGGTGGTGGCATTAAAAAAAGATGGTCTATGGTCTGAAAGATCCTGTCACTGGTGTCATCCACTCTTTTATGGGTTTTCACTGGGTACTTCCAGAATATTCTAATATAAGTAACAAATAATCCAGTCCACCCACCACACCAGCCTTGATCTAAGGCATCTTCTAGACATGCCCCTTTTGTCCAGTCATCTATGGAACTTCATAATCATTTTCATCTAACCCATCCCAGTATTTTGATATATTGGGAATGTTCAGCATAGTGAAAAAACCTTTGATATTCTGAAATTTATATTGACAGTTCTTCAGCTAAGTTTTACAGGTAGCCAAATTGGACTTCAAATTGTTTGCTATAATGAGGGATTATCTGTATGTTTAACAGTAAAAAAATAAGCACTCTCTCTCAAATACACTTTTTAATGTTCTTTAAAACTATATTGTTTGATTTTAAAAGTACAACAAATCCAAAAAATAAATTTAAATACTTTGTTGTCATAGCAATCACAAACATATTAAATTACAAATATTATTAATTACAAGTATTAATTCCTTACATATATAGTAAAATATAGAATGAAAATTTAAACAGAATGAATCTTTATTTATTTAAAATATAAATTTTACAATAATTCATACTTTATAATCTGTTCTTACAGTTATCTCTATTACATTAAATATGATAAAGAAAATTTGAACCTAATTTTATTGTGTTTAATTAACATAGGGCTAATTAATCCAAAATGAACTTCAAACCAAATCAAACTCCGAATGCCAATTTTTACAAAATTTAAAATTAAAATGGTCCCAAGAATATAAAAGTAAAGTAAAGTAGTTCACTGACCATTTATAGAAGAAAATGTTGCATGCTCTTTGTCATAGTGGAAATGTTTGTTAAAAGATTGCAGTGACAAAGTTCAATATCAACATTTTCTAAAGAAAGGTGTGTACAGCAGATAACCTGAACAATTAAAAAATAACATTATTTAAAATTGATTCTAAAATATGAAGAAATATAGTAATGATTTAAAATAAATGTAATCACTTCCAGCCACTTACCATTGAGTTGATTTTCATTCATACAAAGTAATTTTCATACATAGATGTCACATAGCTGCTCTATTGGTATGTCAGAAGCCTAAATGATGTCACACAACTCCTGGCTTTAAGTGCTCACAATCAGTTAAATCTATTAAACATGTAAAAAATAAAATGTCAGAATCATCAATGTATTCAAGAGTTCAAAGAACAGCTATTTTTAATATAAAAATAAGCAAACAAACATTAAAATTCTAGTTAAGCATCAATTTCATATGTATTAATAAAAATTAAACCATATGCTAAGAGAAATAAAACAACTTCTTTTAAAAGAAATGGTTTATTTAAAATTTTCACATTTTTTTAAAATTTAACATTGGGTTCAGCAAAAATAAGTACAGTATGTTAATTATAGCTTAGATAGAACTTCTGGTTATATAAATGGCATTCTAGATATTAATGCAAATAAATTAAGTGTAGTAGTGTGATTTGATTTGTGTAAAGCTGTAAATTTGAGTATTGGGTGTTGTTAAGTTATGTACTTTATGAATGAGCAATGGTGTTAAATTGCCCCAATTGAAAATAATTCTTAATAAGGAAATACAGTATTACAAAAGTCAAGTGAAATCTTGATAAGTTAAAGTTTTATTTGTATATATATATAAAACAATTAGTTGTTAAATTGGGGAAGAAATTGTTCTTCATCACAATAATAAAAGATAAAATTCAAATATATTTACTATACAATCACACAAAAAATTATAAATAATACATCATACATATTGTTATTACATATTATATTATATATGTAATCAGAATTCTCAATAAAATATATTAAAATTAATATTATAGAAGGAATGAAAAGATATATAAAATCAGTATGGCGCCGAACGTCCGTAGTTTTCGCGTTTAAAACGTCGGCCGCAACCTCTCTATTATGATTTAAACTTTCTTCTAATGTCTTTCTTAAATGTTTATAATTTATCTTGATATGAAATAAATATAATTTGAAGGACTAATTTATTATTTTTAATTAAAATTGCAATTCGTATTACTTTGAATTGGTGAATGAATAACATTACTTTTCAAGCATCATTCTACTACAATAAATTCTTAGATTCATCAATGAGGATTCTAAACTTTTATATGCCATTTTCTACTGCATCAATGTACAGAATTAGAATGAAAATAAAAAAGTCTTACCTTTCCTTTGTTAATTTTTTGAGCAAAGAAGTTTTTAAAATGATTCCATGTTTCTTTGGAAAGTGGATTATAAAATTTGAGAATGATACTTCTTTCTAGAATAATTTAAGAATTTAAATATTAAGAATAGAAAAAATCGAGATGATTGATTAACTAATTAATTTAATAATAAAACCATTTTCTAATATAAAACATTTATTGTTTCATTCAAAAGAATATAAGACGATATACAAGCGAATATCATTTATAATCTGATAATTTAATTCGATGCTAAGTGGAAACAACCTTAAATATTTTAAGTAAAATTTAAGACTTTTACTTAATATTCTATCGACAATTATTCAATTTTGATCGCTTATAAATAAAAAAACGTTACATTGCCTGCGTTATTCGGGTTTTTGTAATTAAACATTTACGAAAAATCTCGAAATGGATTGAAAAATAACTCGCAATTTCCATAAAACTTTCTATTTCAAGATGGCGTCGGCAATACGAAATCGAACGAATTCGAATCGGTGGAACGTGCGATAAATGAGTCACACGTTACGTCATAAGTTCTACGTCAGAATATTAACTAATTGCAAATGTTATCTTTAAAATGCTAAAATAGTCCTCTTTTTTGTAAAATATCGCTAAGATATTTGTAATAATAAATAAAATTATAAAAATGCATTCCGTAACCTTACAGGTTACAGGCCGCAAATATAGGTTTAAAGCGTATCTAATTTAATCTATTTAATTTTTATATAAATCGAAAAATATTATGTTACCTACGTTACGCGAGTTTTCATTATTAAAATTTGTACGAAAAATGTTAAAATGGAGGGAAAAAGAACTCGCAATTTCCGGATAGCATAAATTTCCAAGATGGCGTCGGCAACAATACGAAATGGAACGAATTCGAAATTGTCGTTGCAATGCGTCACGCGTTACGTCACGAGTTTTACGTCATAGATGTAATATTTCGAGTATTTTAATTACATTTTTTAAAGGAAAGTTTATTTTTAACAAATTCTTTTCCCTCTGATTTGGCAGAATATTTGTTATATGTAAAACTTCGCTAAAAAGAAAATTTTCTCAGATTACATTACAAGTGGTTGGGGTTTGATTAGAAACAATTACGTTTACCATTGTCCGATCGGGAATTTACAACATATTTCATACAACTGAAAGTTTTAATTTATATTGCCACAATATTTTCTTAAGTGTGAAAGAATGGGTAGTTGCACTTCCTTCTTGCGGATTGATTGTGTAATTTACCAGTAGCGTGCCGTCATTGGAATTGGTGGAAGCGCCGCTTCCCTTGTATTTTCTAAAAAATAAATACATATTATTTTTAATTATATGAAAATAATCACACAATATTTTATTATAACCGCATTATGTATCTTATTACAAATTTCTATACTACACGTGAAAAAAAAAATCGCTATTGTATATTCGAATATTAGTGGCGGAGTGGAAGCGCCGTATTGTCAGCCTCCAAACATCCAGATTCGCGCATGCGGTTTACAGAGCACCAACCTCACCCCGTTTAGCTACGTGCAACTAAATATTCAGATGGCACAACGCGCTGATTGGTCGGCTGGATGACGTCAATCCACCGAAATAGGAAATACTGGTCGATTATATTTTGTGGTCGTCAGAACGAAGTCACACAGAAATAAATTATTATTATTTTTTTTTAGTTGTAATATGGAGTGAGTATAAAGTGAAAATACAGTACTGTACTGTAAGTGCCAGGAAAAAGTAATGTTGCATTAGTAATGTGATGTTTTCATAGTAAGCTATTTTTGTTTCTGTTGTGTAAGAAAATATAAAACAAATTGATATTCGGTGTCTATATTTAAGTTTCCATAGGATTTGATTTGAAAGCAAACCAATGAAATAGAGAATTTGTAGAAAAATAACTTATTATTTAAAATGTTTTAACAATTATGCATTAAAAACTATGATTATGTTTAGGTAAAAATTATATTAAATTGTTAACTAATCTGCATTTCCACTTAGCATATTCTGTTGTAATATATATATAAAACATTAAATACAAGTTTTTGTAAGTTTAAAAATACTGTATTGNTGAATGAATAACATTACTTTTCAAGCATCATTCTACTACAATAAATTCTTAGATTCATCAATGAGGATTCTAAACTTTTATATGCCATTTTCTACTGAAACAATGTTTAGAATACATAACAATTTAGAATGAAAATAAAAACGTCTTACCTTGCTTTTGTTTTGCTTCTTGTTAAATTTTTGAGCACAAGAACTTTTTAAAATGATTCCATGTCTCTTTGGAAAGTGAATTATAAAACTTGAGAATGATACTTCTTCCTAGAATAATTTAAGAATTTAATTATTAAGAATAGAAAAGATCGAGATAATTCATTAATTAATTAATTTAATTAATATTAAAATCATTTTCTAATACAGGACATTTATTGTTTCATTCAAAAGAATATAAGACAATATACAAGCGACAATTATTCAATTTTGATCGCTTATAAATAAAAAACGTTACATTACACGCGTTATTCGGGTTTATGTAATTAAACATTTACAAAAAAGCTCAAAATGGAGGGAAAAATAACTCGCAATTTTCAAAAAAATTTCTATTTCAAGATGGCGAAATGGAACGAATTCGAATCGGTAGAACGTGCGATAAATGCGTCACACGTTACGTCATAAGTTCTACGTCAGAATATTAACTAATTGCAAATGTTTTCTTTAAAATGCTAAAATAGTCCNTAAGAATAGAAAAGATCGAGATAATTCATTAATTAATTAATTTAATTAATATTAAAATCATTTTCTAATACAGGACATTTATTGTTTCATTCAAAAGAATATAAGACAATATACAAGCGACAATTATTCAATTTTGATCGCTTATAAATAAAAAACGTTACATTACACGCGTTATTCGGGTTTATGTAATTAAACATTTACAAAAAAGCTCAAAATGGAGGGAAAAATAACTCGCAATTTTCAAAAAAATTTCTATTTCAAGATGGCGAAATGGAACGAATTCGAATCGGTAGAACGTGCGATAAATGCGTCACACGTTACGTCATAAGTTCTACGTCAGAATATTAACTAATTGCAAATGTTTTCTTTAAAATGCTAAAATAGTCCCCTTTTTTGTAAAATATCGTTAAAATATTTGTAATAATAAATAAAATTATAAAAACGCATTCCGTATCCTTACAGGTTACGGGCCGCAAATCTAGGTTTAAAGCGTATCTAATTTAAATTATATAATTTTGATATAAATCGAAAAATATTAAATTACCTACGTTACGCCTGTTTTCGTTATTAAAATTTGTACGAAAAATGTTAAAATGGAGGGAAAAAGAACTCGCAATTTCTCGGAAAACATTCTATTCCAAGATGGCGTCGGCAACAATACGAAATGGAACGAATTCGAATTTGTCGTTGTAATGCGTCACGCGTTACGTCACGAGTTTTACGTCATAGATGTAATAATTCAAGTATTTTAATTGCATTTTTTATAGAAAAGATTCTTTTTAACAAATTCTTTTATGTCGGATTTGGCAAAATACAGTAGAGCGTCATTTATCCGAATCAATTGGGGACTGGGGTTGTTCGGATAACTTATTTTTCGGATAATCGATTATGTACGAAAAAATATATTAATTTATGTTGTGTTGAAATTTTTCTTTGTTTCGTGTCGCTTCGCGTTGAATTTTCGTCGATGTTAAGCCTAACGAAGACTGTTGTATCGTTAAAAATTATTTTTTTTATTTTGTACGAACAAAATAAATATATTGAAAAATAAAAAACAATAAAAAATTATACTTCAGATGTTAATTTAGTATCAAAAACGTAAAATATTTGAGTAGTTCAAGACATAGCCAAAGATTGCAGCTCCACAGCACTGGCGAAAATTTAAATTTACCGACTGGAATTCTTTCGGATAATTGACTTTCGGATAATCGACGCTCTACTTTATTTGTTAAATTTAAAATTTTGCTAAATAGAAAATGTATTGACATAAACGTAATAAAATCACCTAGATGACACAGAATAAAAATAATTTCTAATAAAATAAGTAGTATTTATTTTCTCGATTCTAAAGCGCATCTTTTTTGAACTTTTTTAATCTTCAAAATTAGGATGTGCATTAAATGCGAGAACAAAGTCAATTTAAAATGCTGCCTTGTTGGCTGTTTCTTCCTCACTTCGCTCGGCAATTCGCATATATTACATCGTTGTTATAAACCCTCCCACGAATTCGGTTTTTGTTTGATGGTCCTCTGGATTATAGCAATGAGAGTGAAAAATGTTTGGCAGACAGGTCAGTCGAAGCTAAATTTTAGACTATAAAAACGAATCTTATTGTAGGATTAAAATTTATTCGTATTAAATAAATTTCTATGTAATCTTTTTCAACACTACAGTACTAGAATTTTTTTGGCTCCTTGCAAAGTTCAATTACTTTAAGGAAATTGTCACTTCTTTTCCTTTTATGTCTTGCAATGTAAGAACATTTTGCAAGACATTTTACATAATGCATTTTGATTGAAATTTTTACAAAGTGTAAGAGTAATATGCATTATAGCATAATGTATTACAATGAGAGGTAGGTATATATGTTATAAGTTTACAAATTAAGATACTAAAGATTAAGTATACATGTGTTGTTTCATATATGTTATATATGTTATAAGTTTACAAATTAAGATACTAAAGATTAAGTATACATGTGTTGTTTCATATAGAAAAGATAATTGTTATACAGTANAGAAGGCTGTCTAAATGCGAGGGACGCAGAAAGTCTTCCCTCTGCATGGAAGTTTATGGTTAAGAAGTTTAATAAGGGCTCTAACCAATCAATATAGTAGTTTTATTGAATGTCTTAGTAATTGCATTTATTAATACTTATATATTCATTTGTTGCATTTTTATATATTTTTGTTTTTTATATTTTTATTTTTGTTTTATGTTGGTTATTTAATATTTTGTTTTAATTGTACCTTATTTAATTTTGAATTTGAATTTTGTATTCCATTGATGGAATTTTAATTCAAATGTATTCTAAACCTGAAGATGGCCTGTGAATCAGGCTGAAAACGTTTGTTTGTTTCAAATAAATTATATTTCTCGGCAAGAATAAGGTGTTAAGTATATGTATATGTATAGTGATTTGCTGAGTACTTTATGATATTATAGTAAATATACAAAAAAGCTTTATTGAAATGAAAAACAGGTGAAAGTTACTTCTTGTTATTTAAAACTCTCTCAACATTAAAATCTTTGATGTCACGTAATTTAGTTTAACTGAAAATTTTTCAATAATTTTAACATTTATGTCAATACACACGAGAGCTAGTGAAATTATAAATAAGTGCCTTTTATCGAGTTTTAGATGAAATGTCTATAATTATAACGTCTGCCCGCTCTCAAAACTCTTACAAAGNCGTGCCGTCATTGGAATTGGTGGAAGCGCCGCTTCCCTTGTATTTTCTAAAAAATAAATACATATTAATTTTAATTATATGAAAATAATCGCACAATATTTTATTATAACCGCATTATGTATCTTATTACAAATTTCTATACTACACGTGAAAAAAGAAATAAGATCGCTATTGTATATTCGAATATTAGTAGCGGAGTGGAAGCGTCATATTGTCAGCCTCCAAACATCCAGATTCGCGCATGCGCTTTACAGAGCACCAACCTCACCCCGTTTAGCTGGCGAAAGCCTAGAGGACCTTGGGTTGACATATAACTGCTACACATATAACGCTTCCAATTCTATCCAGGACCGGTTCTGGGCTGTTAGTCGCCCGCCTGCTAGATATTTGGCCGCCCTCGCCNTCACGTAATTTAGTTTAACTGAAAATTTTTCAATAATTTTAACATTTATGTCAATACACACGAGAGCTAGTGAAATTATAAATAAGTGCCTTTTATCGAGTTTTAGATGAAATGTCTATAATTATAACGTCTGCCCGCTCTCAAAACTCTTACAAAGTGTAGGCTAATTAATCAACATTTACAGTAGGTTGACGTCATTCAGCCGACCAATAAGCGCGTTGTGCCATCTGGATATTTAGTCGCACGTGTTTAGCTGGCGAAAGCCTAGAGGACCTTGGGTGGACATATAACTGCTACACATATAACGCTTCCAATTCTATCCAGGACCGGTTCTGGGCTGTTAGTCGCCCGCCTGCTAGATATTTGGCCGCCCTCGCCCGATTACGCGAATCGCGAGTAGATTTATAACTTAACCCAACCGATAAGAATTTACTGGTACGTTTTTATGATAGTTCGGTATAGTTGACAGAAATCCATTAAAATATTTGATATTTTTATTCCGCTCTCCCATCTTATATTACTCACGGATTTCAATGTTAAACCAGAGATATTACGATTTCGTACATCCCGTGTTTAAGGGGATGTAGAAAAAAACGTTTACAATTCTTGTATAATGTTAAAAAATTAACCGTTACTTCGACAGCGTCATTTACGACTAAATTTAATGAACGAGAGAGATGCACCAGGTACAGAAAAAGCTGTAGAATTTGTTTTCCTTACATTTACGATTTATGTATCCGTTTGTCACAAAAATTTGTCTTTCCACTTTTTTCCCGAGACTACAAATATTCGAGTACAAAGTAACTAAAGTAAAGTAAAGTAAAAAGGTTTCGACTTATTTCTACTTAAGAAGTAGTTAAATAATTAAGCTATTAGGGAATTGGGGACGTAAACAAAACCCTGACGAAAGAGCCGGAATATTACTTAAACAAAAGCTTAACCCAACCAATCTATAGCCCAGTACAGTGGGGACTGATTTGTTCGAAATACTGTATTAGATGTAATAAAGACAGACATTTCTCCAGTTCGACGAGAGTGACCGAAAAGTTGGAAATTTCCCTGGACAACACCTGGTCCTAAAACGAATTAGTTAGAAAACAAATGACTATTAAGTTTAACAAATTTAGATTTTTACAGCTACGGTCAGAAACGTTTAAAATTTACAACAACCCTGTCGCGTTTTTTGAGATATACTAGTGATACGACAAAAGAGGCATTTGACATTGACCGGTATCGACACCCTCGTGATTTGGCAGCCCGCGTGCATGCACCCACCGCACACCTAGCATGACCGTCTCTGATTCCACTGGTAGGGAGATATTTGATTAACTTGTAAATGGTTAAGATTTAAAAAGTAAAAAAGATTTTATGTTATTTTTATGTAAATTTCTTTACAAAGTTATATTTAATTATAATTTTCCTTAAAAGTATATTTATACAATTGAAGAATCTTTTGTACCAGGTATGTATATCCACCACACATTTTATATCACCGAGTAAGTTTTTATTATTTTATATTTAATTTTAGCCCTTATATCGTGGCTAGCGATTCGGAATGTAATTGCTATATTGAAAATTTATTTTAAAAAAGTTTTGGCCTAAGATCGTATAATGAAAAAGAAAACATTATTAAAAGAAAAAGGCCAATGCCCAAGTTAAATATAAACGCTTCAATAAAAATAATTGTTCTACATTTTCAAGATAAAATAGCTCTGTAAATGCATAAAAACGCAAAAATTGTTTTGTTGGCTCGCCTACTATTTTCAAATGAAATTGGTATGTGGAATATTAATGGCTTTGCCGATTTAGCTGGCAAAAGACACGAAAAATCGTCGATTCTTTCGTATTATTTTATTTTGTACAAACAAAATAAATATATTGAAAAATATAAAAACAATAAAAAATTATACTTCAGATGTTAATTTAGTATCAAAAACGTAAAATATTTGAGTAGCCCAAGACATAACCAAAGATTGAAGCGCCACAGCACTGGCGAAAATTTAAATTTGCCGACTGGAATTCTTTCGGATGATTGACNTTTCCAAGAAAATTTTTTCCCCAAAAAGTGATTTAATAGATGGGATACTGCCAGAAAAAGTCCATGCTCTTTAGTGCTATATTTATTTAATCTCTAAATATTTATATATTTGTTTCAATTTGAATGTTTCTTTTTTGTTTTGTTCTGTAACTGTCAATTCAGAACTTTTATAATGTTCTATTTAATGTTTGGATTTCTAGAATGAAGTTATTTAAGTTTAGATTGCACTGAAAATAGTAAATACAATATTTTCAGACATTAAAAAACATTGGTGGAAAATTAAGGTGTATTAGTATATATTAATAAAATCAACATTACAACTATTGATAAATGCAAAAAAGTTTTTATTAATTGAAATAATTGAATTCAAAGTTTTCTGTGTTTAAAATTAAATTGATAATTTTTAAATAATATTTTTTGAACCATTACCTTCCAATCAACTGGAGTAGCAACCTGCTTGTTTGCAGTCAATTGTAATGAATCAACAACTCTTAAAATTTCACTGAAAAACAATAAAATCAATAATTAAAAATTTCACTTCCAATTTTATATATAAACTTGTACAAGTACAATCTGTCCAATTACTAGACATTTATTTCTTGGAAAATTTAGTAAATTATATGCAATCTGAACATTACAAACTTTGTTGTACTGTACTGTACATTTTGTACAAGTGCATGCTACTGTATTCTCCCACTTTGCTTACATATTCACTTTAATCAATCAATCTGATGATACAGTGCATGATTATTATTATTATAAGATTAGAAAACCTGCAAAACATTAACAGACATGTTATTGTGCAAAATTAACATTCACAATGATTTACATGTATGTACTGTAATATTTACTTTCCAGACATGTACTCAGAACTGATGAGTGAGCAAGGGAGCTGGGGATTTTCCCCAGGTCCAGACAAAACTTAGGAATCACTATGGACTCCTACCCTTATAAAATTAACATTATTTTAACTAATAGAAAATAAAATCTTCAATGTTGCTTTTTATTAATAAAGGAACAATCATTGTACATATTTCATTTATTTAAAAAATAAAAAGAATAAAAGAGCGGCTCTACTTCCCAGATCCTATACAAGCTCTCAATGGGTCCAACATTTATTGTACATATACAATTCACAAAAGCTAATCCTGCTCCAAGTATGAGAAACCTGTTTACTGAAAGTCAAATCCAACACAAAATGTAACAAAAGGAAATTCACATTACATTCAATCCCATGTTTAACCTGACATGTAGAATGTGCACAACTCCATACCTTCACCTCAATTTCTACCTAATGTCTAGTGCATCATGTGTCTAAACAAATTCCAATTTAAAGAAAACTATCATGCTAGATAATAATCTGGATTTGTCTAATAATAATGTGAGGAGCTAGCCGGGGATACGGAGTAGTTAAGACTCTTATACCACTTATTTGGCAGCTATTCTTTTGAATAGCCCTCTCTGATTGTCTAAAACGATGGTTTTTCTATCAAGAAATCGAGTGTGAAGGGACTTACAGTTATGAAGTAAAAAAAGGTGAAATTAGATGATGATTGTGTAATCACCCTTTTCCTTATCAGGATTCCCGACACCAGTTAATCAGTTTTCTTAAATGCGGATTAACACGTGTAATCATGGAATTGTGAGTATGAGGAACGCAATAATATGAATAGGCGTAAGTGTGGATATCTATCATTAAATAGGCCATATTTATAAAATAAACCAAAACATTTAATAAACCAAAAATATTAAAAATATACAACTGAATGGATAACAAATTGTACTTAAACCCACGTCACTATTAACTAAATTTAACCTAATAATCCTATCTTATTAAATTAACACGTGAGAGAGAGTTTACATCGATCTGAATGTTACTATATTACCTTCCCAGTTCTTTCAAATATTTCATTGTATGAGAATCATCTTACTTATGGACATTCTTCTTCTATTTTCTGTGGCAATTTCTTGTATGGATAACTCTTCTTATGACAATCTCATCGTATAACGGACTCTTTACATCGTATGGAGAACTCTGTAGTATGACTCTCAAATGACGGACTTGTATGACAGACACTCTGAATGGCGTTCTCCGTCTATATCGTATGGCTAATTCTTTCAATGACTTTCCGGGAGTCGTGTGGCAATACCTCTTTCGACGAACTGACCCGAATGGCGGAAAAATGTCCCTTTTATATCGGCCTTCTCTGACAGCCAAGTAACATGTGCAAAGGCCGCATTTTTGACTCATCTCGTTAATTGGCCGTACGAAAGGAAATCAACTTCCTTTCTAAAAACAAAAGTTCCTAACCTCCGTTTTTCTGACTAATTTCGTCAAAGTTTAAAATATTATTTTCTCACTAATTTTTCTTTAAAATTGCCTTCCCCCTTTCCGGATCTCACAATAGACTACTTTTCAGAGGATTTTGGATTACCAGCCATTCAAGATTATTTGATGCCAGATTAACAAATTTCAACTGAAACAATATATAACTGAACAATATCAATGCAATTTAGTTACAATATTTGAATTTATGAGATCAAAATGATCACTATTCAAAAATTGAGTAAATATGTTTGATTTGAGACAGTAGTTTGAAGAAATATTACAAAGCTTTTTAATTAAAAAATATTTTAATAAGTTACCAAAAATATTTCAAACATTGTCTTATGTTATTGTGAGCAGTTTCATATGACATCAAACCAATTAAGATATAATTTAAAAAACTTCATGATCCAAAAACATATGAATGTAAAAATGCTATTTGGACTCTACATACCAATTTCTTAAAAAAACTGTTTTTATGAAATTTATTTGATATATATATTCCCCATTGACTATACAGGAGAAAAGCTTGAATTTTACAAAACTGCTAAGGAAAGAGATAATGAAACAACAAACAGGATATGTTTAAAGTTCTCTTTTATTACATTAAGTATTTACTAAAAACATTTTGAAGAAATAGCAAACTATATAAGAAAAATGAATTTAATGCTGATGAACACATTTGTATGAAACTATCATTGAAATTAATGTTAACTATAAAAATACTTCCATAGTTCTTTTGGAATTACTAATTTAATATCAGTTTTTACATCAAACCATTGCATTTTGTTATTCATTAATTATAACTGCTCAAGTCGTTACTGTTATGCAAAATTTTTGTACATTAACATATATAAAGTATATTATTTTATTTACATAAATAATTATGAAGAAGGTTATCTTACAGGTTTATCATAACAATGGTGTGATAAACCCTTACATAAAATAACCTTCAAAGTTATAGTAAATCAAATACAGTTGAACAGCTATATTTGTCAACCTCTATATTCATAATATTCACCACATTTTTACAACTTTTTCCCCTCCATATTCATCAGTACTTTCTGTATTCATTGTCGTTCCCAACACTGGCAGTGGCACTACAACCACATGCCTGCACCAATCAGCTAGCAGTGTTAGCTAACTGTAGTTAATCTGCTTTGATCAGTCGTGTGTGTTCTTGGTTTCTCACGTTGATTATTTTCAAAAACTCATGTTCCAATGGCTCCAACAAGGCACACTGAAGAAAAACAGCAAAAAAAAGGAAAGCTGGTAAAACAACAATAGAGGTAGGAAAAAAAATTATTATTGCCTACTTCAGAAAGGTTTTAAAAAGCAGACAATACTGGACAAGTTCTTTATTAAATCAAGTGCCACTGAATCGTTGGCAAAACAGACTCCATAATCATAATAACCTTACTATTCTTCTGCTTCTAACACTATACTGTATTTCTTTAGTACAATAAAAATAAAGTTTTACAAACAACGTAATTTTTATTCTTGTACCTTTTTTTAGGATGGTAACGGACTAATTGAATATCAGTTATTTATTATGAGAAAAATTGTTTCTATATTTGTCATATTCCATATTCATTAGGTTCTTAGTAATAGATTAATGATAAATATAGAGGTTCCACTGTACAGTAATATAATATATAATAAAAAGGGTTAGAAGTATGAAATAAAGTATATATAAAGTTAAACATTATGTACTTACTCAAAATTTCTACCAGTAGTTGCAGGATATAAAATTGATAATTTCAATTTCTTGTCTGGTCCAATTATAAAAACCTATAAAATAAATTCAAAAAATTTCAATATTAATTTTCATTCTATTTTAAAATTTATTTTTACATACAGCACGACATGTTAGTGGTAAACCCTTCTCATCCTTTTCTTTAGGATCAATCATGCCTAGTTGAACTGCCAAATCTCGTCCTTCATCTGATATAATAGGATATGGAAATTCTTCACTATTAAGTTCAGAAAAAGAACATATGTCCTAAAATATAATACATAATTTATTTCTTTAGTTAAATTTATTTAATTATTAAAAAAAACTTACTTTAATCCATCCCTTGTGGCTATCAACATTATCACAGGAAAGAGCTATTAATTTCACACCACGTTTATTAAATTCAGGAACTAATTTTGCTACCCGTCCAAGTTCTGTTGTACATACAGGAGTAAAATCAGCAGGATGAGAAAATAGAATAGCCCAACTAAAAAAAAAACCAAACAATTTAAAAAAAATTTCACATAATTATCAAATTACATATTTAATTTTCATAATTTCTTTGTACCATAATAAGAATATTGTAAATTACTTAATTTTTATATTTTATAATTATTAAATTAATGTATATACATTAACATAATACATTGCTATTGTTAATTTCATATTAATGCACCATACAATTTATTTTATAAAAACTTATTTAAACTAACAGAATTCATATATTTTTAATCACTATCAAATTGCAAGTTTTAAAATTGTAATTAAAAATACATAAAAACATACTAAAGTATAAAAATAAATTCTTATGTATTCTAATATGTTAATTTTCTCAATTAGTTTATGAGTACAACTCATCTGTCCTTGTAGAAAGTAATTAGATATGTAATTGTTTTGATAATTGAATTACATATCATTTGGAACAACATATTAATTTCTCTACACAAGTTGTTTAAGAATGTTTACAAAGATTTCTAAAGATAAGTTTATCTCTTCTGTGAATATCAGTAATCAATTTTATTTACTTTATGTTTTTTTGTTAATATTTTCAGTACTTTTCTGTTAACAGGATGCCAGTTGATATAAACAGCACCATGTAAAGAAATGGCTATTTTATTACGTATAAAGTGCATTCAAGAAACATGGAAAAGTACAGAAATTAACAAATTAAAAACTTATAAATGGTATTCTCCACATTACATGGAGGCATAAAGCTGCAGATTTCATTTAACATTACCAAAAACATTGTGATTTTTTCAAGTTTTAATTATTTTGTTTTATTAATCTATTTGACTTTTCTTATTCTCTTACCTTCTGTTATGTTAATAAGATGACGGCATTGTGCATTGGATTACAATTACAACAACTGGCATCACATTAACAGAAAAGTACCCATATTTTCATTGTTTTATGTTGTGTTACATTTAATTTTTTGAATTACCAAAAATATTGTCCCTTTGTTATGATATTATAATAAACTTATCATCATTACATTCAAAGTAAAAATTTTGTTCAATTCCAACATCACCTAATTTGGTGCATAACTTTTGTCAGTGAGTATATTTATATATGTAGTGTGATTACAAATGATTTTACTGATTATGACGATGTATTACTTAAAAACTAAATGTAGGATCATTGTTATATAAGTTGTTTATAGATCTCAGAATAGAGAAACTAAAAGTTTTCCAAAGCATGTTTCATACTTAGTCCAATTCAACATGGACACCTTCTGTTGCCTGACATTTGCCTAAACAATATTTATTTTTCACTATATATTATGCAGCAAATCCTTGTTGACATTGATGAAGGCTACCGTGATTCTTATCTTCAGTTCCATTATCATTCTTGGCAATGATGAAACAGCATTGTTTTTAATGTAACTTCACAAAAAAGTCCATGGGAGTTAGAAGTGAGGAAGACAGGCTCAATAGCCTGTCTTCCTCACTTCTAACTCCCATTGGTCCCCCCTCACTCAATCCATCTGACTGAGAATGTTTCTTCACCAGATGCTATCACATCTCTGATGACAAGATGTCTCATCCTACTGTTTTTTGAAACAAAATTAAATTTTAAATCCTAGTTATTAAAAGATAAATGTATCTTTCAAATGCATAAATATTGAGAAAATACAAAAGAAGACTATTTTACTATTTATGGAATNATATTTAATTATAATTTTCCTTAAAAGTATATTTATACAATTGAAGAATCTTTTGTACCAGGTATGTATATCCACCACACATTTTATATCACCGAGTAAGTTTTTATTATTTTATATTTAATTTTAGCCCTTATATCGTGGCTAGCGATTCGGAATGTAATTGCTATATTGAAAATTTATTTTAAAAAAGTTTTGGCCTAAGATCGTATAATGAAAAAGAAAACATTATTAAAAGAAAAAGGCCAATGCCCAAGTTAAATATAAACGCTTCAATAAAAATAATTGTTCTACATTTTCAAGATAAAATAGCTCTGTAAATGCATAAAAACGCAAAAATTGTTTTGTTGGCTCGCCTACTATTTTCAAATGAAATTGGTATGTGGAATATTAATGGCTTTGCCGATTTAGCTGGCAAAAGACACGAAAAATCGTCGATTCTTTCGTATTATTTTATTTTGTACAAACAAAATAAATATATTGAAAAATATAAAAACAATAAAAAATTATACTTCAGATGTTAATTTAGTATCAAAAACGTAAAATATTTGAGTAGCCCAAGACATAACCAAAGATTGAAGCGCGACAGCACTGGCGAAAATTTAAATTTGCCGACTGGAATTTTTTCGGATGATTGAATTTCGGATAATCGACGTTCTACTGTAGATGTTATATGATTTTATCAAAGCGAGAATTGGCATTTAGAGGGCATATGGAATATATTGGATCTAATAACAGAGGTAATTCAAAGCAAGAATTGGCATTTAGAGGGCATATGGAATATATTGGATCTAATAACAGAGGTACTTATATTGAACTTGTTTATTAATTACATCAGATAAATAATCTATTAAAAATACTGTACATTTAAAGAATTAACTGATTGCCCCTGGAAGTCGGCTTCTTACCGAAACACAGCTTCCCTATCATCAAATGTCACGGCACGCCACTGGTTCTTAGGTGTTGTTAAATTGATAACATTTCAGACATTGTTATATTTTTTATATATTTCGATTTTTTTAACCAAATGTTCGAACCGTTTTAAATTCGAATTTGTTATTGCACATTGGTTCGATTATAGAACGATTGTAAACGTTCCAGAAAATTGATTAAATTGAAAACAGTTCGTTCGATTCTGAGCGGTAGGTGTTATATAACAATTACTATGGTTGTTGAAATACTGAATATAAATGAGGTTTGCTTTCAAAATCCACGCGGGCGAAGTAGCGGATAACACCTAGTCAGTCTGTATACAGTATGCAAATGGAAAATAAGTTTGTGTTCATTATGAAATAAAACGTAATAAACACTCATTGACAAAATAATTACACACAAGAAGGCATTGGAACTGAATTAAATTTATTAGTGTGAACATAATGACAATGTCCCTTTGGTAAAAAGTGATTGCAATATTATGGCAATTTCCTGTAGAACAGTTAATTTAAAACAACCTTTAGTACATCTTGTAGGAGCTCTTCTTGCCTGGATACATGCAATGATAGTCGGACATGAACCATACAGGCACATTGCTATTCAGCCATAGATGATGTAAATGCCACTCCAGATCCTTCACACTTAGACAGATGACCAAAGTTGGCATCCATCTGGTTCCTCAAATACTCAAAGGACATGCAAAGTATATAGACATTTCCTTGACTGGGAAGGTCAAGGAAGGGTGACAAAGTGACAAAATTCAGCTTTCTAGGAATATGTCTATCTTGAACATGATAGCACAGGATTTCCTAAACATATGAAATCAATGTGCCACATACTAATACTAGGGATTTATTATTAAAATGATATACTGCCAGTCTGTAGCATGCCATACTTCTCTGTCACAGCATCACTACCAACAAAGCAATGTTAAGGTGCTAATAGCAGAACATATAGCAGTTACAGTGCATGAAAATTTACCTCTGCTACTCATCTACTAATTCATGGGAAAAGACATTTTTATGCAGCAATGCTTCTTATCTGTCTGTCATTGCAATTGTTCATGTTTGTTTTGTGATCAGATGATCATCTCCTAGTAATGTTTCCTACTGATCCAGATCTGTTTGGGACATCCCCAGAGCCTGCCCACTGTGTACATGTATATCCACTGTCCTCAACACCACGTCAGGTCAGAATGACCCAAATGGTGGGAATTTCAGCAAAATAGCCATCCTGCTTCTCTCAGCCCAATAATGCAATCTTTCTCAAACTTCAGCTGTGCATTGTGTTTAGTCATACCTGTACAGCACAGCCAAACATAGGTATAACACAGACAATAGGTACACTGAAAATTCTGAACACCGAGCTTCGGCCTTTTTATATTTATAGAATACTGAGGTAGAAATTATAAGGCACTCTAGTGGCATCAACTAGCATGCAATCAAACCATAACTGTGACAAGCAATTATTTATTGACATTAAAAATTTTAGCCTGGCATTTTGATAATCATTTTTAAAATTTAATTTAAAATATATGATCTCCATCTCAAATTAGTAGTGTCCCTGTACATCAAACTTTTTCTGTTAGATGACTGCATGATGACTGTTGCTATCTAACTCCTTACAGGTTAAAATTTTTGAATTGAAATATGACTTCCAGTTTGCATTAGTTCATATATAGTTAATCAGGGTCTCCTGCCCCTAAGCTTTCTATATCTGGTCTTGGATTTTATCTAACCCCATTTGAGATTAAGGAAAGACAGATGGACAACAGTGGAAATTTATAAGTGTAAACTTTTTTCAAATTGCAGCCAATCATTTACATACCAATCAATACCTGAGAGAGAAAGAGAGTGGTTTATGTAGAATTTTTCATTAAAAAACTATCTGTGTGTTTCTAATATGTTTAAATCTATTTGAGATTAAAGTTTAAAATAAACAAAAAGTCACATTATATATAATTTAATATTTGAATTTTCAGTTTCTCAAAAATACATTTTGAAGAAATTTATAAAGACTTTGGAAATTTAAAAATTTTTATTTTTTCAATTCCAGAATATTCAAAACTTATTTCAATTTAATTATCAAAACAAATATATAAAGATGAGATATTTGTATATCAATCTACAGCATTACTAACTTGCAGCTTGTATTACATTAAGGCACTCATGGTTGAGGAGTAAAGCGAAGATATCCTCTACCAGAAGGAACTGCTTGAACTTTCACTCCTTTTGGAAATAGTTTTGGGACATCATCATCCTTAACAGTTGGCAAAATCATACAATCTTCTCCTTGCTGTAATTACATAATTTTAATATTTTAAAATATGCCTAGCAATATTTCTTTTGCTATTTCAAATCATATTCAATATAACAGCTTAAAAGATATATATATACCTGTTTAAATTTAACAAATTACAAAGTTAATTGTGGTTTATACTGAATGAGATTAACTGACAATTAAAATATTGTGAAATTTCTTAGTTTACATAGAAAATATGCCTATAGTACACATACATACATAAAAAAGAAATCAAAAATATTTACATATTAAAAAAATGGACAAGAAAATTAAAATTTATCATTCAACATTTCAAAAATAATTTAACTTTTTAAACTTTAAAAATGTAATATTAAAAAAATTATTATAGAAAAAATATAGGCCAAATAATTTTAATTTAAGATTATTTTTATCAAATAAAAAATGTAATAAAACTGCTTTATTAGCAGGTAATTATTATTTCTTATAAAAGTGTTTCATAATACAATGATGTTTACACTTTAAAAAATTATGATTCTGCTAACTTTTTTTTATATTTGAAGTTGAAATTTCAAAATACAAACAAGTAAATAATCTTCATTTCAAAAAAATATTTCCTTTTGGATTTACAAGTCAATGCTCATTATTTTCAATTAGAGCAAAAAAATAACTCTCTGAAATAAATTATGAATTTTTTAATTAGCTGGATTGCTTTTTACTTCAAAGTTTTTAATTTAACTATTATCCAGCCATATTAAAAAATCAAAGGATAGGGAAAGATTTAAACTAAATCAGACTTTTGCACATAAAACATCCTTGCAAGGATGACGAACCTTTGGCAACTTATATTTTGCATGCCAAATAATTTCTTATTTCATTTTTCTTTTCTTTCTGTATAAAATTCAATTTATCATTTCCAGTATTACAGGTTTCATTATGGTTTTACGTTCAATTTATAGTATCAGCCTATTCTTAGTAAACATTTTTTTTTTTTATGTATTGTATTTAAAATATATTCACTTTATTTCTTTAAAATAGTTTTTCAAAGTCAAATGATTTATACATGTTGAATTTTTAATAATAATGCTTACTGTATGGCATACAGACTCAAAGATTCACTCTCCTTGCTATATATGTATTGATTTTAAAATAAATTTATGTTAATGTACAGTAATGTATTTATAATGTTAAATTAATATATGGCTGTTTCCATGCTATTAGGACACATAAAAATCTCATTGTTTTAAATTTTATATTTTGGATTAAATGAGTATCTTAAAATTTAAGAAATTCAATCACTAGATTGCAGAAGAGCTCTCTTTATTCTCTTTGGTAGCTATTTCATTTGAGATTTTGCCAACTTAAAAAAAACAAAAAAAATAGTTGAAAAGAACTCTTTCTTTATTTGATTATATACATTACTGATTGAATTATATATAATTCAAACAGTATATTGCATAATGTAAATTCATCAACTATGTGCTTATATAACAATATATTTTTTTTTTTTTTTAAATCAAAATAAAACTTCCAGAGTATCATTTGTATTTGTTTTGCTAAGTTTCCTAAAAATTAAAATTTAACTGGCTTATAGCAGTAACATAATTATATTACTACTGTACTATACAATAGTTAAATTTACCTTTTTCTTTATATCTATTAAAATATATATTAAAATATTCACGTTAACAGAATAAGAGTGTGTCTAACTAGATTCTGCTTCATAACATATCTGCACACCTTGATTTTCCAAGAAAATTTTTTCCCCAAAAAGTGATTTAATAGATGGGATACTGCCAGAAAAAGTCCATGCTCTTTAGTGCTATATTTATTTAATCTCTAAATATTTATATATTTGTTTCAATTTGAATGTTTCTTTTTTGTTTTGTTCTGTAACTGTCAATTCAGAACTTTTATAATGTTCTATTTAATGTTTGGATTTCTAGAATGAAGTTATTTAAGTTTAGATTGCACTGAAAATAGTAAATACAATATTTTCAGACATTAAAAAACATTGGTGGAAAATTAAGGTGTATTAGTATATATTAATAAAATCAACATTACAACTATTGATAAATGCAAAAAAGTTTTTATTAATTGAAATAATTGAATTCAAAGTTTTCTGTGTTTAAAATTAAATTGATAATTTTTAAATAATATTTTTTGAACCATTACCTTCCAATCAACTGGAGTAGCAACCTGCTTGTTTGCAGTCAATTGTAATGAATCAACAACTCTTAAAATTTCACTGAAAAACAATAAAATCAATAATTAAAAATTTCACTTCCAATTTTATATATAAACTTGTACAAGTACAATCTGTCCAATTACTAGACATTTATTTCTTGGAAAATTTAGTAAATTATATGCAATCTGAACATTACAAACTTTGTTGTACTGTACTGTACATTTTGTACAAGTGCATGCTACTGTATTCTCCCACTTTGCTTACATATTCACTTTAATCAATCAATCTGATGATACAGTGCATGATTATTATTATTATAAGATTAGAAAACCTGCAAAACATTAACAGACATGTTATTGTGCAAAATTAACATTCACAATGATTTACATGTATGTACTGTAATATTTACTTTCCAGACATGTACTCAGAACTGATGAGTGAGCAAGGGAGCTGGGGATTTTCCCCAGGTCCAGACAAAACTTAGGAATCACTATGGACTCCTACCCTTATAAAATTAACATTATTTTAACTAATAGAAAATAAAATCTTCAATGTTGCTTTTTATTAATAAAGGAACAATCATTGTACATATTTCATTTATTTAAAAAATAAAAAGAATAAAAGAGCGGCTCTACTTCCCAGATCCTATACAAGCTCTCAATGGGTCCAACATTTATTGTACATATACAATTCACAAAAGCTAATCCTGCTCCAAGTATGAGAAACCTGTTTACTGAAAGTCAAATCCAACACAAAATGTAACAAAAGGAAATTCACATTACATTCAATCCCATGTTTAACCTGACATGTAGAATGTGCACAACTCCATACCTTCACCTCAATTTCTACCTAATGTCTAGTGCATCATGTGTCTAAACAAATTCCAATTTAAAGAAAACTATCATGCTAGATAATAATCTGGATTTGTCTAATAATAATGTGAGGAGCTAGCCGGGGATACGGAGTAGTTAAGACTCTTATACCACTTATTTGGCAGCTATTCTTTTGAATAGCCCTCTCTGATTGTCTAAAACGATGGTTTTTCTATCAAGAAATCGAGTGTGAAGGGACTTACAGTTATGAAGTAAAAAAAGGTGAAATTAGATGATGATTGTGTAATCACCCTTTTCCTTATCAGGATTCCCGACACCAGTTAATCAGTTTTCTTAAATGCGGATTAACACGTGTAATCATGGAATTGTGAGTATGAGGAACGCAATAATATGAATAGGCGTAAGTGTGGATATCTATCATTAAATAGGCCATATTTATAAAATAAACCAAAACATTTAATAAACCAAAAATATTAAAAATATACAACTGAATGGATAACAAATTGTACTTAAACCCACGTCACTATTAACTAAATTTAACCTAATAATCCTATCTTATTAAATTAACACGTGAGAGAGAGTTTACATCGATCTGAATGTTACTATATTACCTTCCCAGTTCTTTCAAATATTTCATTGTATGAGAATCATCTTACTTATGGACATTCTTCTTCTATTTTCTGTGGCAATTTCTTGTATGGATAACTCTTCTTATGACAATCTCATCGTATAACGGACTCTTTACATCGTATGGAGAACTCTGTAGTATGACTCTCAAATGACGGACTTGTATGACAGACACTCTGAATGGCGTTCTCCGTCTATATCGTATGGCTAATTCTTTCAATGACTTTCCGGGAGTCGTGTGGCAATACCTCTTTCGACGAACTGACCCGAATGGCGGAAAAATGTCCCTTTTATATCGGCCTTCTCTGACAGCCAAGTAACATGTGCAAAGGCCGCATTTTTGACTCATCTCGTTAATTGGCCGTACGAAAGGAAATCAACTTCCTTTCTAAAAACAAAAGTTCCTAACCTCCGTTTTTCTGACTAATTTCGTCAAAGTTTAAAATATTATTTTCTCACTAATTTTTCTTTAAAATTGCCTTCCCCCTTTCCGGATCTCACAATAGACTACTTTTCAGAGGATTTTGGATTACCAGCCATTCAAGATTATTTGATGCCAGATTAACAAATTTCAACTGAAACAATATATAACTGAACAATATCAATGCAATTTAGTTACAATATTTGAATTTATGAGATCAAAATGATCACTATTCAAAAATTGAGTAAATATGTTTGATTTGAGACAGTAGTTTGAAGAAATATTACAAAGCTTTTTAATTAAAAAATATTTTAATAAGTTACCAAAAATATTTCAAACATTGTCTTATGTTATTGTGAGCAGTTTCATATGACATCAAACCAATTAAGATATAATTTAAAAAACTTCATGATCCAAAAACATATGAATGTAAAAACGCTATTTGGACTCTACATACCAATTTCTTAAAAAAACTGTTTTTATGAAATTTATTTGATATATATATTCCCCATTGACTATACAGGAGAAAAGCTTGAATTTTACAAAACTGCTAAGGAAAGAGATAATGAAACAACAAACAGGATATGTTTAAAGTTCTCTTTTATTACATTAAGTATTTACTAAAAACATTTTGAAGAAATAGCAAACTATATAAGAAAAATGAATTTAATGCTGATGAACACATTTGTATGAAACTATCATTGAAATTAATGTTAACTATAAAAATACTTCCATAGTTCTTTTGGAATTACTAATTTAATATCAGTTTTTACATCAAACCATTGCATTTTGTTATTCATTAATTATAACTGCTCAAGTCGTTACTGTTATGCAAAATTTTTGTACATTAACATATATAAAGTATATTATTTTATTTACATAAATAATTATGAAGAAGGTTATCTTACAGGTTTATCATAACAATGGTGTGATAAACCCTTACATAAAATAACCTTCAAAGTTATAGTAAATCAAATACAGTTGAACAGCTATATTTGTCAACCTCTATATTCATAATATTCACCACATTTTTACAACTTTTTCCCCTCCATATTCATCAGTACTTTCTGTATTCATTGTCGTTCCCAACACTGGCAGTGGCACTACAACCACATGCCTGCACCAATCAGCTAGCAGTGTTAGCTAACTGTAGTTAATCTGCTTTGATCAGTCGTGTGTGTTCTTGGTTTCTCACGTTGATTATTTTCAAAAACTCATGTTCCAATGGCTCCAACAAGGCACACTGAAGAAAAACAGCAAAAAAAAGGAAAGCTGGTAAAACAACAATAGAGGTAGGAAAAAAAATTATTATTGCCTACTTCAGAAAGGTTTTAAAAAGCAGACAATACTGGACAAGTTCTTTATTAAATCAAGTGCCACTGAATCGTTGGCAAAACAGACTCCATAATCATAATAACCTTACTATTCTTCTGCTTCTAACACTATACTGTATTTCTTTAGTACAATAAAAATAAAGTTTTACAAACAACGTAATTTTTATTCTTGTACCTTTTTTTAGGATGGTAACGGACTAATTGAATATCAGTTATTTATTATGAGAAAAATTGTTTCTATATTTGTCATATTCCATATTCATTAGGTTCTTAGTAATAGATTAATGATAAATATAGAGGTTCCACTGTACAGTAATATAATATATAATAAAAAGGGTTAGAAGTATGAAATAAAGTATATATAAAGTTAAACATTATGTACTTACTCAAAATTTCTACCAGTAGTTGCAGGATATAAAATTGATAATTTCAATTTCTTGTCTGGTCCAATTATAAAAACCTATAAAATAAATTCAAAAAATTTCAATATTAATTTTCATTCTATTTTAAAATTTATTTTTACATACAGCACGACATGTTAGTGGTAAACCCTTCTCATCCTTTTCTTTAGGATCAATCATGCCTAGTTGAACTGCCAAATCTCGTCCTTCATCTGATATAATAGGATATGGAAATTCTTCACTATTAAGTTCAGAAAAAGAACATATGTCCTAAAATATAATACATAATTTATTTCTTTAGTTAAATTTATTTAATTATTAAAAAAAACTTACTTTAATCCATCCCTTGTGGCTATCAACATTATCACAGGAAAGAGCTATTAATTTCACACCACGTTTATTAAATTCAGGAACTAATTTTGCTACCCGTCCAAGTTCTGTTGTACATACAGGAGTAAAATCAGCAGGATGAGAAAATAGAATAGCCCAACTAAAAAAAAAACCAAACAATTTAAAAAAAATTTCACATAATTATCAAATTACATATTTAATTTTCATAATTTCTTTGTACCATAATAAGAATATTGTAAATTACTTAATTTTTATATTTTATAATTATTAAATTAATGTATATACATTAACATAATACATTGCTATTGTTAATTTCATATTAATGCACCATACAATTTATTTTATAAAAACTTATTTAAACTATAACAGAATTCATATATTTTTAATCACTATCAAATTGCAAGTTTTAAAATTGTAATTAAAAATACATAAAAACATACTAAAGTATAAAAATAAATTCTTATGTATTCTAATATGTTAATTTTCTCAATTATTTTATGAGTACAACTCATCTGTCCTTGTAGAAAGTAATTAGATATGTAATTGTTTTGATAATTGAATTACATATCATTTGGAACAACATATTAATTTCTCTACACAAGTTGTTTAAGAATGTTTACAAAGATTTCTAAAGATAAGTTTATCTCTTCTGTGAATATCAGTAATCAATTTTATTTACTTTATGTTTTTTTGTTAATATTTTCAGTACTTTTCTGTTAACAGGATGCCAGTTGATATAAACAGCACCATGTAAAGAAATGGCTATTTTATTACGTATAAAGTGCATTCAAGAAACATGGAAAAGTACAGAAATTAACAAATTAAAAACTTATAAATGGTATTCTCCACATTACATGGAGGCATAAAGCTGCAGATTTCATTTAACATTACCAAAAACATTGTGATTTTTTCAAGTTTTAATTATTTTGTTTTATTAATCTATTTGACTTTTCTTATTCTCTTACCTTCTGTTATGTTAATAAGATGACGGCATTGTGCATTGGATTACAATTACAACAACTGGCATCACATTAACAGAAAAGTACCCATATTTTCATTGTTTTATGTTGTGTTACATTTAATTTTTTGAATTACCAAAAATATTGTCCCTTTGTTATGATATTATAATAAACTTATCATCATTACATTCAAAGTAAAAATTTTGTTCAATTCCAACATCACCTAATTTGGTGCATAACTTTTGTCAGTGAGTATATTTATATATGTAGTGTGATTACAAATGATTTTACTGATTATGACGATGTATTACTTAAAAACTAAATGTAGGATCATTGTTATATAAGTTGTTTATAGATCTCAGAATAGAGAAACTAAAAGTTTTCCAAAGCATGTTTCATACTTAGTCCAATTCAACATGGACACCTTCTGTTGCCTGACATTTGCCTAAACAATATTTATTTTTCACTATATATTATGCAGCAAATCCTTGTTGACATTGATGAAGGCTACCGTGATTCTTATCTTCAGTTCCATTATCATTCTTGGCAATGATGAAACAGCATTGTTTTTAATGTAACTTCACAAAAAAGTCCATGGGAGTTAGAAGTGAGGAAGACAGGCTCAATAGCCTGTCTTCCTCACTTCTAACTCCCATTGGTCCCCCCTCACTCAATCCATCTGACTGAGAATGTTTCTTCACCAGATGCTATCACATCTCTGATGACAAGATGTCTCATCCTACTGTTTTTTGAAACAAAATTAAATTTTAAATCCTAGTTATTAAAAGATAAATGTATCTTTCAAATGCATAAATATTGAGAAAATACAAAAGAAGACTATTTTACTATTTATGGAATATAGTTTTGGTAATTTAATAAAATATAATAATATAAAAGATAAAATACTAACAAAAAAATAAGTAAATAAAATCGATTACTGATATTCACAGAAGAGATAAGTTTATCTTTAAGAATGTTTACAAAGATATTCTGAAAATATGATTATGCTTTTGAAATAGAATGATTATCTTTTATTACAGAATAAATTCCTAACCTTTCTGATAAAGAAAATAAAAACTTTTGGTTGTGGTAAAACAAGTGTATTAGATAAATAATTTAATTTATTCAATTTTTACCAATTATCTTAGTAAGTATAGAGGGGCTGATGAAATTTTTTTAATAAACATTTGAAAATATACAGTACATTCTTATTTAATTATCACTCAATTTTATGATTTAAGAAAAGTAATGAAATAATTATAACAAACTAGAAAATCTGCTACAATCTTTCTAAAATGACTTCAAACACATCAAAACTAATTTAAAACTAGCAGTGACTAACATTTAACCAAATATTTCCAATATATTAGGTTTACATAAGTTCCAGAAGCTAAATTAAGTATATCCATGCTAATTTATAATTGCATATGAATAAATAATTGTGATTTACAGACATTTTTCCCCCTCTTTTTTCTTGTATGCAGCCCGTGTCAGTTCAAAAGTCTTGAAATGCAGCCTTTATAATAAAAAAAGGTTGCCCATCCCTAGACAAAAGGGACAAGATGTTGAAAGTACTTAAAAGCTGCTAACTACTTATCTAGTTGTGACAAACTGTTCAGCAGGTTCAATTTGATGTGCAGGTGCCAGCATCTTCCACATGTCCACTAGTGGCATTTAATGATCCTCCTGAGAACCCAGTCTGTTGTAGCCAGTCCTTCCTATGATACTGCACCTTGATGTCCATTCTCCCAGAGGCAAAAATAGCAGGAAAATTTGATAAAACAGCCTTATGCTATGTTTATGCAGATATGAGAAATGCAAGGGAGAAAAACAGAAGGGGGGAAAAACCAAATGAACCAAGATAACATGCCTACAGGAGTACTCTTGTTATTTTCCTCTTGTTGCATTCATGCAAAAGTGGGAAGGAAAAGGAAAATAAATTTTACAACAAAATAAATTTAAAGAAAAATAAACAAAACTACTGTTAACATCTCCTTTCTTTTATTCATTATATTGGCTTCCATGCTTTTTTTTCCTGCAGCTTAAGTTATTTTCTTCACATTTGACCAATTGCTAGCATGCTCCATAGTCTCCATTTTATTGTTGTCACTGCATAGGAGCAAAGCTTCCAAACTATTGTGCATGCTGAATTACTCAGGAGGAGATAAAAAATATAAGAAAATGTTCAACAGATTGAACTTTCAAGGACACAGTAACTGGTGTATTTCTCTTGTGAGAACTCCATTTCCCTCTTCTGCATAAACTGCATTGAGAGAGTGAATTATGATCTCAAAGTTCTTTCACGCAACAAGTTCCACTGCTTGAGTCTATATATCAAAATAATTTAGATAGCTTAGTGGAGCATCTTTTAATTTATTCTTTTATTTTAACCTAACTTAATTTTACTATCTTAGAAAACTTAGATACAGCTCATTTCACGAACCTAGCCAGTCTATGAAAAATGCACAGTAACAAACTAGTTATGTAATGAAGGGAATGAATTGTTGACAAATCTTTGACAAGGTCACTGTGCATTACTAAAATGACGACTCAAACTTTATAAAACATCCAGAGCGGCCATCGAGTACCAAGCATCACCCAATTAAGATACGTGAAACATTCTGTGCAAATAAATATTTATACAGGTAAAATGATATAATAAACTACAAAATAATATGGGCATATTCATAAAATATATGATTAAATGAAGATATGTTTTAGTCAATTTTTTTTATTAAAAGAATTAGTAAATATTAATTAGTTTTCCCCACAAAAGACTGATATATATCATTTTTCTGAAGTATCAACACTAGCTTTAGCTGAATCATGCCATTTGAGTCTCCAGTTGGCATAATTAAAAGACCAAAGAAAGCAATGTAGTTGTAATAAGGAACATACTGAAGATATTAAATCCTGAATTGTATAGTTAATTTGCAAGATAAAAATGTATGTGATAAAACATATTCTTAAGTAAATTTAATTTTTAAAAAATCCACCACATTATATTTTGACCAAGTGCAATCAAATGATTTGTGAACTTAATTTTGTATTTGTATAAAATCAGTGGTCTCACTTTTTCACAAAAATCTTCATTCTTTCTAACTAAGGAATCTCACTTATTCACCCAAAAGGACACTTGACAGCTCTGACTTTCATCTCAGATTACTTCAGAATATAAAAAGTTTTCCTTTATATTAATAAAACAACAAACTTTTAAATAAAGTTACTCCTCACTTAACCAAGTTCCATTCCTATGATTAGGTTGTGAAGCAAATTGGTTGTTAAATGAGGAGCTTAATCATTATTTATTCTAGATAAAGAAAAGGTCTAAAAGGAAATGTAAATTAAAACAAAGTTATCAATTTGGCATCTCATACATATTACAGAATATAAAAATACAATCAGTAAAAATTATAAAAAAATGATGTAAAAGTTCATTTATAAAAAAAAAGGCATTCAGATTAATATTTCAGTCATCAAATCCTTCAAATAAGATGCACAATAAAGTACAAATTTATAAATGAAATATATAGTCTGAGATTGCAAATGCTTTGTGTAGGGAATATTAACAGACTGCAGGAACTAGACTAACTCATAAGATTACAAAAGGGAGATTCATTTCCCCTTTCTTAGTGGAGAGCTGGTCCTGAAGCCAAGAGGTGATTAAACAGGTAGGTTGTGATAATGTAAAATTGCTTTACTTCTGTTAAATTTTAATTCATTCCCTTTAATTAATTCCTTCAATTAATTGATATGTTTTTCCACTTAATAAAAATTATAAAGAGAATCTTAAATTTTATGCAAAGATTTATTTATTATACATATTATTTATTTAAATCAAACCACTGCATTTTAATTACGAGGAAAAAATAATCACCGAAAAAATACATCGGGTTCATTCTAATAACTCTCCATCACATTACATTTATTTTTTAAACGATTCTTCGTAACTTCTCGCATTGGAAATGCCATTGCAACTTTAATTTAGTAATGCAGATTTCCATTAGCATAAATTTACATCAAAGGTAATAGAAAAACATATTAAACAACTTTTTTAAAAACATACAATAAATAAAAGTAACTGAAAAATACATTTTGCAACAAAGTTTTATCATCATCAGTATAATATTTCGTTTTAGTATTATTAAATTACTTCGTTTGTAAATTTTAGGTTAAATTTCAGATGCGTATACTGTCATGGCGGAGATCCCGACTGATTCTTCCCGGAGGTAAGCCGCCGGCAGGCCGCCTTGTGCCAAACGTCAATAGTTATTGATTCACGATAGTTCTTGAACACACCTATCAATAACTATAGTATGAAGTGCCGCCATGTCAGTATACGCATCTGAAATTTAATCAAAATTTATAATACTGTAGCAACTTTTGTCATAGGATATAGGCTACAACAGTCTTGTATCTTCATCTAATTTTAAAAATTTTTGTTGAAATACGGAAATTTATTAACACACGTGAAAGGAAATTTAGAGGTTTCCTAACAAATCTGTATGATTACAAAATTCAAAAAATAAGCACGTTTTAAGGAATTCCCTTATTTAAATAGAAGAGCAATAAAAAAAAATGTACATTTCAGTTCGAACACGTGTTCTAATTCGAGTACGCCTAAAATAGCGCAGCTCGAATCAATATATTAATAATATAAAGTAATTATCGCGGGAAATATCCTGATTTTTATGTATATTTATATTTCTCTTCCTAAAAAAATTTAAAAAAATAATAAATTTTCCAAAGAATCAATGTTATAAAAATTGCTATTTCTAAGCGGATTACTTACGAATCTTCGATCCATTTATGAAAATCGATGATTCCGATCGTCGTATGAGCTGAAAAGTTAGGAAATTCGTCTCCGAGATTGACCATGTTCACCTTCTCTACAGAAACCGAACAAGCGATTACTCTTTCGACGGAAACGCGTCACGCACTTAATACCCCGCATTTTAATTTGTGACGTCATTTCCGTTTTATGCGTTCGTTTAACAATGAAATTTTTTCGCTAGACGGTCTTATTTATTTTATTATATTTTAAATTTAAAATTTTATTTTATTTATTTATTTTTTTTTGTATAAATTAGTTTCTAATATGAACGGACTTTTGAAAATTTCCCCAGCACTTTTCATCATCTATTTAAATATTTCTGGTATCAACTTCTACGTCACGGTTTTTACGCGGCTATTATCAAAATCAGGATGTCGCTAACTTAACTATTTATTCAATGGATTTAATGAGGAAATCGTTTTCTCACATATTTATAGATGAATTGATTGTTTATGATTAATTAAACATGCGTGAATCATCACTAGGACTGTAGAGAGGAGGGAGTTTTTCCTCATCTCCCTCCTCTCTCTCTCTCTAAAGTGGCGCATGGTGGTTCCTATAAAATTAATGTAATTTTTTTTAAACAGAAAATAAAATATTTAACACTACTTTTTATTAATAAAGAAACATTCTAAATACTTAACGTGACAGATATAACGTGATTCTTCCAATACTCAAATTTAATTTAATTGTATTCGATTTTAATGAAAAAAAAAATTACTTTTAAAATAAATTCAAATATAACTTTTATTATATATTTTTAGCAAAGGAAATAAATCAGCAATTTTATTATATTTGATTGGGAAATAATAAAACAAGAGATGTTACAAAATTATTTTACAATTAAAACAGAAACAAGAGAAAAATATAATTTCATTGTAATTAATTGAATGTTAGAAATGAAATAAATATGTAATCTAAATAGATTTATATTTTATACAGTTTAGAATCTTGAATCAACATTTTCAGTTAATATTTTATTGATTAGAATACTGAATTTATTTTGAAAGCGTGGTTATATTATTTAAATATTGATATTAAAAGAAATTTAACATAATTATAATAAGATTAAATTTTTAAATTTAAATAGTTTTAAAGCGGGAGTTCATAAAGTGAGACCCAAGGTGACCCGCAAACACTGAAAATGCGACTGGCGATGTTGGATAATCCGCCATCTTGAATTAATACCAGATAATTTTTCCCTTTTACGAAACGAGTATTAAAAAAACTTTCTTAATTATGTGTACCAATAAATCCAAATTAACTGATGATTAATTACAATCCGTGTTACGAATACATTCGATCAACTTAGAACCAAAGTTCAATAAAACTGCACAAATTGCACACTTGTCTCAGGTATATAAATTTTTTATTTGAAATAATTTAGTTTATTTTTGTTTTATTACTTTTGGTAAGTCTTAAAAATGACTTTAAAAAATGAGTTATTGTCATAAATAACTATTTTTGCTGAATAGTTTTAAGTACAGTACATTAGAGAGACATTTTTTAAAATGAGAATTCAATGCAGAGGACTTGCATTTTTGATAAAATTATTATTATACGATATTACAATAAACCAACAATCAATTTCTTTCTATTGTTTTGTAATGTGTTTATTATTTCTTTGTTAATGCCATTATTACGTAATAAATTACACAGTAATTTATTATTGTATTTTAAAAATGTAATTAAAAATTTCAATTTTAAATTTTTTTATTTTGAAGGATTCTTGCCTCAACAAAATTAACCAGAGCGCCTTTCCAGTCGAACAAAACATCCAGAATAACGGAATTTGACATCCATGTCTTCGCAATGTTGTCGGATCTGATACTGTAAAAGTAGCACAAAATTTTTTGATAGTATAAAATTCTGTAGAAAAGTAGTATACTTTTTGAGCAAATGTTTACATAAAACATTATTAAAGTAGGAAGTCGCAGAAAATAAAAAATAAGTTGCATAAGGCGTTCGAGCAGACTTTTCGCTTAATCTGGCAACTCTGCCAATTTCAAAATATTTTTCAATTATTCTGAAAACAAGTTTTATATTTAATACTAAGACAAATATTTCTTAAGAAAACAGATTTAAACAGGGTTGCTACCGGAATTTTAAATCAAAACCGGAAGTCGGTGAAACAGTCTGAAATGTAAAATTACAGTAGAACCTCGATTATCCGCCCTAATTGGGGACTGGGGTTGGTCGGATAATTGAAAAGTCAGATAACCGAAAAGTATGAAAAAATCCATTATTAGTGTAGTATATTACTATATCCCATGTAATTAGTATATTAGTATATCGCTATTAACCTACTTTGCGTTGAATTTTCATCGATGTTAAGCCTAACAAAAATTTTTTAAAATAATAATCGTCGCTATTGTATCGTTAAAAATTAGAAAATTAAGCTTCGTTTAAATACTGGCTCCCTTTCATGGTCGAATGAGTGTTGCCAGCTAAAACACGTAAAAATAATATTAAAGTAGCCAAGACATAGCCAAATATTGTAGCGCCACATCACTAGCGGACATTTGAAATTTGCCGACTAGGACGGTCGGTTAACCGAGGGGTCGATTGATCGGGGGGCGGATAATCGAGGTTCTACTGTATATTCTAATTGAAAAAATATTTTTAATACATGTATTAAGTTTACTCACAATGAAAAAACGACTTTCTCATTATAATTATAAACGTTTATGATTCGACGTTTGTCCATTATATGGTGTTGTAATACGCTAAATTTAGCTCGATTCTAAGTAAAACGCGAGTTATTATTTATTGTTACATCGTCACAATGCACTTAAGTTTAGTAATGTCATACCCCTGTACATCATGCTTTTCCTGTTAACAATTAAGTCATGCCGGTCATGTATATATATCTGTTCAGGAAAAAATTTTGAAGTCAGTATATAGTTAGACGGGACCATCTTCCCCTAAAGCTTTCCATCCGTTTGCGACTTTTATCTATCTAACACCGTTCTCGAGATTACGGAAGGATAGACGGACAACAGTGGGGATTTATAGATCTATAATTTTTTCAAATTGCCTCCCAATAAAGAAACTGAATCAAAAGTTATTTAATTAACAAAGATATTTTTTAAAAACGTTGAGATCAGATCTGTTGTTTAAAATTTTGTCTATTGTCAGTGAAATTGTGTACCGGTATGTAAAAGTATCCACCGTCGACATATAAAAATGACTTTTAATAGTAGAAGGTAAAAATTTTAAATATTAATAGAATTAACAATTTGTTTGAATATATTTTTGTAGTGAAATATAGCTTGCATTTAATGGGGCCCCATTTTAATTAATTTTTCATTATTTCTAATGGAGAAAATTGTTTCGGACTTCGAACGGTCCCTAGAATAAATTAAATTCGAAGTACGAGACACCACTGTTTTACGTACAGTAATTATATCTCCGATCAATTTGTTCGAAATACTCAGAGGGCGCTATAACACTTAAAATGGCGTCGATGTTAAACATGTGTCGTTTCTTAAAAAAGTTTAATATTAATTTAAACAGAAATGTAATTCGAATGTTTACGGATTTTACAAATCCTGACTTTAATCCCGATCACTTCTCTTCTACAAAACTTCATTCGGGTATCTAATTGTTTTTAAACGTAATATTTGTGTTTATGCATTTTGTACTGTACATAGAATAGTCACAAAGTTCGTATGCTTATTAATTAAAAGTTGTCTTTATGCTCCTTCTGTAAAAGTGCCTATATTTTAATAAATCAAACTGCATTTTGGAGTTTGATGTATTAAAATGTAGGCACTTTTACAGGGAAATTTCATGGATGGCCACAAAGCAAGGTCTTATTGTATTTTATTCAAAGGAAATACTACTAATAATAGATTTTCCAATTATTTTTGGCAAAATTTATTTGTGTATATCTGTAGATCTATTTGCAAAACATAAACATCAAAGATGAATAATGACAAATCTGAACAAGCAAAAACCTGGTCAGTCACTGTTGGAGTTATTGTTTTACTGGAATGGTGTATATACTGTATTTTTTAAATTAAATTTTATCCATGTGCATACCTGTTTTTGTCAAATCATCAATTAATCATATTTCAACTGTCATTTGTAATGTTAAGAAATTATTTTTGTAAATGCATTAATTAATTAATGATTTTTTTTTATTTTCAGAAACTAAAGATAATTTACAGAATGACAATGACAATACATCACAGAATTCACTTTATCCAGAACACATTCCAACTTCTATCTTTCAAAAAATGTTGCTCACTATTGGTTCTGCAACAATGGCAATTGCAGATCCTTATCGAGATGGTAACAGTTTGGAAAATTTAAATTTAACTAATGTAATTCTTAATTTGTTTCATGTATTATTATAACACTAACATTTGAGAAAGCATGTGTATTCAAAATAGGATTTATTTATTATTTTCATTTATAGATATGGTTGCAGTCTTAGGAGAAACAACAGGTTATTTAGCTTTAAAAAATATACATAAAAAGATGCTAAAAGATCCAGAAGGACAAGCTATTCTTAGGTATATAATAATTGCATTTGTTATAAATTCATATAAAATTTTAACCTGTTATTTAGCTAATAATCTACTACATGAATGTTTAAATTTTAAATTTCATTTAAAATTTAAACATTCATATAGTCGATTATTTGCTAAATACAGTTCATTCAAATTCATAAAAATATTATGCTTTAGTATTTTTATACAACTTTTGAACTTCAGATTGTTATAGTATGTATCTATAAATATCTGTTAGAATTAAATCTTTGAAACAACCAGAGAAGTGATAGTGGCCCCATTAAAAAATTGTTTAAAATGTTACAAAAGTGTAGCCGAAAGAATAATATAATTATCCATATAACGAATTTTAGTATCCTTATTACCAATTAAAATTACATTTATAAAATTAATAATTTCACAACTTTATGGGATTATCACACCTATACAGGTTGTGCTGCATAGCACCAAAATCACCACTTGGCAATATTTTTATTAAAGTGGCGATAGAAACCTTAGTCCACTTATTTCAACATTCAGGGTGAAATTGAATCGTAAAGCACGCTTCAGCTAAAGCGAAAAATTTAGATATGACAGAACCTGTGAAATAGTGTTTAAGCATTGTGATCAAATGTGTTATTTTGAATTATTCATTAAAAAGTTATTCAAAAATGATTCCTATTTCTAAGTGACCACTTAACATGTTACTTTTACTTTCCAAACTCCAAACCAATAAGGCTACTAGCACCTGCATTGATTAGTAAGTAAAACTGGTGGTGAAAAAATTTAAAACTGGCAAAATGAATGGCAATTTTTTAAAATTTTCCAGAGCAACAACTGCACATATACAGCCTTTTCTAGTTACTAATTTATATTATATTTGTTAAGAAGCATTTCAGACTAATGGTTTCTCTTCAGTTGGCTTTTTTTGATGTTTCCAAATAAATTTAAAGCAAAAACTGACTTTTATAACAATTATTATACCACACATTTTGCTGATAATTATCCTTAAACTACATTGTATAGAACTGAATTAACTTAATTAAATTTTTCAACTAAACATTTTTGTTCTTATCTTCTTTTCTTCTTGTCTTTTAATTTGATACTATTAAAAACTATTAATATATAATTTTTAATAATTACTGATTTTTATATAAAACCCACTTATTTCTTTCATTCAAAACAACTTATTTTCAATTCATTCTTTTATCCAACTTTGTTCCAAATACGTTATTATTAAACTACTTTGAGTTTAAACCACTCCAATGACACTGTTCTGTTATTGCTTGTTCCTTCTGCCCTGTTGTCCAAATATTTGTCTAATTTCAAACCCTCATTATAATTTTGTTCTGAACAACTACAGTATATCCAAATTTATAAACTAACCTTCTTTAAACAGAAGGTGTAGTTTATAAATTTGTAAACATTGAAAAAAGCCAATTGAAGAGGGACTATTGGTCCAATATGCATCTTGACAAATATAATAAAAAGTAGTAATAGAAAAGGCTGTTATGTATGACAAGCCCAAAAATTGTGAAATTATTAGCATTATTATTAATTAAAATTACAATTATAAAATTAATAATTTATGGTAAAAGCAATGAGATAGGAAAAAAAGGAAACAATTTTAGCACATACCTTTGTATTTTACTATAAAATTTAAAATATACAGAATAATAACTGTTAAATAATATAAACAGAAATTTAAATGTAGCTTATTATTATTATGAACAATCATAATAAAAACATTTAATTACAGGGATAAGCCACGAATTAATAGCGAAACTATTGATTTAAGGTTTTTACAAAAACTTCCAGACGGAACTTTAGGTCACGCTTATTTTTCCTTTCTTAACAAAAATGTAAGTTTTCAATTTTATTGTTTGAAATAAGGTACACAGAAAATGTACATAAATGTAATATAATAATAAATTCTATCTTCCTTATTATGATTTCAATTATAATTATATGTATTTCAAATTATATTGAATCAAAGTCAATCATCATTCACTCATTTAAAATATTTATATAGTTAGTTTTATAATTTCCAAATAGTTTCCTAGGAATTCCAAAAAAAATTTTTTTGGAATCCCTGTAGGAAGTAACTATTTGGAAATTATAAAATTTTAATATAAAATAATTGTCACCTATAAATACTTCCATTAAGGTGTTAGGAATTTTAAATTAGTCAATAATACAGTACTTTAATATGCACGTATACAAGAGAAAATTGCAAAAGTTGATTTAAGACTATACAATTTGAATAAATATCAAATTAAATTAATTTATATTTCAGAAAGTTAGTCCAGATACTCGACAACCAGTTCATTTTGTTGACAATGTAGAATTGGCTTATGTAATGCAAAGATATAGAGAAGTTCATGATTTAATTCATGCTATATTAAACATGCCTATAAATATGATGGGAGAAGTTGTCGTTAAGTGGATTGAAGGCATTCAAACTGGCTTACCTATGTGTATTGCAGGTGGAGTATTTGGACCAATAAGATTTACTAAAAGGTAAAATTTCATTTATTCTGAAGCTCAGAAGAAAAAATTTTTTAATAGTTTGGTTTTCATTTTCCTTCGTAACTGGTTTAATTTTAAATTATAAATACTAATAATTACATATTATGACAGGTATAATCCATGTGTGATGCAAATATGTTCTACCATTGTGTTAAAAAATATTTGAATTGCAAGATTATACAGAGCAAAATAATAATAGTAACAGTTATAATTTTAGAGACATAAAATTATAAATTTTTAAATTTTTTTCAATAGAAGAAAACAAAATAAATGAATAAATATTGCAGGATAATTCTAATTATTATTGTCATTCTGTACAATTGTATACAATTGTTTAAACATTTCCAAAATCTATTTATAAATGGCATATCAATTAAACTTTTGCAATTTGATTGCATTTTTTGAAAATGTTTGTGACTAACAACTAATTATTATTTTTTCCAGCCAAAGACAAAAATACCTGATGACTTATTTACCTTGGGCCTTAGAATGTTCGTATAAAGCAAAATTCTTTATGAATGTATATTATGAACAACGTTGGGAACAGCCATTAGAAGATTTATATAAAGAGTTAAACATCTTAACTCCACCAACTTTTAAGTAAAAGTTTTGAGACTACATAATTATATATCATTAAATGCATTGTAAAAAGAAAATCAAATGTTTACAATAAAATAATTATATTAATACATGACATATTTTTTATAACATTAAAATCAGAATTAGAAATAAATATATAGTATTTATATGTAAAGATATACCTGAAATTTTAACTTCGAAGAGTTGAAGGTCGTCCAACAAAGCATTTGCGTAGTAGCTGTATTGGTAAACCCAAGGTGCATATAGCTGAATGAGGTATAGCAACTACACTGCCATCTACATGATTATATGCATAACCTCATATTCTCTATAATACACTTCATAATACCTACACTAAATATAGTCATCAATGATTGGAGGATGGTGATTGGTGGAAAGTTTGTACATAACAACTTGCATGGTATGTGCTTCTGTTATATATATATATATATATTCCACAGGTTCAAGATTGAGTCCTCCTCTTTATACTTGATGGTTTTGATTTTTGGGCCACCCTGTAGATCTCTATTAACTCCAGATATCTGATATGTGATACATGATCTATCCACTGTTCTATGTATAATTTTGGCCCAATTGAAATGGACCTTCATGTCAGGGTTCAATCCCAATTCATACTGTCAAGTTCTCATGATCCCTAATCTTTTAGGTTGGCATTTAACTCCTTGATCTGAAGAACATACACACATAATAGATTCAAGATGAAGACAACAGGAATTTAACAACATTGTAAAACAGGCAGTCAGTCATGGTTACAATAAAAAAATCATCAAAGGGCTCATCAAGCATTATGCATAACATGATGCTTGATGAGTCCTTTCTAGCTCCCAACCTGCTCCAGATATATATAAGGTGGTAACATATAATGCATGATTAACTTCTATACACAGAGAAACAGCCTGCAACTACAACACCAATATGGCCCTCAAAAGGAGCCCATCCATATTTAATCTAATTAAAAATACCAAAGATCTGACAACTTGGCAATATTCACCAGTGATATATTCCATCCCTTGTATAGACAAGAAATCCAATGAAAAATTAGAATACATAGGAGCCACGTCAGCACATTACCACCTGTCTAAAGGAAAAGCTGACATATCAAAAGGCCTTGTAGACATATGCCAGGGACTCAGGCAGAACCTGTAGAGGAGGACTCAATCCTGAACCTGTGGTGTGTATGTATATATATATATATATTCCACATACCACACAAGTTGCTATGTACAAACATTCCACCAATCACCATCCTCCAATCATCAATGATTATGTAAAGTTTATGATTCATTCCAAAAATGTGCAATTCGAATTTTAGAACACCAGCCTGAGAACGTCCTTTTAAAAACAGACAAAAACATTTGTTTCTCAAATGAGTACAAAGTGAGTAGTTCTTTTATGCAGGTTCATTGGTTTTGTGTAATCTTGGATTAATTTACCATAATGCACATTCTGTTTTTTTGTCATTGCTGACTTTGATTACTATAAATAGTTACAAAAGTATCATCATAAAACATTATTATACTAAGATTACTATCACATGACCTCACTATCTAGCATTGTTTTCATTTCTATATACTGTCAGATTAAGTCTGACATAAAATATGAGCTACTGTCAGAACAGCAGACCATTGTAAGTTACGGTATATCTGTATATTATTGGTACATTAAAATTCAGCAGAAAACATAAATTACAAAATATTTTGTTTATTAGACTATTTAAAATAATGTTAAACATTTACATATATTCTAAGCCACAGTCTGTAATTTTAGCATTCAAGTTAATTTGCATATTTTCATTAATAACAGAGATGCTTAAAAATGATTTATTATTTTCAACATTATTTTTCAAAAATAAACAATAATCAACTAATTTTTTCCATTGTTTTCCCATGAAATCAAATGATATATTTGGTGGTGCATTTTTATTTGCCACGCTTTCAGGTTCAGTATTTTTCATCAAGGCTTGTTTAGTAGCAATCAAAATCAGATTATAATCATTAACTAGTCTCTTTAAAGTCATCACCATAGATCCATAATAATCCTCTAATTTCTTATAATTATCCATAAAATTCATTCTGTCTAACCAATAAAATGCTGATATACTGTCTACAAATATAACACTTATATCATTTTCTGTTAATAATTTTTCCAATGAGCACAATGTGATAAGAAATTGTTCACTGTTGGAACATTTCAGTATATGCAATTTTTGCAATCTTTCTTTAACAAAACTCAATACATTGTTAACGTGCAAATTAATAACATTATCGTGTCTTTTTGAATTTTCCCGATGAATTCGCTTCTCTATTAGTGTAACTAATCTCAGCAGGTTAAAGTGATAATCATTATCAATAAGTAAGACATTACAGTCAATTCCATTCAGTATTATTCCATTCCAAGACTTTGGAAGTATGCATTGACTAATGAAATGATACAAAATTTCAGTTTTTCCTGATCCTGCTTTACCATAAACCTCAACTACTTGTTTTGGACGTAAATTTGGAAATATAACTGGATCAAGATTAGCGAGATAATCTCGAGATCCAAGTCTTGCTAATAACTGAAATTAAAAAAAAAAAAGAAAATTATATTTTAAAATACGCAATTTGTATTGAAGAAATTAAATAAAAGTATATAAACATCTTGAAGCTTAATAATTATATTAAAGCCAAATGACTGATAAATAATACTGTAATGAATAGAACTAAATAGAATAAAATTATGCAATATATCTTCTAAATATAGACAATATAAAACTAAAAATGTGAACTACAGAAAAAGTTTTTGGCAAGTTAGTTCATAGTTGTTTTATACAGTAAATGAAATAATAATAATAATAACTTTAAAATTACTTAAATCATGTTGCTAATATGAAAGTTATTTTATTTTCCTTCATCTTTGCAGATAAAGTACCAGTTTTTTGTAATTATCTAAACATATATTGACAATAATTCATTTTGATTTATAATTCTAAACTTTTAGGATACATTTACAGTATATATCAATATATAGTCTGACGAATTAAATATACATTAGATTATGTACAGTCTAGGTATGCTGATTGCTGTATGTGCCACAATCCTAGTTAAGCATAAAAATATCATTGTTTTTGTTATGGAGTCAATGACAGTGGATATGCTAGCACAAGTGTGGGAGGAATTAGGCTATTGTCTTGACATTGCTTGTGTAACTATAGGAAGTAACACAAAACACTTCTAAGGTAAATCACAAAACTTGGATAGTTTATCTTTTTGTTATATTTTTGAATTTAATAAATAAAGTCTTTTGAAACTGGATGCTTCTTGATTTAATCAAAGCTTTAATCCTCCCTGTTGACAAACTTTTACCAGAATTGCCATAAAAAATATTTAAATATAAATAAAACAAGTTATACAAAGAAAAATCTGTTGTTTGTGAATACTTCAATTATTATGGAAATAATTTATCAAATGAAAACATACACTGGTCAAAGCAATTAGGGAATCAAGAGATGTTGCATAGAAAATTATTTACAATGAAATTCTGAATGTCAGATGTTATTGTTATGGACAGTACAGTAAAACATATAGTAGTGTGAAAAAATATGCCTTTGAATCAATAATATGCACAACCAGGACTGACTTTTTATTGATTATACTGACTTTAGTAGGATATTGGGCTCTCAATAAATGGCCAAATCTGCATGGCATGGAATTGAGATAATGTTGGGGAATTCTCTGCCACTCCTCAATGAGAGCAGCTAATTAATCACGCTCCCCTAATTATTTTGACAATATTTTTAAAACATTAGTATTTTTAAACATTTTAAAAGAAAATATATACCAATGTATTTAATCTATATATAAATAAAACTGTAACAATCAGTCTGTTTGGATGTTTGTTACTGCATCTCAGGAAAATGCCTGAACATATTTTAATCAAACTTCATAATTTGAATGTCAATTCAGAAGAAAGTTTACGCATACCTATGATCTCAAAATCTGCATTATATATATTATTAATTACACTTATTGTAATTATATATATAATTAAACTATAATGGATTTCTGTTTGTCTGTCTGTTTGCTAGATAGCAACATATATAAATCAGCAGTTGCTCATCAAGCAGTTATCTATAAGAAAGTTGTAATATTGAAGAATAGTATTTATTTGGAAAACTATCATTAAAAAGTAATTATTGAAAAATTATCAAACATGCACAAAGTTGGAAAAACTGAGGTCACTGTGCTAGATGGCACTTTATATATATATATATATGTATGGTAGATTTTTTTCAGTGTTTGGTGTTGTGTTTATGGTTACTTAGCCCAAATTATATTGGTTTGACAGGTGGATGGCTGAGCAGTCAAGGTGGCAGCTACTACTACTCTGTGGGACCCGGGAGTGAATCTGGATGGGTCGAAAAATCTCCAGGAATTTTTCAATGGTGGTCCATCCAGATCTGTCAGACCCTGTCCCTCATCACCTGGCCGCACCATAATGGGCTTGCTAAAAGAGGCCCTCAGTGTCCACAGGGTATAAAAAAAAAAAAACTATATTGATACGTTTTCTGTGATGGTCTACATCCCCTCTTAAGCCCAAGCAATTTTTTTGTTTTTTGAGGTTTCATTGTTATAAATACTCAGGTCAATAAATGTACATTTTAGTTACTAAGTCCATTGTCTCTATCATCCTTTCCCAACCTAACCTCACCAGTTAAAATCCCAAGGAATGCCAGCCACACACAGCTAGTAATTTTCTAAAGGGTAATTTGATTAGTAAATATAAAGACCATTTCATTTAATTAGTTATTTAGTATGCAAATCCTGAACATGTAACGTAATGCCATTAAATTCCTTCCCAATTTAAATAAGAGGGAACACAAGGAAAAGTCACATAAATAGCTTCTAAAACCTTCAAAAGAAATTTACATTTATGGATATGATCCCAAGTAATGAAAAAAACTAATCCTAACTCATGAAAAAACTACAGCATGCTGTTCCAAATTTCAAATTAATGGAAATACAATCATTAAGTTTATTAAATAAAATCCCACATAATATCATATTCAAAATAACAACATTGAATAACAGATATCTGTTATTAGATTAAAAAATTTAGTCTTACAAAATAATTGACTAATCATTGACAGATGATGATAAACTGGCAAAATTTTATCTACACAATGTATTGGATTTTTAAAAGTCATATTTTTAAACAAATCATATTTAACTGTATCATAAACAAAAGATAAACATTTTTATCTTATAATCATTTTAACATTTATAAAAATAGTCATTAATTTTTCATAATTTTTAATTATTATTTAAAAGTCAAATTAGAATCTAAAAATTTGTTATAATGCAATCAGTTTTTGATAATTATAAATATTTCACTGAAACAAAAAAAAATCACTTCAAGCTTGAAGTGACAAAGTTCACTCTAATTTCAGCACCGGAGTTCGAAAATGTTTGTCACCCGCTGTATATATCTTATACATGTTGCACACCAGTAACAGGTTTAGGAGGTCGGGAAGCTTAAAGTGATTTTTTTTTTTTTTATTAGGCTATATGTATTTACAGTGTGGCTACAAAGTTTCTATACATGAGATTATGTTCTCTATTAATAGTTTCATTTTTGATTAAGATGGGCACAAGTATGATGGAGTTTTCAAAAGAAAATCAACTTGGCATGTGGTAATTCACTTTGGATATTGTTTAAGAAAATTTCTCAACCTGCCTTATAACAGGTATCAAAGATAGTTTTTATGACTTTTAACCCCAAACATGAGAACTAAATAAACCTTGAGTAATAGAAAGGAACAAACTTCCAGGTATCATGCACAAGAACTCTGTAGCCACACACTACAACAGGGGTCCTCAAACTTTTTTGACTGTTGATCCCTTCAAAGATTCCTTGACTTCTTATGCGAATACAGTTAATAATAAATACTGTAAATAAATCTGGTGCACCAGTATTAACCCATACACCATTTTCATTGAAAAGATCTACTTAGTGTGCAAATTTACAGCGTGAACTGTCATATATAACCAGTGTACTTTTTCTAAGAACTATCGCAAGTTCACATACAGTGACTGAACATATAAAACTGTTTTTACCAAGCAGCTACCATTACTACATATTGGCTATCGATACTTTTTTTTATACTGTGTGCCACTACGACACGACAGCACATTCCGGCCACATCCTGTTTGTTGTCACTGACATTTGTGACAGAAAAAATTCTATCTTCAAACTTTTATACCTTTGAAGTTAATTTCATAGAAATTTACTTCATGTACATGTAAATTTAAGCATAATTTGTATTTAGTCAATGTTATATCTCGCAGAGTTATGTGTTCCTTTAACTGTTTTGTTCCTATGAGTATGCTCTACAGCTCAGTTAAGGTATCATTCGAGCTTGAATTGAGCCCTTGGCATGGTATGGATACCCCTAATATTTAGAGAAACTCATTACGAAACCAAATTTTATGAAAATAGTTCTGCATTGCTTATTATATTATATAAAACTAATTATAACGCATTTAACCTGTATTCCTGTTTCCCATTTTATAACAGATTCTTCCATCGGATCAAACAAACCGCCACGTGTGCCGCGATCGATCGCCCTCTAGTGAGTGAATTACTACTATTATTTCTCATAAATAATTACTTATTAAATTATTACCAAATTTCACATATATTCACATAACTTTTTCTTTAAACATTATTTTTAAAATTAATATTCTATTATTTTATTTATTCTTATGAAGTTTACTAAAAGTATATACAGTATATCTATTATTTGACAAATAAAAGTTATAATTACAATTAATTAATCGTAATTTTTATTCGTTAAAATTTATTTATTAATAATAATGATTACTATTACATTTTTATATTTAGACATTATACTTTAGCAAGCCTTTAGGACAGCGATGTCAAACTCAAACGCGGCAAAGGGCCATTCAAATAGATATACAGTATATGAAACGCGGTTCGTATTCAATATTATTCGGCAAATCAAAGCATACTGTAATTTAAAAAAAGACTGTAAAAAAATTTCTTTTGTTTCCAGCCTTTACGAATTATGTAAACAGTTAGAAGTTTGAATTTTTTCTGTTTTAATACTCGCTAGACGTTGAAAACATTGATTTTTAGAAAAGAAATCCCAAAGGCCGCGGCCGGATATGAAGCCTTAATCGACTGTATCCGGGCCGTGGGCCTCCAGTTTGCGACCCCCTGCGCTTTTTTAACATCTAAATAGGGGCCACATTCATTTTATTACTATTATTTTGTATTTTTTCGCCTTCCAAACTCTTGCGCCGCTAGGCCCGGACCTAGTGGGTCTAATGGGTCCCAGCATGAATGTGGAATTAGCGTGTTTCACCATCCCTCACTAATCCGAGATAGGGCACTTGTGTTTAACTGTAGTTTGAATTGATTTTTAAGATGTAAACTATCCAGCAACACTAACAAATTCAAAGAAGAAGCCAACCTTTAAGACAATTCTGATTTCTAGTACCTGAATGAATACAAATAAATTAATTAATTTTGTCCTAGTTAAAACAATATATAATAATAANGCAAAAAAAAGGAAAGCTGGTAAAACAACAATAGAGGTAGGAAAAAAAATTATTATTGCCTACTTCAGAAAGGTTTTAAAAAGCAGACAATACTGGACAAGTTCTTTATTAAATCAAGTGCCACTGAATCGTTGGCAAAACAGACTCCATAATCATAATAGGAATTACCTAATGTTTTAATTGATGGTATGTCTTCTTCTAAACAATAATAACCTTACTCTTCTTCCCCTTCTACCACTATACTGTATTTATTTAGTACAATAAAGTTTTACAAACAACATAATTTTTAATTCTTGTACCTTTTTTTAGGATGGTAACGGACTAATTGAATATCAGTTATTTATTATGAGAAAAATTGTTTCTATATTTGTCATATTCCATATTCATTAGGTTCTTAGTAATAGATTAATGATAAATATAGAGGTTCCACTGTACAGTAATATAATATATAATAAAAAGGGTTAGAAGTATGAAATAAAGTATATATAAAGTTAAACATTATGTACTTACTCAAAATTTCTACCAGTAGTTGCAGGATATAAAATTGATAATTTCAATTTCTTGTCTGGTCCAATTATAAAAACCTATAAAATAAATTCAAAAAATTTCAATATTAATTTTCATTCTATTTTAAAATTTATTTTTACATACAGCACGACATGTTAGTGGTAAACCCTTCTCATCCTTTTCTTTAGGATCAATCATGCCTAGTTGAACTGCCAAATCTCGTCCTTCATCTGATATAATAGGATATGGAAATTCTTCACTATTAAGTTCAGAAAAAGAACATATGTCCTAAAATATAATACATAATTTATTTCTTTAGTTAAATTTATTTAATTATTAAAAAAAACTTACTTTAATCCATCCCTTGTGGCTATCAACATTATCACAGGAAAGAGCTATTAATTTCACACCACGTTTATTAAATTCAGGAACTAATTTTGCTACCCGTCCAAGTTCTGTTGTACATACAGGAGTAAAATCAGCAGGATGAGAAAATAGAATAGCCCAACTAAAAAAAAAACCAAACAATTTAAAAAAAATTTCACATAATTATCAAATTACATATTTAATTTTCATAATTTCTTTGTACCATAATAAGAATATTGTAAATTACTTAATTTTTATATTTTATAATTATTAAATTAATGTATATACATTAACATAATACATTGCTATTGTTAATTTCATATTAATGCACCATACAATTTATTTTATAAAAACTTATTTAAACTATAACAGAATTCATATATTTTTAATCACTATCAAATTGCAAGTTTTAAAATTGTAATTAAAANGGTCGAATGAGTGTTGCCAGCTAAAACACGTAAAAATAATATTAAAGTAGCCAAGACATAGCCAAATATTGTAGCGCCACATCACTAGCGGACATTTGAAATTTGCCGACTAGGACGGTCGGTTAACCGAGGGGTCGATTGATCGGGGGGCGGATAATCGAGGTTCTACTGTATATTCTAATTGAAAAAATATTTTTAATACATGTATTAAGTTTACTCACAATGAAAAAACGACTTTCTCATTATAATTATAAACGTTTATGATTCGACGTTTGTCCATTATATGGTGTTGTAATACGCTAAATTTAGCTCGATTCTAAGTAAAACGCGAGTTATTATTTATTGTTACATCGTCACAATGCACTTAAGTTTAGTACTGTCATACCCCCTGTACATCATGCTTTTCCTGTTAACAATTAAGTCATGCCGGTCATGTATATATATCTGTTCAGGAGAAAATTTTGAAGTCAGTATATAGTTAGACGGGACCATCTTCCCCTAAAGCTTTCCATCCGTTTGCGACTTTTATCTATCTAACACCGTTCTCGAGATTACGGAAGGATAGACGGACAACAGTGGGGATTTATAGATCTATAATTTTTTCAAATTGCCTCCCAATAAAGAAACTGAATCAAAAGTTATTTAATTAACAAAGATATTTTTTAAAAACGTTGAGATCAGATCTGTTGTTTAAAATTTTGTCTATTGTCAGTGAAATTGTGTACCGGTATGTAAAAGTATCCACCGTCGACATATAAAAATGACTTTTAATAGTAGAAGGTAAAAATTTTAAATATTAATAGAATTAACAATTTGTTTGAATATATTTTTGTAGTGAAATATAGCTTGCATTTAATGGGGCCCCATTTTAATTAATTTTTCATTATTTCTAATGGAGAAAATTGTTTCGGACTTCGAACGGTCCCTAGAATAAATTAAATTCGAAGTACGAGACACCACTGTTTTACGTACAGTAATTATATCTCCGATCAATTTGTTCGAAATACTCAGAGGGCGCTATAACACTTAAAATGGCGTCGATGTTAAACATGTGTCGTTTCTTAAAAAAGTTTAATATTAATTTAAACAGAAATGTAATTCGAATGTTTACGGATTTTACAAATCCTGACTTTAATCCCGATCACTTCTCTTCTACAAAACTTCATTCGGGTATCTAATTGTTTTTAAACGTAATATTTGTGTTTATGCATTTTGTACTGTACATAGAATAGTCACAAAGTTCGTATGCTTATTAATTAAAAGTTGTCTTTATGCTCCTTCTGTAAAAGTGCCTATATTTTAATAAATCAAACTGCATTTTGGAGTTTGATGTATTAAAATGTAGGCACTTTTACAGGGAAATTTCATGGATGGCCACAAAGCAAGGTCTTATTGTATTTTATTCAAAGGAAATACTACTAATAATAGATTTTCCAATTATTTTTGGCAAAATTTATTTGTGTATATCTGTAGATCTATTTGCAAAACATAAACATCAAAGATGAATAATGACAAATCTGAACAAGCAAAAACCTGGTCAGTCACTGTTGGAGTTATTGTTTTACTGGAATGGTGTATATACTGTATTTTTTAAATTAAATTTTATCCATGTGCATACCTGTTTTTGTCAAATCATCAATTAATCATATTTCAACTGTCATTTGTAATGTTAAGAAATTATTTTTGTAAATGCATTAATTAATTAATGATTTTTTTTTATTTTCAGAAACTAAAGATAATTTACAGAATGACAATGACAATACATCACAGAATTCACTTTATCCAGAACACATTCCAACTTCTATCTTTCAAAAAATGTTGCTCACTATTGGTTCTGCAACAATGGCAATTGCAGATCCTTATCGAGATGGTAACAGTTTGGAAAATTTAAATTTAACTAATGTAATTCTTAATTTGTTTCATGTATTATTATAACACTAACATTTGAGAAAGCATGTGTATTCAAAATAGGATTTATTTATTATTTTCATTTATAGATATGGTTGCAGTCTTAGGAGAAACAACAGGTTATTTAGCTTTAAAAAATATACATAAAAAGATGCTAAAAGATCCAGAAGGACAAGCTATTCTTAGGTATATAATAATTGCATTTGTTATAAATTCATATAAAATTTTAACCTGTTATTTAGCTAATAATCTACTACATGAATGTTTAAATTTTAAATGAAATTTAAAATTTAAACATTCATATAGTAGATTATTTGCTAAATACAGTTCATTCAAATTCATAAAAATATTATGCTTTAGTATTTTTATACAACTTTTGAACTTCAGATTGTTATAGTATGTATCTATAAATATCTGTTAGAATTAAATCTTTGAAACAACCAGAGAAGTGATAGTGGCCCCATTAAAAAATTGTTTAAAATGTTACAAAAGTGTAGCCGAAAGAATAATATAATTATCCATATAACGAATTTTAGTATCCTTATTACCAATTAAAATTACATTTATAAAATTAATAATTTCACAACTTTATGGGATTATCACACCTATACAGGTTGTGCTGCATAGCACCAAAATCACCACTTGGCAATATTTTTATTAAAGTGGCGATAGAAACCTTAGTCCACTTATTTCAACATTCAGGGTGAAATTGAATCGTAAAGCACGCTTCAGCTAAAGCGAAAAATTTAGATATGACAGAACCTGTGAAATAGTGTTTAAGCATTGTGATCAAATGTGTTATTTTGAATTATTCATTAAAAAGTTATTCAAAAATGATTCCTATTTCTAAGTGACCACTTAACATGTTACTTTTACTTTCCAAACTCCAAACCAATAAGGCTACTAGCACCTGCATTGATTAGTAAGTAAAACTGGTGGTGAAAAAATTTAAAACTGGCAAAATGAATGGCAATTTTTTAAAATTTTCCAGAGCAACAACTGCACATATACAGCCTTTTCTAGTTACTAATTTATATTATATTTGTTAAGAAGCATTTCAGACTAATGGTTTCTCTTCAGTTGGCTTTTTTTGATGTTTCCAAATAAATTTAAAGCAAAAACTGACTTTTATAACAATTATTATACCACACATTTTGCTGATAATTATCCTTAAACTACATTGTATAGAACTGAATTAACTTAATTAAATTTTTCAACTAAACATTTTTGTTCTTATCTTCTTTTCTTCTTGACTTTTAATTTGATACTATTAAAAACTATTAATATATAATTTTTAATAATTACTGATTTTTATATAAAACCCACTTATTTCTTTCATTCAAAACAACTTATTTTCAATTCATTCTTTTATCCAACTTTGTTCCAAATACGTTATTATTAAACTACTTTGAGTTTAAACCACTCCAATGACACTGTTCTGTTATTGCTTGTTCCTTCTGCCCTATTGTCCAAATATTTGTCTAATTTCAAACCCTCATTATAATTTTGTTCTGAACAACTACAGTATATCCAAATTTATAAACTAACCTTCTTTAAACAGAAGGTGTAGTTTATAAATTTGTAAACATTGAAAAAAGCCAATTGAAGAGGGACTATTGGTCCAATATGCATCTTGACAAATATAATAAAAAGTAGTAATAGAAAAGGCTGTTATGTATGACAAGCCCAAAAATTGTGAAATTATTAGCATTATTATTAATTAAAATTACAATTATAAAATTAATAATTTATGGTAAAAGCAATGAGATAGGAAAAAAAGGAAACAATTTTAGCACATACCTTTGTATTTTACTATAAAATTTAAAATATACAGAATAATAACTGTTAAATAATATAAACAGAAATTTAAATGTAGCTTATTATTATTATGAACAATCATAATAAAAACATTTAATTACAGGGATAAGCCACGAATTAATAGCGAAACTATTGATTTAAGGTTTTTACAAAAACTTCCAGACGGAACTTTAGGTCACGCTTATTTTTCCTTTCTTAACAAAAATGTAAGTTTTCAATTTTATTGTTTGAAATAAGGTACACAGAAAATGTACATAAATGTAATATAATAATAAATTCTATCTTCCTTATTATGATTTCAATTATAATTATATGTATTTCAAATTATATTGAATCAAAGTCAATCATCATTCACTCATTTAAAATATTTATATAGTTAGTTTTATAATTTCCAAATAGTTTCCTAGGAATTCCAAAAAAAATTTTTTTGGAATCCCTGTAGGAAGTAACTATTTGGAAATTATAAAATTTTAATATAAAATAATTGTCACCTATAAATACTTCCATTAAGGTGTTAGGAATTTTAAATTAGTCAATAATACAGTACTTTAATATGCACGTATACAAGAGAAAATTGCAAAAGTTGATTTAAGACTATACAATTTGAATAAATATCAAATTAAATTAATTTATATTTCAGAAAGTTAGTCCAGATACTCGACAACCAGTTCATTTTGTTGACAATGTAGAATTGGCTTATGTAATGCAAAGATATAGAGAAGTTCATGATTTAATTCATGCTATATTAAACATGCCTATAAATATGATGGGAGAAGTTGTCGTTAAGTGGATTGAAGGCATTCAAACTGGCTTACCTATGTGTATTGCAGGTGGAGTATTTGGACCAATAAGATTTACTAAAAGGTAAAATTTCATTTATTCTGAAGCTCAGAAGAAAAAATTTTTTAATAGTTTGGTTTTCATTTTCCTTCGTAACTGGTTTAATTTTAAATTATAAATACTAATAATTACATATTATGACAGGTATAATCCATGTGTGATGCAAATATGTTCTACCATTGTGTTAAAAAATATTTGAATTGCAAGATTATACAGAGCAAAATAATAATAGTAACAGTTATAATTTTAGAGACATAAAATTATAAATTTTTAAATTTTTTTCAATAGAAGAAAACAAAATAAATGAATAAATATTGCAGGATAATTCTAATTATTATTGTCATTCTGTACAATTGTATACAATTGTTTAAACATTTCCAAAATCTATTTATAAATGGCATATCAATTAAACTTTTGCAATTTGATTGCATTTTTTGAAAATGTTTGTGACTAACAACTAATTATTATTTTTTCCAGCCAAAGACAAAAATACCTGATGACTTATTTACCTTGGGCCTTAGAATGTTCGTATAAAGCAAAATTCTTTATGAATGTATATTATGAACAACGTTGGGAACAGCCATTAGAAGATTTATATAAAGAGTTAAACATCTTAACTCCACCAACTTTTAAGTAAAAGTTTTGAGACTACATAATTATATATCATTAAATGCATTGTAAAAAGAAAATCAAATGTTTACAATAAAATAATTATATTAATACATGACATATTTTTTATAACATTAAAATCAGAATTAGAAATAAATATATAGTATTTATATGTAAAGATATACCTGAAATTTTAACTTCGAAGAGTTGAAGGTCGTCCAACAAAGCATTTGCGTAGTAGCTGTATTGGTAAACCCAAGGTGCATATAGCTGAATGAGGTATAGCAACTACACTGCCATCTACATGATTATATGCATAACCTCATATTCTCTATAATACACTTCATAATACCTACACTAAATATAGTCATCAATGATTGGAGGATGGTGATTGGTGGAAAGTTTGTACATAACAACTTGCATGGTATGTGCTTCTGTTATATATATATATATATATTCCACAGGTTCAAGATTGAGTCCTCCTCTTTATACTTGATGGTTTTGATTTTTGGGCCACCCTGTAGATCTCTATTAACTCCAGATATCTGATATGTGATACATGATCTATCCACTGTTCTATGTATAATTTTGGCCCAATTGAAATGGACCTTCATGTCAGGGTTCAATCCCAATTCATACTGTCAAGTTCTCATGATCCCTAATCTTTTAGGTTGGCATTTAACTCCTTGATCTGAAGAACATACACACATAATAGATTCAAGATGAAGACAACAGGAATTTAACAACATTGTAAAACAGGCAGTCAGTCATGGTTACAATAAAAAAATCATCAAAGGGCTCATCAAGCATTATGCATAACATGATGCTTGATGAGTCCTTTCTAGCTCCCAACCTGCTCCAGATATATATAAGGTGGTAACATATAATGCATGATTAACTTCTATACACAGAGAAACAGCCTGCAACTACAACACCAATATGGCCCTCAAAAGGAGCCCATCCATATTTAATCTAATTAAAAATACCAAAGATCTGACAACTTGGCAATATTCACCAGTGATATATTCCATCCCTTGTATAGACAAGAAATCCAATGAAAAATTAGAATACATAGGAGCCACGTCAGCACATTACCACCTGTCTAAAGGAAAAGCTGACATATCAAAAGGCCTTGTAGACATATGCCAGGGACTCAGGCAGAACCTGTAGAGGAGGACTCAATCCTGAACCTGTGGTGTGTATGTATATATATATATATATTCCACATACCACACAAGTTGCTATGTACAAACATTCCACCAATCACCATCCTCCAATCATCAATGATTATGTAAAGTTTATGATTCATTCCAAAAATGTGCAATTCGAATTTTAGAACACCAGCCTGAGAACGTCCTTTTAAAAACAGACAAAAACATTTGTTTCTCAAATGAGTACAAAGTGAGTAGTTCTTTTATGCAGGTTCATTGGTTTTGTGTAATCTTGGATTAATTTACCATAATGCACATTCTGTTTTTTTGTCATTGCTGACTTTGATTACTATAAATAGTTACAAAAGTATCATCATAAAACATTATTATACTANATTATATATATATTATAGAAAGTTTACTGAGAAACTATTAAAGAAGATAAACTATAAGTGCGCATTATACGTTAAATATTTGGATTTTCTAATTAAATATATGTTTAATATGTTTTATTATATAGAAAACCTATTATTTTGATAACAAAACGTTGATATTAATCATAAATTATCGAATTTATCCGACCTCAATTTGATCTAAATATGCTTGAGGCTCAATAAGACATAGGAAACTTTAGAATAGAGGCCCCTTTACAACTGTATAGTTTTTTTTCTTTCTTTTTTTTTTTTAAAGAAATAGAGATTATCGATCGTTATCGATGTAAAAATGTTTAAATTTTAAAATGGGAAATTTATAGCATTGATATAAAATGCAAATTGCTTAAAGTTTAAGTGCAAGTGTCATTTAAAAGTCCTCATTTTAGTCGAGACGATTTTCTTTCTATTTTTTTTTTTATGGATATAAAGAATTCAGAAATCAACGGAAATTGCCAGATATTAGTTTTGATTCCTGAGAAAGATGCTGAATATTTAATGGTGTTCGTACATCCTTTAGGGCGTTGTCTCCGAATGTGTTATCTAGAGATTGGGTGTGGTTGAGAAATTGCCATCTTCCATCCTTCCACAATGATTTCGGTCAGTCAGATGAAAATCCATGGGAAACAAAGTTGTCACTTTTACAGAAGAACAGCTCGAAGACTATCAAGTAAGCTCCCTTTCTTCCCACATTTTTTTAAAATAATAATTAAAATATACAAGTTTATTCAATTAGTACCATAAAGCAATTTTGTCCCTTATGTACACGTATAATTTTAATGTATTTATCATGTATACTATTGTATAATTTATAAAATAATTAACATTATAGGACTGTACATTTTTTACTAGGAAGGAAATATTGAGGTATTTATACTCATTCTGTAATTGTACGTATATTTAAAATAATTAATTAAATATTATGTAAATTAAGGGTACAAAAGAGGTATCGAGAATTAGACCCTCAAAACGTTCCTCAGGTTATGACAGGAGATGAAGCGCACACAGTTGTTGTTTCTTTGGAGAAAGTGGAGAAAATGCCTGAACTTAAGGTAATGTAAAAATAAAAACACTACTTCTAAAATATTAAACTCTTTCTTTAATAAATTAATCAATGTATTATCTTTTAGGAAAATCCATTTCGTCAGAGAATATGTAAAGTATTTTCCCATGATGGAAGTGGTAACATGACTTTTGACGATTTCTTGGACATGCTTTCGGTGCTCAGCGAACAAGCTCCGAGAGATATAAAAGTCGTCTACGCTTTCAAAATTTACGGTGAGTTAGTAATCTACGTTACGATATAATAAACACTCGGTCTCTAAGCCAAGGATAAATCATTAGAAGGATAGATTAATAAATGAGGGACAAGTAAGAGTGCCTATATGAACACCTTCGTTTTCATTTTTTAACTTTTTCAAGCTTGGTATGGCTGATTATTATTCATTTAATCTGTTAAAAATAGGTTTACATTATCTGATAATGCAAGGTTTAAAAAAAAGACGTAAACACGACACAGAAAATGACTGGTGGTTTATAGGACGTACTTCACTTTTTTAGCCAGTATAATCTACGTGTAAAACGTAATAGTAGCCTAAGCTTACATGATTAAAGGAAAATTATGTATTACATATGTCTACTGCATACAGCAATAAGTTGGGAAGCTGACAGTCACCTCAGAAACCTCACCCCTCTGTAGCTAGGACACTGTAAACTCTACAAAAATGATGGATTTGTGAGGTTTATATAATGTGAAACCTATTCCTAAGATAGTTGATATCGTACAGGTTTATATAATGTGAAACCTATTCCTAAGATAGTTGATATCGTACAGGTAGTATTAGATTTCCAGTGTTGTCAAGCAAATATTTGTGTCTGAGACACCCGATTACCCTAGACCCTAAAGCCACGTTTAAACTGAAATTTGTGTATTTATTCAACAAATAGCATTTAATATGTAAACTTTATTAAATGAACCAAATGTTTACTAAAAGAAATAAACTAAAATCTACTCAAAATGCTTAAAATATGAATTTTTTTAGTTATAAGTAATACATTTAATATATTAAAACAGAACTTTCCCTGTTCTATTTTAATTACTTATTAATAAATTTCATATATATTATAGACTACGATGGAGATCAATTTATAGGAAATTACGATCTTCAGCAAGCTGTGGTGGCTCTAACTAAAAATGAACTAACGCCCGAAGAAGTGCAGCTTGCCTGCGAAAAGGTTTTAGAGGAGGGTGACGTTGATGACGATGGAAAATTATCATTTATGGAATTCGAACACGTGATTTCTAGAGCACCGGATTTTCTCAGGTATTAATTTCAATAATTCAAATAATCTGTCCATTAAATTATTATTTAAACAAAAACATTTCTTATTTTTTTATAGCACTTTTCACATAAGAATCTAAAGAATGGATCTAATAGTTCTGGCTGGACCAAGAATCAACATATCAGTATTAGAATAGGATTAACAGTTTAAATTTAAAAAGAATTCGACACGGTTTAGAGAATTAGAATATTAAAATTAAAGTTTAATCTTCTAAGCTACGTTTAGGTATATTTTACCCTACATAAAAGTTTAAACAGAATCTAGTCATACAACATATTTTTTCTCATTAGCTATTATAAATGTCCAAAAATATATTTTTTAAAAAACGTAGGAACTTATCTTCATTGAGGTTACAGAGAAATGGGTCATGGATCTAATGTTCGTCTTGCGAGACACGTTTAAAAATCACTAATTTAAAGAATGTTAAAAGAATGAAACCTGAAAAATATATCATTTTATGTCTAAAGTATACATAAACGTCTCTAATTTATAAATAAAAATGTTTCTTTCACCATTGAAAATCATTACATAAAGCGATTTTAACGTTGAATTATATCAGCGCATAACAAAGAAATTACTCATGCTTATAATAAGTAATGCTTTTATGCTTAACCCACGCTAATGAGAAGCGATTATTATGAAAAAAAAAATAATAATAATAATAAGGTTATGATTCTAAGAATATTCCCTTTCGTAGAAACATGAGAAATTAAGCATTGATTCCATTAACACGAGCTCGAATGCATTTTAATTTTTCTGCTGTATATAAAGGTATTTAAAAAATACTTTAACAAGACTGAATAATTTTTAAATTCGTTATTCAAAGGGACGTAATAATAAAAATTTGAAATATTTATTTTTAGTCGTTCAAAACTCGTTTAGAAAAGCGACATGAAAGATCCAAAACTATGTCACTTGGCACGACATCCAGAATGTAAAAAAAAAAACTTGTTAAATCTTACAAAAAAAATATCCCTAACATTTTTCGTCTTTATTTTAAATAATATTCATCATTATTGTATTTTAAAGATGCTATCTGTATTAACCTTGAAAGTCGCAATGTTAAGGACAAGGACAATTCTATAGAAAAAGGATGGTCGCATCACGACCGTTGTGATGTCATTCAAGGGAAAGTTTTTAACCTATTGTCTCCGAGACGACATTTTTAACCTTTATCTTACCTTATACTTTCACTTAAAATTACGTAATCCTCTTACAAGCTATCCAATTAAAGTTTATTTTATTTTATTTTATTCCTGTTTCTGATATATCTGTCTGTCTGTCCTCACTTTTTCCAAAAAACTAAACATATTTAAATCTTCTGTACATGAATACAGTTAAATAAAGTTGAAAAATTCTATCGAGTGAGCTTGATTTATCCTCTTAGCATCGATTATTTACTTCTTTTTTTAAATAAGTTAACTTAATATAACTTATTTATATTAAGCAACAGGAAAGAACACGAAATTAGCATATTATTCAGCGGTACAGAGTTCTATCTTAGGTTTAAAATTATAGAAAAAATAAAAAATAAATAAATTCGCTTCGTGTCACTTCTGCATATCAAAGGTCAAAGTTCAGCGGGCCGAGAAATCCAGTTTGCTTTTCAGGAAGGAAATATATCTTTAAAGGAAAAAGTATTTCGGATCTGTCATATAATGGTGTTGTTTATAGACACGTTAACTGAATTTTTGAATATGAAAAAAAATATATATATATGTATATATTATTTATATGTTTTTAGAATACAAAATAATAATTATTATAATATCGGTATTCTTGGCATAGATTTGATTTATAGGTATCTATACTGAATATCAATAAGAATATGTGGAATTTTCCTCGATTTTAATCCGAATTATTTATAATTTCATCCAGCAATATCCAGTTATATTAACATTAATAATAGCGAGGTTGCGGCCGAAGTTTTCATCTGTAAAACGTGAACCTCGAACGTCGAGCGCCGCATCTTATAAGCGGCGCTCGACGTTCGACGTTCACGTTTTACAGATGAAAACTTCGGCCGCAACCTCGCTATTAAATTCGATTTTACTGGATAATAATCGATTATTATTTATCCGGGAAGATTTAACTCGTGTTACTAATTTTAAAATTTAAGAAACAATGTCATAGTGTCGTAGAAAATGATGCGATGATTAATTTAGATTTAAGATAAACGATTATTTTAAGCTTTTTTTCTTATGTTTATCGAGGAAATAAGACTATTTTTAACATGCTAATTATTAGACATATTTATAATTAGCTAACCTTACAACAGGTATGCCAATTAAGAAAATTTACTATGGGATGTCGGATATTTTATCCTCTTTTTATCTTTCTATCGACCTATTTTATTCATTTTAAAATTTCGCCAACATTCTTACCTTTACATTTCCTTACTTTTATATATAAATAAATAAAAATTAAAGAATGAATTAATCTAACATCACTTATATATTTCGATTTAAACACTGAAGAGGTTATTGTAAAAAATGATCTAGAACTTGTGACTCAAGATCCCATTTTCAGATCTGACATATCTGATGCTATTTATCATCTTTCTATAATGCACAATGACGCAATTAACCTTACAGGCAGACATCAGTTGTATCGGGGACCCGGATCTATCCAAGACCCCGTCTCAAGGCTAACAAACACTTACTTGGGGGACCTTTACGTCTTACCTACATAACTGACAATATATATATATATATATATAAAGTGTAAATCCACGTAGAATTTACATATATATATATAATCCCTCTATCGAGCCATTCGTCCTTATCAGAACACAAGAATTTAGCAAGGGAAAGGTATTTAAAATTGCGATTAATATTTAATAAAAACAGGAAAAACTCGACTCATCAGTCATTCTCCTTCTCACTTTACAATATAAAAGATCCTTTATTAATTTTCCTTTTCCTTTATGTATTAACTTTCAACGCATTCCTGCATAAACAGGAAACAAGAGAGTACGCGATTCAAGTTTTCTTCTTCTTTTTTTTTTTTTCTTTAACGTAAGGTGATTTGTTCTGGAAGCTAGTAAAACTTGTATGTGTCATCCAATTTGAGGCGACAGAAGGCACGTGAAAGAGAAAGAGGGTCAATAGGTAGTGTCAGTACTTGCCCTTAAGAGACTCGACCTTCTCTCGCGCACAAAACAGGTACACCTATTGCTGCCAGCTACTCTCCTAGCTTATTCCTAGCAAAAGACAACCGCAATGACTACAAGACTGTATAAAGGTATTTAAAAAATACTTTAACAAGACTGAATAATTTTNTTACTTATAATAGATATTTTATTACAGTTATTATCGTATTATGCTATTTAAAATAATTAGACAAGCTTTCTGATGGAGGAGTTTCCGGAAAATATGAACAATTTTCTATATTTATATATTAAGCAATATTTTATAGTAACGCCTTTTAAGCAAACTTTTCACTTTAAAACTCCCCTTTTTGAGTCTATTTAAAAAAATATTATTATTTTAGAAAAAAAAGCTATAAAATGCAAAAAAATTAATTAATTTATAAGCAAAAGAATTTTAAAAAATTAAATATAGGAAGGACCCTTAATAGAAAAATTAATTTTTCAATTAAGGGTCTTACACATATAATTAATGTAAAATTAACAATTTTCCTATTTCTTAAGAGAATTTTTCCTGTAACTGAGAACGGGTGCTTAAACTTTACTTAACCTGATTCTGTAAGAAATAAAGGGAATTAATTTTAAAAAATAATACCTTTTTGAAGACATTTAATTAAAAAAAATTATATATAATCTTATATAGAATTAAATTAATAATAACAATAAAATTTTCCGATACAATTAATTTTTTTTGGTCCTTCAGACATGTTTTTAACATAATAAAAAAACCTAGATACATAAAAATACTTCCGGCTATTTTTTTTACTTCGATATTACTCAATAAGTTTATCAGGAAAATTTCCTTCTATGTTGAAATTTAAAAATTCTCTTAAAAATTTTAAATATTTCGGTAAATTACTATACTAATCGTTAATTTGAATATTAATAAGGTGTTTTGTAATATTTTAAAATAGTTGTTACTTCTAACAAACTTCTTGTTTAAAGAAAAAATTAGGTCAGGAACGAAGATGATAACTAGTAGAGGATAGCTTTTTTTTGTTTTGTTTTGCTCGAACAATATTATTTCGCAAGTTTTTGGTATTGCTGCAACTTCTCAAAAATCTCATCCGTGACAGCTTCTTATTGTTATTGCTTCAGATCAGAAATTTATTTTAGTAGGCCAATATTCTAATGGAATCTAAATAAATAAAAGATCCTTCAACTTTATTCAGTTCAATGAAATAGTTTCTATACTTTTTTTTTTCTTTCTTTCTTCAGGTAACAGAGCCCAGAGGGATGCCATCTGCTCTTCTGGCGATGGATTCTATCCTCACGAACAATTCTGCGATTACTATTATGAATGTGAACAAGGTGTTTCTAGAGTAAGAACTTGCCCAAATGGATTAGCATTCTCTGGAAGAAATAGAGGATTGGTTGATAATTGCGATTATCCTCATCGAGTTGGATGTTCCGAAAGAGGATTACCCTTGGGTCGTGAGTATTTATAAACGTTACTTCATACTTTAAAAATTTTTTTTAAATTCTAATAAGTTATTTTTGATAATAGAAGCGCCAATTAGTACAGAACATTGTCCGTGGCAGTTTGGACTCTATCCACACGCGAAAAGCTGTACCAGATATTGGCAATGTTGGAATGGTACAGCCACAATCCATCTATGTCCTTTATCGCTTCTCTACAACGAAGCCATCCATTCTTGCGACTGGCCCGATAATGTTCCCGATTGCCAAAAACATCGTAAGTATAACTATCGAATTATTACAAAAGGTAGAGAAAGACTTAAATTATTATTTGTATTTATAGCTATATGTAAAGATACATCAAATGGAAGAGTATCCATTACAAAATCTTGCGTCAGATATTGGCAATGTGTTGGTGGCTATCCACGTTTGCAGAGATGTGCTGCAGGGTTGGCTTTCAATTCTATCAATTTGGCTTGTGAATTAGCACAGATTGTTCCTGGATGGTGAGCTTATTATTATTATTATTTTTTTAAATAATTAAATATAAATGGGTTTTTTTATTGATATCTTTTAATTTCAGTGAACCTGCTGGAAGTGTTCGTCCTGCTGAAAGCTTCGGACCAGCTGCACCTAAACCAGCTACAGATTTAGATAATAATTTCGACGACGAAAGCTAGTTTTGTCTACAACAAAATTTTAATTTGATCAATTTAAATTTGATCATAATTTTATAGAATGTAGCATTATTGTATTTTGACAATTTTTATTAAAAAAAAATTTAATATTCCAGGAATTTTATTTTGAAATAAAATATAAATTCCAGAGAGAAATTTTAAAATCGGGTCCATGTGAATTTTTAAAAATTGTATTTTCCTGATGTATTTAGGAAGACTTTTAATGTATTGTTTATTTTCAATAAAATGTTTTTTAATTAAAAATTATATTATTTTCTCAGATGTGTGTGTGTGTATATATAAAATCTGATGGATTCTTTCTACAGAGCTCTAAAAACCAACTCTTTATTCTATAAATTACAATAATAGAAACATAGCAAATTAATGCTCAATTTTTTCTCCTCCTCCTCTTTAGTATGTTGGATGTTGCCTTTCATCCATTGTAAACGCTCAATTCATAATATTAACTTACAAAATGTAAACTTCATAATGATAAAATGTAATAATAAATATTGTTATGACTAATTGCTGTATTCATTATCATAAATACATAATAATGATTACATCAATTATTCATTGTTCATAGTATCTTCTCATACAAATAAAATATTCAAATTATTTTTAACATATTTCTTAACGATTTAGTTATGTAAATATTTCAAAATTCTGGAAAATTTTATCTTAATAATTTCCTTTATATTTCCAGTTTTAGTTTCGTGTATAACGCATACTTTTTCTCAAATATTGCTTTGAACAATTAAGGGTGTAACGTGTTTTCTTCGGCCGTTAACTTTTTATATTAGTTTTATAAAGAGAAGCATCCCTGGTTGACACAAATTCTTTGACAAATTGAAAATAGATGTCAACTGTTTTCGTAGAAATTTCAAACAAGGAAGAAATGTTACGTTTTCTTATTTGTTATTTGGAATTTCTAACTAACAATTCTATCAATTTGGCTTCTGAATTATCTTGAATAGTGTTACAAGAATTACAGAATTGATGGAATAAGGTAATGCACACTCCAGCGATATGACAAGGGGGATGCTTCCCGGAAGGGCTTTTTAATTGGAAAATGTCCCATAGTCAGGTGTTAGAAACGTTAAGAAAACCCGGAAAATGATACATGTAGCCAGGTGCGAACCCAAACTACCTTACCAGTGTTCGGTGGTGTCCATTCACTAGGCCACTGGCGGATATCTTATTTATAAGACAAATTAGGTCCAAAAAGTTTGAAAAATTATTGTTAAATTTATAAAATTATTAATTATAAACTAAATTAAAACAGGATTACAGAATTTATGTTAATAATTGTTAAGATTAAAACATTAAGTTACTCATTTATTGAAGCAAAGTCTTAGCGAATCCTCTTCTAAGTGACTTATAAAATTCACTTTGTTCTCAAAATGTTATCAGAAAAAGTATGATATACAGTACAGGAGGAGCAAGACACTACTAAAATCGAGAGCAACTTTAAATTAAATAAATTAAAGATATAATTACAGATTGTAGCTACAATTTTTGCTAGTGATTTATTTATTGGTTGTAGATAGCAGCACTGTAATATAAATTAAAGATATAATTACAGATTGTAGCTACAATTTTTGCTAGTGATTTATTTATTGGTTGTAGATAGCAGCACTGTAATATAAGTTGATTAAATATTAATTAACTTTATTTAAGGTAAATTTATGTGATTCATTCTCTTACAGGTAGTAAATTTATCAATTTTTGCAGTTTATTACTCAAGTTTAAAAAATTTAAAATGAAAAAAAAATGTATATATAAAGGACTAGTGATGCCTTTTTATATATAACAGGACATTAATCTATTATATAACATAAAATCTGTATTACACAATACTCCTCAATGTACTGTAGAAAGACTAAGATAATAATTAGTACAGAGATATTCAAATAGATAAATGAAAACAATTTGTGTTGGTCTTAAGTCCTTAAAAGCACAAATTTCTCTGCAAAATCATGTTTAATCCATCGCTAGTTATAACAGAAAATGTTTAACATTTACTAATTAAAATCACCAATAGAAAGTAAATTATACAGAGTGTTTGTAGATGTTCTCTAAAAATTTATTTGTTGGTATCAGTTTTGAAGTTGTTTAAATATACGTGTTAATATGATAATACATATTATCATCATCATTAACTGAACAAATGATGATAAAAGTTGTTATTATGTTATTAATAACCGACTTTTTTGAGAAATCTGGTATTTGCTAAAACTTCGTTTCTGTTAGAATATTGAAAAATCAGGATGCAGAACAATTTAACAATTAAAATATTCATTTATTCAAATAAATTAACTTTATATTTTTCTTATAAATTAAGACAATTTGTCTTATGTAGGATTATAAATAGATTTTTTTAAATCTTATATAAAAATAAATTACATTTATTCTTCAGTAAAGACTTTTTAAAAAAGTTATTTATGAACTTTTTAAAAAATATTCATTCTTATAGTATTAAATACTATTTTGCTTTTAAAATCTTTCAACAATTCAAAATTGAATGTAATTTTTGAATCATAAATGCTTCATTTTTATCTAGTAGAAATCCGTAAAATGATTTTTCTGAAAAATAAAAATAGATATATCTTAAAAATATTTTTAGAAAATTATAGTTTAAATTCAATAATAAAAATCAATTAAAATTTCTTTTTTTTATATGCTAGTAGTTTTTATATTATAATAGTATTAATAAAATAAAATCTTGATTCTATGAGTGAGAAAACATCTTTATTATTCTTAGTACAGCAAAAATGCTGGGATGTCTTTGGCTGGAGATGTGAGGCCTGCATCACGGCCCAAGGTCGTAATTTCAAACACCTTCTTTGATTTTTGCTGTATTAAGAATAATAAACACCCTGTTTGTGTCCTTCCTTTCTTGTGTTTTGTGTCGTCGCTACCGTGCCAGGAAAGCATTTCCGACCATGCATTGCTATGTGATTTCCCATAGTCTAGGTGTACTCTATCTCTCCTGAAAGTTTGTAACCAATGTACTGATACACCCTGTATAGTGTAAAATAATATACTTACTTACTACAGTAAGTAATTATAAATTATTTAAGTGTTATTTTTAAATGTAAAATAAAAAGAATTTCTTAAAAATTAATATGTATCTATATTGCACAAACTGCTTTTATAGATGTATTTGTGGCCGCCAGCGCCAGAGATCCTGAACACTGTCTGGCAACACTTGCCAAGATCACGAACTCTGTCTGGCAACATTGCCAACAAGAGTGGCTGGCAACGTCAAAAAAGAAAAGGCGCGAAAGTTCGTTGGATTTTGTCCGGGTGTTGCCCGAGGATGTCTGTGACAGTTCTAACCTTTTCTAATAAAGTTCTTTTTTGTTACTGTTCGTGTTTGCCTGCTTAATGTTAGATCTAAACATCAGTAGGATTGAATGACAAATATTTAAATAAATATTCCATTTTATTAGTCTTTTCTTGTATTTGCATTTTTAAAATGAGTCAGTTTATTATTTAATAAAATATTTTTTGAGACCATTGTCATTAAGTAATAGGATCTTCATCCTCAGATCCAATCTTAATATCAACATTGGAAATAATATGGATAAAACAATAATTTCAAAAAAATATTTTATTAAATAATAAGCTGACTCCTCAAAGATAATTAGAATCATGCTTTAGAATCATGCAATGTATTTTAAAAATTTTATATTTTTTGTGTTCAAGCAAATTAGTTCTAATTGAAAAAGCCTAAGTAATAAAGATGAAAGTATACTTTTCCAGTTAAGTTTTATGCTGATGGCAATGTTCTATATTTAAAATGTATATTCTTGTTCTTCTTTAAAGAAGGTCATTACAAATGACCAAAAACGTTAAAAGATAATTAAAATTATACTGTATTTAAAAGGTATCAGTGTGAAATTAGTAATATAATTAAAATAATTTAAATTAAGTAGGAAAATTAAATAAAAATATTAATAATTCATCTCTAAATATTTACCACATAGCATATGAATTGGAACTATTTCCAAAACTTGATACAGATCTTCTTGATTATGAACTTCTACAACAAGTTCTAAATGTTTTCTTATGTTATCAACATATTTAAAATTACAACTTGAAAATATCCATATCTGATTAGAAAGTGGAGATGAAGACTTTTTTGGATTAAGTACTAGAACCTAGGAAAGTAGAAAACAATTAGAATAAGTAATATCTAATAATTACATTTCAAAAATGAAGTCTTTGAATTTTAATCAATATCAAAAATATGCAATTTTATTTATAACTCATTTATAACAATGAATATGACAATTATTTATCCAGCTTCTAATGTATTTTATTACATGCAGAGATAAAAATGTTACTAAGTAAATTTAATAATTGTGCTAACGTTATTGTAAGTAAAAATATTTAGAGCTTTGTTATGAAAAAATTTATTTTAAAAGTATTTTATGTATTTTTTTTAAAATATGTATTTTTTTTAAATACATAAAAAAGACTAAAATGTCTTCATTTCTTTGCCATGTTCAAATCATCAGGAACAACAGTCTTCCATTGAAGAGATGACCTTTTATTAGAGGCTAAACTTTTTTGCATAACTTGCATAACTTGCAGAGGCATAAAAATGCCTCTGCAAGTTATGCAAGTTATGCAAAAAAGTTTAGCCTCTAATAAAAGGTCATCTCTTCAATGGAAGACTGTTGTTCCTGATGATTTGAACATGGCAAAGAAATGAAGACATTTTAGTCTTTTTTATGTATTTAAAAAAAATACATATTTTAAAAAAAATACATAAAATACTTTTAAAATAAATTTTTTCATAACAAAGCTCTAAATATTTTTACTTACAATAACGTTAGCACAATTATTAAATTTACTTAGTAACATTTTTATCTCTGCATGTAATAAAATACATTAGAAGCTGGATAAATAATTGTCATATTNATATAATTTTATAACTATATTATTTAATTTATAAACTATATTAATTAATAAACTATTTTGCATAACTTGCAGAGGCATAAAAAGTTCAAAAACAATCTTTATTCAAATTCAATTTGGAATTTCAAATCTGTTTGATTATTAAATATATTTGGAATTTTCTTTTGAAATAAAAATTTATGTATCCAAAGTGTTATAAAGATGAGACAAGTGCTTCTTTACTTTTGTTAAAATTTTACCACAAATTGTGAAAATCCTTTCAATATCAGTTGATGTAGGTTCAATGGTTTTGAGCACTAAGTAAAGTTTCTCTACATTTTCACTATGCTTGCATACAGTGCCGGCCCGAGGCAAGTTTTAAGATGGAGCGAGATCCTATTATGGCGCCCCCTTGGTTGCCCCTAATTTATACCCTTTAATTTTCTTTACCACTGAGGCGCCCACTGGGATTTAGCGCCTGGAGCGGCTGCTCCGTTCGCCCTATGGTAGGGCCGGTTCTGCTTGCATAGACATTTAAATTTCTTCTGTTTTGAAATGTACTTTTACTATTGTTTGAATACTACAAAAATAAAAAAATAAGTTAAGGTTACTATTGTAACTTAATTTTTTCCAAAGCTTCAAAGCCAAAAAATGCCAGAAATTTTCAAAAGTTTGAAACTTTGATTGATATCTCTCCTTCAACACATACACCAACAATTTAATAAGTAAACAAATGATAAGTACAAAAATGTGAGACATTTCTGGTTGCACAGAAAATGAACTACAAAATACTATAACATTAGCATAATAGTTTTGATTAGTTGAATTAGAATAATAACCACTGCAAATGGTTCATATGCATGTGTGTTTATTGTATTTTGTTATATTCTAAGTATTGTGCATATCAGTTAGGTTACAATGTAAATAACGTGATTAATGTAATTGATGACATGCCATTTTTCAAAAGCCTGTCACACTGGTTACGAAATACGACTTGAGAGATTGTTTCAATTGATATATTCTCTAGTTCAAATTCTTTAAGTCTGATGACAACTGTTTAACACATTTTTTGGCTAATTAAATTGGTTTTTGTGCTGGAGTTAAAACATGTCATTAATCATTTCAATAAAAATAAAAACCATTTATCTATCCAGCAAAATTCTTTAATAACTTAAAAACGTTTTCAAACGCATTAAGCGTTCATCCTCAGTAAACGTTTAATTAAAGCGTTCATCCTCAGTAATTTGAAAACGTTTTTAAGTTATTAAAGAATTTTGCTGGATAGATAAATGGTTTTTATTTTTATTGATTTTATTCTCCAGTAAGCAAGTATACTATTAATCATTTCTTCCAGTTGCATGATAAGAAGGATTATCATGATAAAAAGGGTTACCATGCAACTAGAGAAAATCAGTCCTTTATCATTTTAGGTAGGTAAGTATTTAAAGAATACCTACCTAATAATGTAGCAGTATTAGTAGCAGTAGCCTTTATCCTACCTAATACTGGTACATTAATGCTTTTATTATTTTTATGCAATATTGTTTACAATACAAAATCCTTTCATAGTGTAAAAATCATAGTCATCAATGAAAAAATTTTCAAAAGCATATGTTTCAAGTAAAAATTAAAACATAAATTAAAAATATTACCTCATGAAATAAACAGCACAAAAGAAATATTATTCCAGCACTAAATCGTGTTAAGGCACCTTGATTGCATAAAATTAAAGCATCGTCATCTTTGATTATCTACAGTATATAAAATTAAAAGATTAGTGTAATACTCAGTAATAAAATATTAAATGTTATAGGATAATTTAACCAAATGTTTTCTTATATAGATTTTAGATTATGAAATTTCTATAAATATATTGCCATTTAACAACTGTAAATTTAAAATATTATATTGAATATAAGGTAAATTTAATAAATATGATTTATAACTTTCTAAATCCAAATTTCAATTTCAAACATCTTGTCAAGCTATCAATAACTTTTCTTATTTAGTGAAAAATAGAGTTTTACATTGTTACAATTGCTATTTAATCTATTACAATGCAATTTAAGAACTGTATTGTAATAGTTTTCATATTTACTATTCAAACTGAGGAGTGTCTGATTAGGAATTTGCTTTACAATTTAAGTATTTTCATTTTTTCATTAACCAAACTTTGTTAATAATATAAATAATATATTACTATTATTAATGTTATTATTTTCCTTATGTTTTGCTTGTGTTAAGTATAGCAAGATTTGTTAATAACTACAGAATAAAAGTTATTATTAGCCTGTAAGTTAACTTCTTTAGCAGATATTCTATATAGTGCATGGAAAACATCAAGTGCGGGTAACTGTTTTATGTTGTGATTCATTATGAAACTACCTATTTTCCACTAAGTAGATAATAAGAAATTCTAACAGGAATAATTTGAATGGAAAAAATTAAGAAGTTATAAAACATGCTAACAGTTACACTTATTCTTCTGATAACATTCTGAATCTACAATTCACATATGATAAACAATGTCTTCAAAAATACAAAAAAGCTATAAGAAAAACCATTTAGTTAAATTATTCTATAGCATTTCATCTATAAATAAAATTTTATATTAATAATAAGAATAAATAAACATAAATTATTATTTAAAAGTTAGAAAATAATGCAGTAATTTAATTTTTCAAAAATGTAAAAATTTATACTTTAAAATTTAGTTTTTTTTAAATAGATCACTATATATTATTACAGTAAATCCCTGCTAACTTGGATTTAACATAACTTGGACAAACTCAGACAAGCTTCACCCATATTAGTCTAAGTTAGCAAGCATTTATTGTATTAAATTTTTTTTAGAAATTTAAACAATATTAAAAATCTTGTAATATCTAAAATTTGTAATATCTGAATTTGTTCAAATTATTGCATAGTAGTAGTTGAAAAATAATTTTTTCAAAATATAGAATATAAATTTAAAATATTGTTATAACTTTTACATTAATATGCAATTATGCATATGAAAGAAAGAAGAAAATGAACAGAGTGCCCTTAATTCTATAATGATCTAATTGATTAAAAACAGAAAAATTTTTACCTTTAATAACTTAATGCAATCTTCTACAATATTTATTTGATATTCAGTAACATCATAAATGAGATCAGTAACTGAATAACTTGCAAATAAAATTTTTCTTCCATAATGATTTTTTGACTTATTGAATGGTATTATCTGAGAAAATATTAAATTTCATATAAAACATAATATTGTCTGTATTTAAAAATATACAATCAAAAATGACACATCTATACACAAATTTCAATACAGTAATGTCTATTTTCAAAGTTTTAAACATACAAGGTGTGCCTATTAAGTTCACTGACTGAATTTATAAAAAAGAAAGTTTTTGACAGTAATGATTCAATTTAATATCAACCTTCAAAACATGCTCTTTTGTAATCTATACAAATTTCCACACACACATTAATAATTTATGTATGCCCTCATGAAAGGTTCTTTTTGAAATGCTGTCCAAAAGGCTGTTCTTCATTACAGCCTCTTGGAGTTTTGAAACTGTCTCTATTTCAAAGCAAATTTTAATTTGGAGAACAAGTAGTAAACTTAGGCTAGGTCTAGTGAGTTCCAGATTCAAATTAAAACTTGGAAAACAGGAAGTGATTGGAGAAATTTTAAATCAAATGTAAAAAATTAAGATAATTGCAGATATAATTATAACATTTAACTTACCTTCAATCTTTCAAAGTTTAAAACATTAACAATCTCATTAATTTCAGGATTATTGTTATTTATATCCATATTTACTAAAACTTCAAATTCTAACAATTCTGAATATAGATGCTTTTGCTGCTTTAAACGAGACCAACTCCAATTGTATTTATATTCTTTCCAGGTATCATTTAAATTCTAAGTAAAATTTTAAATAAATACTTCATTATTTTAAAAAATTTTGCAAATAATAATAAAATTCAAATAATGAAAATTAAGTAACTTTGATGAAAGGACTAAGTGAAAAAATACATTTATCTACTTAAGAATTTTCTTAAATTTTTGTAAACTTAAAATTTTTGTCCTGGCAATTTTTATTAAATCTAACTTTATTCAAGTTTAGATAATGAATATTTCTGTAAAAAGTTCTCCCTTACAAAATCTTAAATTCAACCACATCCACAATTGTTAACTTAAGTACATACAAGTATTTCAATTTATCAACAGTAATACTTACAAAAGTTGTTTTTTTTTGTGCAAATAACCTACTCAGTATTCAATTGCAGACTGGGGTTTAAATTATGACTGGGAAAAGCTTTCTAACAACAGATAAGGGTTATCAACACAAAGCACTGATAGGAGGAGGAGTGCATCCTCCTCCTCCTATCAGTGCTTTGTGTTGATAATCCCTTATCTGTTGTTAGAAGTTTCAAAATTTTCTACAGAGAGGAGGATGCACTCCTCTCTGTAGAAAATTTTGAAAATTCTGAGATGAATTTGGAGCAATTTCCTAGCTGGAAATAAACTAATTGTTTTGTTTTTTGAAAATAAAAACTTAATAGTCCTATCTGAGGTAATCTTAATTCAGCCTCCATACAGACTATAAAAGTAATAGCACCAAATTTTTTCTAGAGAATTTAAAACAGTAATAAAAGGTAAATTTTTATTTAATATAATTAAAATCTTCCAAATATAAGTAAAATATTCATTTATCAACTATTATCAGCTATTTGATTTAATGATAAACAAAATAACAATGTTGATTCTTACTGAGGTTGTCGCAAGTGGCACACTCAGGGTTTAATTTTACCAGGTACCAGAGTCCCTTGGCTTCCCTCTGGGTGCACCACTGATAGTCACAGAAAGAATATGAAATGAATAAATAAAACTTAAGTTAATTATGTTAATTACATACCTTTTTATTATTAATTACTTCGTTCCAAACATTCAAAATGTAAGGAATGCAAAATTTTGAATTATTAATATTCTTGTATTTTTGTCCAACTTTAATCCAGGATTTCTGACACACTACAACTGGCTTTTTCTGTAAATGATATTTGAAATAAATATAAAATAGAATATCATTCTGTACTAAATCATTAAATTGTTTATTGTCATTCAATGATAATATATTATAACATAATTTCTATTTAAAAATATTTCAAATTTGTTTTTTGTTAAACTTTGACCTCACATAAATTTTATAGTTTTAAATGAAAATCTATGTTATTTTTTCATGGCAATTACATCTAATAGTAAAAATTACTACAATATCATCACAGACATCTTCTGTACTTATTCCAGCAGGTACATTTATTGGAAAAATGAACATTTTCTATCACTTTCAGTGACCTTTATCAGGTTATGTTTCCATAAATACATTCTATACAAAATATAGCAATCTTTCACATTTTAAAATGTTTGTTTTTCTAATAAATGTACCTGATGGAATAAGTACAAAAGGTGTCTATAAGTTATAATTTTTTGAAGTTTAAAAATTCACAAAAGAATAATATTTAAAATAAATAGAAAAACAACTTTATGTTACAATGTTAGAACATTTGAAACAAGTGATATGTAATTTATAAATCAAAAGATTAATCAGTTTTATCCAGGCCTGGAAAAAATCTTAAGGATCTTTAGATCCCTGTAAAATTAATGTTACTGTTACTAACATAAAATGAAATCTTTCAGACTATTTTTTTTATTAATAAAGAAACATTTTATGTATTTTATGTTTAAAGAAAAAAAGGCAAAAGGTGTCCACTCAACCTCAAGCCCTAACAAGTTCTTTGTGGCCCCAACAATATAACAATACTTTCATAATAATAACTATTCCACAAAGCAGATATCCAATTATAGAAAAGACATAAATTTAAAAATAAGAAAAATATTTGCTTTAACGTATATATTTTTTCTGTTTAATGCAGATATCTTTTGGAAAAGAAAGGATTGTGGAAACTTAATTTAAATTAATCAATATAATTTTTAAAATAAAAGAAATGTATCATAAAACTCATAAATTTTGCCCTTTTATCACTACTCTTATTAATTATATGAGCAAATTTTATTTTTTTGGTGAAATCTAATTTATTATTTTTTCAAGTAAAAAAGTATATTATGAAAGAAGAGATGACCAAGACAAAACCTTTCTCACTTGTTTCTAGCTGTTTATACACAAGTATGAACGAAAACGTTTGTACTCTTGTATAAATGGCTTGTCTTGGTCATCTTAAAATAGTTCTAGTCCAAATGCATAGAAGAAAGAAGAGATAGTTTATTAATTTTGTGTCTCTTTTTTCTTGCTTGCTTGTTAAACGCTAAAACTGGCAAATATGATTTACTGAGTGTTGTCTGAGAGAAATTAAATTTTATACTTGGTTTAAAAAATTGGAAATAAAAAGATAACAAATTTATGATAAATACTAGTAATTTGTTTTTTCCTTTTTTTGGAAGGATGTTGGTCTGGAATATGAACAAATATACAAGGGTATGGATCCTTCTCTTCTTCCAAGAATGGAAAAAGAGCATATTTGAAAACTCAGGTGAAGATAATTCAAGAAAGATTTTGGTTGGATAAATTTGAAAAATTCTATTGTGCCTTACGTCTTTTCTTGCCCCCCTTCATCACGTGGTGGGTCCGACTTGGTGGAGAGGAGTTGTGTAATCCCGGGGTGTGTAACCGAGGGTGAGTGTTTTATTGGAGGGTGTGTCTCAAGGAGAAGTCAGAATGGAAGTAAGGAGAGGACGGGGAAGAAGAAAAGTAGTGGTGGTGGTAAAATTGCCTGGGAAAGTAAAGACTGTGCAACCAAGTTGTGTGGAGATTGACGAAATTTTTTGAACTGTTTTCTGCCTAGAGGGAAGAAAAGGAAGATATTTATTTCAAACCCATTTTGTCGATATGTTTTATGTCTTCACGTTTTGGGAGTTTCGAGCAGTATACTGTCGGGATATTTGATGTTAACAATATTCGGTATACTAGATTTTCGGGCTCCGTAAGTTTCCGTGTCTTAATTTTTTAGAAGTACTGTATGCTCCCAGACAAAATTAAAGGGTTATTTTGTAAACCAGGATAGTTGTCTTTGTCTAGTCCCTACTGAATTCAGTGGATTTCCCCTGCCAAGTGCCTGCTCCATCAAGCACACTTGTTCTAAATTCTCCCTTTGTAGAAATCACTTAAGTTCAACATGTCGATTCGTTCTCATGTTTTATACTCTCACACTATTTTATCAAAGACATATCAGTGTTTTCTTAAATGATATAAGGAATATACTTTTAACAGTGAGTAATGTTGAAAAAATGTTAATGTTTTCAACCAGGTTGATCTTAGGATTTACATTCATCTATTGTTTTAACCTGAGACTCTCTCTTTTCTAACAATTCCATCAAACATGTCCTTATACAGGCATGAAGTTTATACCTTTTTCTTAAATGGCTTTATGAAAAACTTTTTTTCCTTTTTTATTTTTAGTGTAGTTTCAGCCCACTTCTGGAGCCCCACACATCTATTAAGTAGCTTCGTTGGGTAGCCCTTTTATGAAAAACTTTTTTGACAACAAATTTTTCACAGTTGTTTTTTGATTGCCGCTAGTGTATTTAATTTTTTTCTCATTAAAGAAGTTTTGTAAAGATTGTAAAGACCGAAATAAATGGTAATCGGATAATGCTGTCTAATGAATAGAATGAATGGAATAAAACCTCTCATCCAAGATCAAGTAAATTTTGCCAGCTCTTCATTGACACAAAGTTTAGTATTGTCCTGTTGAAAAATGACACTTTTCCAGTTGATCAGTTTCAGATGTCTTTGTTCAATTGTTTCATTTCATCGATCTGGGAGTAATATTAAGCTGAATTAAATGTTTATAGTTTGCCAGAAGTTTATAATAAACAATCTCCTTTCAATTATTTTTAATTGTCTACTTGGAACTTAATTTATTAATAGAACATAAGCTGGTGTTTAAAGATTGACACAGCAATGAGAGTTAGTTCAGGAAAGAACAAAATTTCTTTATTATATCACCTGTAGTAATAGTTTCTGTACACATATTACAAGTGTTTCGGGCTATCATGCCCCTCATCAGCAGTACTACTACCACCACAAACTAAAAAGTAACAAGTAACAAGATAAGTTATTGTATAAGTTAAAAATCTCCTTTCAATCCTACCAAATACACAGCATAACTTTATTGGATGTAATCTGGCTTTTAGAGTGGATAGCAATAGCTCATCTTGTTTTCCGCAAGACCTTTTTTGTTTGACATTTTTGTATATAATCCACTTTTCATCTCTCATAATTATCTGATTCAAAAACTGCATATTTTCATTGCATTTTAATAGTAAATTACATACTGAGACATGGCTCAAATGTTTTTTTTTTTATATATCATGCAATACCCAAACATTATAGCAACTGATGTAAAGATGTTTCAAATGTACACACTGGGCCAGTTCTGATAGATGTGCAGTGTGTGCATGCACACACGAAGGCAAACCTTAGGGTGGCTGATTGAATTTTATTTTTTAAAGTGCACTAATATAATTTAATATTATTTTAATATAATGGTCAGTGATGAAACAGATTGATATTTGCATAATGAACAATGATAAACAGTTAATATAGCTGTTGTTTATGAATATAAATAACACCAAAACACACGTTAAGTGTTTTGCATTGGAAAATTTAAAAGTTCAAGCGACAGGTGAAGGAGGTGTGGTGNGACATGGCTCAAATGTTTTTTTTTTTATATATCATGCAATACCCAAACATTATAGCAACTGATGTAAAGATGTTTCAAATGTACACACTGGGCCAGTTCTGATAGATGTGCAGTGTGTGCATGCACACACGAAGGCAAACCTTAGGGTGGCTGATTGAATTTTATTTTTTAAAGTGCACTAATATAATTTAATATTATTTTAATATAATGGTCAGTGATGAAACAGATTGATATTTGCATAATGAACAACGATAAACAGTTAATATAGCTGTTGTTTATGAATATAAATAACACCAAAACACACGTTAAGTGTTTTGCATTGGAAAATTTAAAAGTTCAAGCGACAGGTGAAGGAGGAATTAATCCATTGAACCATAGAAAAATTCATCAGTGGGAATTCCATAACCACTTGTTATGTAAAATCATGTAAAAAGCAAAAAACTTGGAGTTTGCAAACTCTAAATCATAAGACATTAACATAAATAAAGTTAAGATTACACTTATGTAACTCATTGTGAATGGTTGCATTAAATAATGTAGATTCAGTACAAGGTTTTTATGTTTATACTTAATTTTCACTGTAAATGGCCCTTTATTCCTGTACTGTTAATCTTAAAGTATTATTTATACCATTGTTTTCATTGTTGATGGAACCAAAACTAAATTTAAATAAAGAAAGATATGCACAAATGTTATTAATTTAAATATTCATACTTAAATTAATTTTTATATACACATACATATACTAAATACTATATATACATATTTATATACTAAATAAGAAAAATTTGTTTAATTTCATTTAAATTTGCAAATTCTATTTTATGGCAGTACTAAAATATAACTTTGAACAAAGTCATCTGTTATTTATGAGACAGCTAGATTTGAATAAAATTAAAATAAATATACAGTGGGTAATTGATTAACGAACATGATCAGATAACGAACACCCCACAGAACAAACACAAGAAGAAGCAAAGTAAAATAATGAATACTGATTGGTCTTCCCTTGTCTTCGGGCAACAATTTGAAACTTTTTGAAGTGTGGGAGACGTCAACATCGACGCTCAAGCCGGTATATACCGATCGGATAGTATTCCTCCGAACTTTGAAACTCTCCCTTGTAATTCCAGCCTTTTATTTTTCTGACAAAACAATTCTTTTATGTATTCGCAAGACTGTTGGGTAGGAACTCGTTAAGTTTTGCCTCTGTTTTTCTTTTCAAAAGATGACAGTATAATAGCAAAGGTAGAGAGTGGGCAGAAGATGTCTGATGTCACTGGGCAGTATGGTGTGAACAGGTCTACAGTAGGCTGCAGTTCAATCTTATTTAAGAAAAATACTGTATAATCAAGAAGACTCAAGAGCTAAACGAGTAACAAAAATCACATCTGAGAAACAAAGAACATTGAAGAGTTCATAATGGAACCTGAAACGAATCTGATGACAGAAGAATGCCAAGAACTCTCAAATGAAGAACACCAGGAAACTTGCGCAAGATATGTTTTCTTCTGAAAAAGAGGATTAATGCTGATATCTGTTATTAAAGATCCTTTGAAGAAGTGGGAAAATGTCAGAACAATGGTCATAGAATGGCATCCAAACCAGGTTGAGGCTTGGGGATTTCTACAATTGCAATGCTATTAATTACTTACGAAAAATCCTGAAGAAAAGAGAAAAGCAATCGACATTAGACAGATTCTTTAACCCTTTCAAACGGAAAAAACATGACTAATAAAAACGCACAACTGTGTATGTATGTATTTTTATTATTACATATAAATAAACATAGTAAGAAAGTATATACTTTTTATTTTTGGGGGTCTCCAGAACGAGTTAATTAAATTCCCATTAAAACCTATGGTAAATCGATAATTGGTTAATGAACAATTTGGATAGCGAGCAAAGTCTTGGAACGGATTATGTTCGTTAACCGACCACCCACTGTATATCAAATATTTTTATACATTTTTTTTACGCGTCAACTATATGAAACTGTCCTAAAACATACCAGCATGCTCTCATGAGTTGAATTAGGTTCTGAATTTTCTTGCAATCAGCATTGATAGGAGTGGCCAAATATCTGTAGCATGCAGGTGACCAACAGTCCAAAACTGATGCTATATAGAAAGAATACTGTTTGATATTTTCAGGATTTCAGCAATCTCTCAAGTACTGTAACATGGGTTATTATCAAGTAATGTCTTTATATGCTTGTTATCAATAGCAGATGGTTCTATCAGAGCATTCCATTTGTTCCAGAGAAAAATTACTGGATTTGAAATGAGAAAACCACTTATATACTGTGCTTGCACCAATAGCGTCATCATAAACAGCTCATTTTTTGTCTTGGACCACTGACAATCGAGAGTTAAATAATTCACTTGCAAGGATTTGGCACAAACTCCTTATGGATGCTTTGGTCAACAAATGCTGTGGTCCCTTTTCATCTATCTTGAGGCTGCTTAAATATGCAAAGGAATATAAACCAGGAAAGAACATGAGGCCAGTGGTCAACAAGAATTGTTTACAAACCATTCTCATTGAATGCATCCTTAACACATTTATAACTCAACACCTTCCTACACATGAATATAGCATTTCACAGCCCTTGATCATCATCAAAAGACTAACGAATCTCATTTTGTCTGAAAGGCGTATGTCACAGTGCTCAACTCCAAGCCTTGTACTTTTCTATCAAATTACAGCCATGCTTCTATCACTTAAGGGATTTTCTTCTAGAGAAGTTCAACCTTTCTCCAAAGATACATTTGCAAATTTTAGAACTAGCATTTCTGATCACATATTCATCATTTTTCACCTTCAATGGCATTACATACATTCAGAACTGGGACATTCCCTTGAGAAGTTTCCCCTTCTAGGACACACTGTGAAATTGTGCTTAGGTCATTGGAGTCTAACATCATACCCAAGTACACTTCTAACATCTGTGTGCACACAAGATACATAGACAATGTGCTAATTGCATGGGGAAGACATCCTGACATTCAGAAATTTATAAACAATGTTAACTGTGATGCAATTTTTAAGGACTTTTTGGAGTGTTGCTAATTTTTATTTATTTACTTTATTATTAATTCACTTTGACTTTATAATAAATTTGAGATTAGAATGATAAATCTAAAGCAAGCAATGCCACAAAAATTTAGATTTGTTTTAGATTTTTCAGTATGAATAACACAAATCCAAGTTGAAATTAAACGTGAATAAACATACTAGTTATTGTTGTAGTGTATATTTATTGCCCATTACAATATTACATTTAAAATTTGTAATAATGTGCTATTATTGAGCAGAAGTGATTGTTTGGTCTTGTAAATAAGTTTCTTAATATACCAGTTTTGGTCATCATAATTCAAGGGGTCATAAATCAAAGATTGACGGTATAGTTCTGAATTTTAAACTCTTATTGTACCATTTAAAATACATTATTTAATTAATTTATTTCCAAAATTTGAATGTACTTCCTTTTAATTATTTATCATCAGATAAATTGCATTGTTTCATTGCTGATGTGTATTGTACTGGAAATGTTAAAATGTAAAATATTAGTGAGTCCGCCAGGTGGCGATCGTTGCTGATGCATCACGGGAACGGTACCTGAGTGCTCACTTTGGTTGTAACTTCGAGACAATAAACATAACAGATGTGTCAAAAAAATAAACAAACAATGATGTAAATTTGCACAAATTATATGACAATATATTTCTAATCAACAGAAAATTATCTCCATGGATTATGTGCCACTAAAGATATTATTCTAACTTTTATATCAAGAATATTATATTGTGGCTACATGCCATATTTAATCATATATTTCGTATATAATTGTGTCATTTTTTCTTGTATTTTTCCCGCTTCACCTCTGTCTGTCCTATTTGTTTACCCTTCCTGGAATGTTCTCGTTTTTCTTTTCCTTGACTTGGGTATGCGGTTGGGCTAACCCGAGAAGCAACGAAAGAAATGTAGCTCGGAGGGGAGGGAGCGATCGGGAGACTCGGAGGGGAGAACGGGAGACGGAGAGAAGGAAGGGGACGGGTAGGAAGGAACGGGAGTGGGGAGAGCAAAAAAGAGAAGTCTCCCCGGCAAGTTTAGCGGGTGAGGGTGAAAAAGAGAGAACTTTGGAACGTGGAGAGCGACAAGACGTCTCCCCGGAAGGTTTTGCATCGTATTGTGAAAAAGAGACCTGTGGAACGTACAAGAAAAAGGAACTCAACCGAAGGGGGCCAGAAGGATCATCCCTTTGGATTAACATCTCTACGTGAAACAAGAAACGGAGCTTACCAGTCCCCGATCATTGAGAAACCGCATCCATCAAGTTTTGGGTACCCTCTTTCCTTATTCTTTACTTTCATCTTCTAAATCTTCGAGTAAGCCGGCTATATATATATATTAAGTTTAAGTAGTAATAGAATTATAGTATTAATTAAGATAGTTTTAAGTGAGCGGATAAGGAACGACGCGCGTGCAATCTTTGTCGGGTTGAAAATTTATGTGGAGTATCCGTGGGATTAGCATAGTGGTATCCTGAGAACCTGTATCCTAAAAAGCGAGTAAATAAAACTTTATTGTGTCTCATTCATCTAATTTGGATTGTGCGTTTTTATCTTGCTCGCAGTTTTAACAATATGTAAAGTAAGATATTATATGACTAACTTTTTTATCAAGGAAAAATTGCCCTTGCAAATCATGTACAACTATAAGCAAGGAATTATGATTTATATAAATAGAATTGTACCTTTATAGAAAATGGAGTTAATCTGTAATGTTTTGGCAAAGATGACAACCAATCTCTAATTATTTCTTTTCTCACATTCCATCCTTTCTTTTCTTCTTCTCTTCTTGAATTTAAACTTCCTTCTCTAAACATATTATTCAATTTCCACATTTCAATATTACTCTGAAAATAATATAATTTTAAATTCAACACACTTAACTTTTTTTACAAAGTTTTAATTATTACATTACAATTACATTAATTATGAATACTATTATCAAAATTCAGTTTCAAACTGAATTGAGTTTTATTCTCTGTACTATTAATTTTAATGATCTAACACAGAACAGAGTGACTTGTTCAAACAATGCAGAAATATACAGGAAATATATGGGCTAATACTAACATTTTTAAACTTAAGTTGATGCCAGGCAATCAACCTCTGAAAATTTCCCAACTTTTCAATCTTTAATTTTATAACTTAATCTTACTATAGCAACTGTACCACATTTTTGCTATTATATATGCCAAATTGGATGTTAGCTTAATCATTACATCTATCTTCAATTATTCTTTATCATCTTTAATTACCTTAAATTTCAATTTTATTATCTTTAATTATTTATCATCTTAGTTTTACATCTACAGATTAGTTTCTGTTTCATATGATCCAATAGATATTAAATATAACTCAAAACAATAAAATAGATTTACTGTAATTAATATCATTAAAAATATTCTTACCCTATTGAAATTTTTTGCTAGTAATTCTTCATCAGCTTTTGAAACAATGAAATTGGATGAAGGTATTGAACATAAATTAAACTTTGAGATGTATTCATTTGAGCATTGTTCTTTTATGAAATTTAAATGCTTTATTGGAAATTCATTCCTTTCATTATTATATTTTAAGTTTTCTTCAATAGTATCTACTTGATATCTTTTAAATTGTTTTGTACAACTTATTAACTGATCCAAAAATATTTCATCAATATCTCTTAGAAAGAATAATATATTAGATGATTTATCTTCTAAATTTGAAAAAGGGTAATTAACTAAGGCTAAATTTGAATATCATAATTTAAAATATTTTAAAAATTAATGAATTGAATAAATTTTTATACCAATTTTGTTTCTTAATACTTCTAACAATAAATGAATATTTTCAGATCTTTTGTAACCCAAACAAATAACATAAACTTCTGAATTTCCAGACTTACTGGTGGCTGGTTTAAAAACATGAACCTGTAAATGAATAATATTCCTTTTAAATATAAAATATTTTAAAATGTAAAATATAGTACTTTATATATTATGTCTATCATGTAAAGTATAAAATCATTAAAAATAAATAAACTGCTTATTTAAACCAAAAAAGTATTTAATAAGTAACATTTTTGATAACTGTTTTGTCTAAAGCTTATAATATGCTAAATAGTTTAGAATAAAATTTAAAATAATAATTATAAAACTGTTGACATTAAAATATCCATTTTAAATTTTAAAATGTTATTATATAAACAAAAATGATAAATCTATTTATTAAATTAAATTCACATGTCTGTCCATTTGTTTGAGTATCAAATGAGAACAGCTGAACTGATTTCTATGAAACTTTGTATATATATTCAGGATAGTCCTGAGAAGGATATACGCTACTTTCAAATTCATGTCAGTCAGTCTGAGAATCATGTGAGAACAGCTGAACCTTGTCTTAGGCTATAGAATGTAATTAGAGTAAATTTCAATATAAAGTTGTTTTGGTCAGATCTATTTAAGTAGGCATGTGTTCTTTTTAGGTATTTAAATTTTTATATGTATGTATTTTTACATGGAGTATAATACCTTTACTTAATATCTCATTTTTCCAAGCAAAGCTAGGTACCTGAGCTAGTAAATCATAAAAATAAAATAAATAAATACAAAATAAAACAAAATGATAAAACAACTAATAAAATAAAAATTACAAGAAATGTTAAAATAATTAAATACAGTAAGTCCTCAATTATCATCATCAATAGGTTTTTGGAAGCTGAAACATTACACAAAAACAATGAAACCAATTTTACCATAGGCTAAATAATATAAGCATGATATAATTTAGTTAGTATTATTCTAATTGGATCATTTTGCAACTTCCAGCATCTATTTTCCACCTCATAGAATCAATTTTACTGTTTATAAAGAAAATTCAACAATATAATTATAAATGATTATAAATGTACTTGCACCTTTCTTCAATAGTATTATAACAAAATGACATTAAGTGAGGACTTGCTGTACTGTGAAAATTTAGTTATCATTCTGTTTAGAAGGACAAGAAACTTTAATGATCTCAAAATCCAAATCCTTTTTCTGACATTAGTTATTATTCACATTTGTAAAAGATGCAAGTTCACAAAGTTAAAATTTCTTGTGCAGCAGTTATACAAGAAATTTAAACACAGTTTTTTCCTAATATAGTTCAATACTAACATGGTAGATGGAGATACATGCACACCTTATCAAGTTGTCTTTGTTTCAGTGTGTTCAGTGCAGCTATTTTGTATTTGTGAACATTTTTGTGATCTTATGTTGGACCAGGGTGGTTAGTAAGGCATTCCAGAGATCAAAAATTGGTTGGGGTCCAATTCTATGTTGATTGAAAATGGTTCATTAAAAATTATTACTTCCAATAGGTTAGGTATATGACTTCAACATGTTGTAACTTTATACACTAAGTTGACTTTTTCTATAAAAGTGATGTGTGGATTCATACCAGCTCACCAGATTTATTTATATATTTATTACTAACTGCATTAGCAAAAAAAGAAGAGGGAGTTGATAAAAGATCAAGGAATACTTGAAGTGGTTGACAGTCAAAAACGTTCGGTGACCCATGTTGGGCAACTTATGTAATCTGTGAAAACGGAGGATGTGAAAGGATAATATGTGTATTAAATTTTATTACAAGCTGGGTAAAAGTGCTGTAAAGGCTCATAGAATTTTTCAAATAACATTTGATGAAAATACATCAGACCTCATAACTATATGCAAGTGGTTTAATCGGTTCAAAGTGGCTGCATATCCATTGCAAATGATGTCATTCTAGCTGTCCCCCTGCACATACAATGCCTGAAAACATTAATAAACTTCTCAATGGGAAACTGCAACATTAATGTGTAATATCCTCTATAAGTCAAACCATACATGTCTGCAAGGTCTCTCTGGTTGCCGAAAAAAATTCCAGTTACAACTGATCAAATATCTTTATTTTTTTCTTTTCAGAAAAACATGACATGCATTTTAGATGGAAGTGTAATTAATGATCCCTCTTCAGTGTTAAGTGTATTTTTTCTCTTGAATTATACTAATGTAGGTGATATTGGATGACAAAATTATAGAATGTTACAATTTTGCAGGTCTCAGTTTCAATTCTTCTTTAAAATCACAGAATTATTAGCAGTATTATACAATCCATAGCAATTAACACATTACTACATCTCAATATGTGAACAATACCTAACGAACTATTATAAAATTATAATGCATCATGACCTATCATAAAAAAAAATAAAAATATTTGATCAGTTGTAACTGAATTTTTTGAGAGACAAGATTGACCTTGCAAGCATGTACAGTTCAGCTTATAGAGGATATTACACCTGAAAACATTAACAAAGTGCATGCAATGATTGTGACAGATTGTAAGAGAACAATTTGTGATGTCTTTGAGATTGCCAGATTGTCCTTTGGTGTATGCCAGCACATTTTATCTATAGAATTGAGCATGTGGAGGATCACTACCAAGTTCATGCACAAATTACTGTCAGAGAAGCAGAAGCAGTATCACATCAACAACTGTCAGGAGTTTAAAAAGTATGCAACAAATGAGTTTCTGTTAATGATCATTACAGGTGAAGAGAGTTTGGTTTATGGATATGATCCTGAAACCAAATAGCAAACATCCCAGTGAAATTGTATCAGTTCTTTGTGCACTCAAAAAAATCCATTAGGTGAAAAACAACATCAAGTAGATGTTGATCTGTTTCTTTGATAGGAATAAGAATAGGAATGTCTGTAAGGAATTTGTTCCACAAGGTCAGTCTGTGATTGCAACATTCTATTGTGATGTCCTGAGGTAACTAAAGGAAGATGTGTCAAGAAAATGCCCAATGAAGTGACAGGAGAAGAACTAGCTTCTCCATCATGATAATGTGCCAGCCCACATTTATTGTGAGGCATTTCTTGGCATCCAACATGTCACTTGTCCCTCATTCATCCTATTCCCAAGATTTGGCTCTCTGAAACTTCTTCCTGTTCCCCAAACTACTTAAACTCAAGCTGAATAGAAGATTTGCAACAGTAAATGAGATCCAGGAAGAATTGCAGACAATGTTAAACTTAATCATGAATGGTGATTTCAGAAAAGCATTCCATTTATGGGAAGTATCTTCTTTCCAATGGGTGAATTCCAATTTTAAAGGTGATAGTGGATAATAGTATGTATGACAAATAACTATTTTTTTTGCAGACATTCTTTGCAAACTTGTGGGTAGCATCTCATATATTAAATAATCGTTTTAAATAAATGTAAATCAACTTTTGGCAACTATTTAAAAATTTACAGTTTACATAATATGTGTTTTAATATTTTTTTCAAAAAATTATTAAATCAAAGTATAACTATAATTCATCCAGGCAGATTACTTTCTTTTTATGAGGCATTAATTAACTTCATTTGAATTTTTGATATAGCAGAAAACAGATTCAATATACCACTGAACATTAGGAAATGAATTAATCTACAGGGTGATCATAATTAAATAGAGAGAGTTCATAGTTCTTTGTAGAATGAACAATTGGCAAATCTTAACAAAATTTAGTATACATATTGTCCTGAGTATATGGTTTTAATTTTCAAAAAAAATTTTACTTCAAAATTCAGCCACTACTATGAAATTTGGCATTACTGTCCCCTTAAAGTCTGAAATTTGGAAACAGCATTAAGAAACAAAATGCAATAGTTTCATATTAATTGCAAATGTAACTACAGACATAAAATGTGGAATTGACAATATCAAAAGATATGTCCTTATTGTTAAATATTGTACGACTTCAGCCACCAGAGGGCGCACAAGCACTATATATATATGATTGGCGGGCTTTCCAAAGCTCTCTTTCTTCTTTCTTTTGCTTTGTATGTGAGTGTTACCAATAAAGTAAGTTGTTAATATTACCAAAAGAGTCGTCTCCTCGTATTGGATTCTAACAGGTTATGGGCCCAGAAGAGCACAAATAGCTTCACCAAATCAGTCGACGAATAAGTTAAAAAAAAAAAAAAAGGGATTTTACGAATCAGTCTTAAGCGTTAAGACAATGGAAAGCAATATGGCGACCACCTTACCGCAATTACGGGATGGAAACTTTTCTAACTGGAGATTTCGAGTAGAAATTATTTTAGAAGAAAAAGGGGTAAAAGACCTCGTTGGTGAACATGTAATAGAGACTGATGGAATAACTGAGACAGAAAAGAAAAGATTCATCGAAAGAGACGCCAAGGCCAGAAGCATAATTATACAGTGTCTAACGGACAGACATTTAGAATATGTTAAAGATTCGAAAACAGCTCGAGAAATGATGAAATCTCTTACGAACGTCTTTGAACGAAAAAGTACATTTTCTAAACTATATATAAGAAGAAAATTATTGTCACTTAAGTGCGGAGATGATGACTTACAGAATCACTTCGTAATATTTGACGGACTCATAAGGGAATTGGAGTCGACCGGCACAATAATGGAAGATAGCGACAAGGTAAGCCACCTTCTTCTAACTATGCCTCAAAAATACGATACGGTAATAACGGCCCTTGAGACAATGACGACTAGTGTAACCTTGGAATTCGTAAAAAGTAGGCTATTAGATGCCGAACTTAAATTTAAAAATTCGGAACATGGAGAGAAGACTGAAAGTCTCCCTTGTTTTATAGGAGTGGGAAATAAAGGTTGTTTTATTTGCGGAGATCGTCGACATTTGAAATATAATTGTCCTAAAAGAGGAGAGAGTACTCACTCAGGCCATAATGCCAGAGGGAAAAGGAAAAGTAGTGAAAATAAAAGTAGAAGGATTTGGAGAAACAACTATCAGAATAATGGAAGTAACCAGAGAAACTATGAAGAAAGAGCAAATATCACATCACATGACATGGAAATATCCTTTGTGGCATATAACACAGAACATGACACAAACATCGGACAACAAAGCATCATACATTTCGTATTGGATTCAGGAGCAACAGAACACCTAGTTCAAGAAAATACTGCTACTTATATGACAGATATAGAAAGTTTAACCAAACCAATAAGCATAAATGTAGCAAATGGAGAAAAACTTCTAGCACAAAAAAGAGGCAAGATAAGACTATCTTATAATAATAAAAATATTGTTCTGACTGCTCTCATTGTACCAAAGATTTCCCATAACTTGTTATCTGTAAGAAAAATCAATGACACTGGAAAAAGGGTTATCTTTGAAAGAAAAAAGGCTGTTATAATGCACAGAGATTTTCACATGGATTGTCCACTTACAGGAAGCCTGTTTATTGCAAAGTTTACCATAAGAAATAATATACAATGCCTCAAAACGGAAGCAAATGACTTGTGGCATAGAAGATTAGGCCACCTAAACTACCGTGATCTGAAAGTAATGAATCTGCCATGCCCCAACCAACCTTGTGGACCATGCATGAAGGGCAAAGCTACTAGATTACCATTCAAAAGGAATGAACACAGATCACACAGAATAGGAGAACTATTGCACACAGACGTATGTGGACCCATAAATCCAAATACTATAAATGATGAAAAATACTTCCAAACAATAACAGATGATTTCTCACATTTTACTGTAGTATATCTCTTAAGAAACAAAGGAGAAGCAGCACTCAACATAATGAACTACGTCAGAGAAATACATGCTCAATTTGAAAAAAGAGTAAGTCGTATTAGATGGGACAATGGAGGTGAATTTTCCTCAAGGATATTGAAAGACTTCTGTAAGAACAAAGGAATAAAAATGGAATATACAACAGCCTACACACCTCAGCAAGGAGGGTTGGCAGAAAGAATGAATAGGACACTATTGGATAAAGCAAGAACTATGTTTGAAGACAGTGATCTACCTAAACACTTGTGGGGAGAGGCAATTCGTACAGCCGCTTATCAGATAAATCGATCCCCCACCACAGCACTCAGTGGAAATATCCCTTCAAGAATATGGTATGGAAAAGTTGACTTGTCAAAACTAAAAGTATTCGGTTGTCAAGCCTGGTTATATAAGCTACCACAATCTACAAAGTTAGAATCACGTGCCAAGGAAGTCAGAATGGTAGGATATAGTGGGTCAGGATACAGACTCTGGGATCCAAAGGAAAACGAGATCCTAATAGGTAGAGATGTAAAATTTAATGAAACTCCTATGCCAGTATACTACAAAACTCAAAGTGATGACGACTTCTATGCAAGAGACAAAGAAGAGGACAACAAAACTAATAGTGATCATGAAAAGATAAATCAAAGTGAACAAGAAATACAAGAAAAAGAAATAAGGAAAAGAACTATAAAATTACCACAAAAATATAATGATTATGAAATGCATATTGCATACTGCTTATATTCTGAAGATCCAGAAACCTATGAAGAGGCAGTTGAATCAGGAAAAGAATGGAAAGATGCCATAGAAAAGGAATTAGAGGCTCATCTAAAATTTGGCACCTGGACTGAAACAACACTTCCAAAGGACAAAGATCCAATAGAAACCAAGTGGGTGTTTCGAACAAAACCAGATGGAACAAAGAAAGCACGTCTTGTTGCAAAAGGATATCAGGAAGAAGAATTTAACAACTCATATGCACCAGTAGTAAGAATATCAACAGTGAGATTACTCCTATCAAAGGCAATGAATGAAAACTGGAAGATAACCCAACTTGCCCTAAGCCCACTGCAGCGCTTTGGATAGCAGGAAAGAGGATACTAAGATACCTCAAACAGACAAAAGACCTAACCTTAAACTATTCAGTTTGTACAGATGAAAAACTGATTGCATTTTCAGATGCAGACTGGGCAAGAGACAAAACTGACAGGAAAAGCATAAGTGGTTATGCAATTTTTCACAACAATAATCTTATATCCTGGTCATCCAAAAAGCAACAATCTGTTGCACTGTCTACAGCAGAGTCAGAATATCTAGCATCTGCAGCAACTGCCGCTGAACTTGTCAACCTTCAAGGAATAATGTCGGAATTAAACTCTGGAAGAAAAATTGTAGCAGTCATGAACATGGATAATCAAAGTGCCATCAGCATGATTGAAAGTTATGAAAATAGCAAAAGGTCAAAACATATCGACATAAGAGCACACTTCATTAAAGACCTAGTAGCCAGAAATCTTTTGAGTCTAAGCTATGTTCCCTCGAGTGATAATATAGCAGATACTTTCACTAAAGCATTGTGTTCAAGAAGATTCATTTGTCTTAGAAAACATCTGGGTATATTCAAGACATCAGATTGTGTAATGCATAACTAATGCAATTTCATAATGTAAACCTTTTGAAATTGAGGGGTGGTGTTAAATATTGTACGACTTCAGCCACCAGAGGGCGCACAAGCACTATATATATATGATTGGCGGGCTTTCCAAAGCTCTCTTTCTTCTTTCTTTTGCTTTGTATGTGAGTGTTACCAATAAAGTAAGTTGTTAATATTACCAAAAGAGTCGTCTCCTCGTATTGGATTCTAACACTTATGTGCCTGAGCATAGTAAGCATCATGACTTTTTACCTATCAAAGAACTGAAAAAAATATTTTGTGACTACTTTTATATCTAAAATTCATTAGAAAGAATAGGTAATGTGCACAATAAAGAAAAAGCAGCACCAAGTTTTGCCCTAGTGGCTAAACTTTAAACTAAAATTTCGTGTTGAAAATTGAAACCATATATGTAGGACAGTATGTATATGAAATTTGGTTGATATTTGCCCAATATTTCTTTCTGCGGAGAGTTGGGAACACTTACACTTTAATTATGATCAACTATGAATAATTATTATGATAAATAAAATAGCTTGGTTACAGAAAACAATCCTAAAAATAAACAAGAATGAAAGGAAAAATTATTATTTCTGTATTTTAAAATTTTGCCATTTAACTCAATTTAAATTATTTTAAGAAAAACTTTTTCAAATTATATATAAAAATAAAACAAAACTTACTTCTGAAAACAAACAATTCAATAAATATAAATTACAGACAGATTCACATTCAAACATTGTGAACATTTTAATAACAAAGTTTCCTCCACGTGCTAATAAATGAAGAGCAATAACAATTTCACAGAAAAGAAGATGAGTAACAATTTTCTCTTGTTCTGAAGGATCACCTTGACAATCAACACTTCCATCTGCAGTGACCTAAAATAATAATGTAATTTAAAATTTGGTAAATTTAAAGTTTTATTGAATACATAGTTAAGATAATAAATTACTAGATTCATTGTGCTATCAACCTTCTTCTGTAAATCATGCAGATAATTAATATCCATGATATTTCCAGTATTACCTTTATTAAAAGTATATCGATTTATATTTGATTAATGATTATTATAAAAACTAAAAAACTTCTATTGTCTGTTTAAGAAATTATAATAAAATCAAAATAAATTGTAAATCAGAACAAAAGAAAAATGTTGAAATAGATAATTCTAGAAAATTTTTATTATTTAAATTATTCTTATTAATAATAAAAATTATATACAACTTATGAAAATAGTGCAATCACAATTTATATTTTTTTTTCAATATGCAATAGTATACAACAAATAACAACAATAATAATAATAATAAACATATCCTATTATATAATTAGAAATTTAAAAATGTGAAACAAATTCTTGTATGAATGAAAAATATAAATGTTTTTACAATGCCCTTTTTTATAGCTTGTGCCCCCTTTTTATAGTCTGCAAGTGCCGATGAAAGAAAAACATATATTTTTGGATTGGCCTGCATTAAGTCCTGACATAAATCTAATGGAAAATTTGTGGGCTTTGTGAGACATGTGGGTTTATAAGATTATATGGTAATTTTTTAATGTTACAGACTTGAAGGCTCAATTCATAATGCTTGGAACATAATTCTTAAAACTATTGAAAATTTAATAAATCTATGAAAAATTGGATATTTAAACTAAGACAAAACGACTTCCAACTACTTAACACTGTGTTGAAACAGTGTTAAGTAGTTGGAAGTCGTTAATCCACGAAACCTTTTCTTACAAGTGTTATGTCCGTAGTAATAACTCCACAAACACTTTCGACCTCCTACCAAGGTCTGCTTCAGGTGGTGGCTGACTGACCTGCATCAACTTCAAAGATGGTGAAACGATCGTGCAGGCATGGAGGTATTTGTTCGAGGAATTCGAACGGGGACAGTCGGGGGGATGAAACCCGACACGCACAATTATTTACATCTCTGGCGACATCGTTACGACGGTCAGGAGGAAACACAGTCAGTCACCACCTGAAGCAGACCTCGGTGGAGGTCGAAAGTGTTTGTGGAGTTTACTACAGACATAACATTTGTAAGAAAAGGTTTTGTGGATTGTTATTATTTAAACTAATTAATTTAAATGGAAAGTTTATTGGTTACTAATTCTCACTTTTTTTATATGCATTTCATTTAATTCACTTCAGTTAATTTTTTGGGTAAATTTTTCTACCAAAAAAATATAGAATCATACAACATTGTAGATTTAATTTATGTAATAAACATAATTTAAAAACTACATTTAATGCTCTGCCTCAATAAAAAAAACAATGTTTTCTTATAATGAAACTGTGCCTTTTCTTTGTTACTTTCACTTACACACAATGAAGTGTCATAATAGGGCAATAGACTATCAATATATCCACTTTAATAATTGCCAAGATGCATTTTGGATGTAAACTCCTCTTCTGTTGGCTTACTATAAAGTACATTCTTTCCTCATTTTATAATCACATTAAAATTAATCTTCACAATATCCTTTATAATAGTTGTGTGTTTGTTAAAATTTACTAAATTCCTTATAAAGGACTCCATTAGTAAACTGAAAAAGCATAAAAGCTCCATACAATATGAATATTGACAAAAATTCTATATATTATAGTTTAAATGTTGAATTACATAAATTACCTTTACCAAAATACCAATTATCAAGGGTATGAAGAATGAAATTATCATCCGTAATTGTTGAAGAAGAGCAGTTTCCTTCATAATGTGGATTAAGTGTGTTAGCCATCCATTGCCACTGAAAATCAAAGAAAAAGTTTTATTTATATATGCAATTCTTATACATCATATACAAATAATAAACTAATTAAAAATTAAAAAATTAAAAGTAATTAAAAAATTAATTAATTTTACCTCAAGGTTTTTATTCCTCATTACTAGAATATGACTAAGAGCTGAAATAAAAGCTCCAGGAGCTTCACACAGATGAAATGTATAAACTTTTTTCTCATCATTTGGTATAATAGTATATGTAGAAGCAATTTCAACAAATTTTAACCATGCTTGGGTTAACAGTTCAGGTCCAATTTCCATTCTTACTTTATATTTCACTTTGCCAGCTTTATTTGTATAATTTGTATGCTTCTTCCACTTAATAATATCTTTATCATCTAACTTACTTTTCACTTGATTAAGTTCATCTTTCATTACCATTAATTCTTCTATTTCCCATCTTTCAGACTTAAATAACTTATTTACATTTGGCAATGAACTTTTGACATTAAAAGTAAATTTTTTACTAAACAAATCTTTTACCTCTTTTATGTCACTCATTTTTTTTGTTTCTTTTTTCTTTTGTGATGAGTTTTGTTTCTCTGAAAGATACAAAAAAAAATATTAAAACAGCTTTAACCATGCTCTTTTTATCCTGGAAGTATACATTTTCACCTCATCCCTACAGTTTTAAGCATGGACTCCACATTACCTGAAAATAGAAACTCAGAAACAGAACTGAAACATATAGAGTTTTGGTTTCAGTTATGTTTTCGTTTTAACTACAAAAATGAACGAGGTTTTACATAATGCAAAAGCAAATCACCTTGTCTAAATTCCCTTTACAATTAACATAAATATATATGATTGTTTGCCATTTTAATTCTTTCGTAGTATACTTTAATCAAGAGTATTGTGCTTATCAGTTAAACAGATAACTTGAACAAATATAATGTAACTGTAGTTTGATAAACATTTGTTTTCATTTTAGTTTTTTTTATTTGAGTAATTATTGTTTTTATATTAAATTTTTCAAAAAACAAATTAAGGGGCTGTCCATTCTTGAAGAGAGGGATGAATTATGTCAAGTCGGAGCGGTTGAGTTTCCGTGGAAGTCCGTTTATTTCATTAAATTTTGAGGGATTCACGGAAACTTGATCAAACTGGGACTAAATTTCAAGAAAATTCAATGAAAAAGTAATTTAAATAATTTTGAATACAGTCAGGGACGGGTCTAGAGGGGCGATTGGGTTCGACGTCCCGTTATAATAAAGCAAAATTATTATATTTTTAATAAACATTTTGTGATTTTAAATGATTTTGTAACAATTATATATCTGTTTAGGTTGTTAAATTGATTTATGAGATTAAATTTATTTATCTATTGATCCTTTCTTTTTTTTTTTCTTTTTTTAGTTGTCAGGTAAGAACATCGCCTATCCCTCCGAAAATTCCTGATCTATCCCTGAGTTAGATCTATCCCCAACAGCAAGAACAAAGGAATTGCCATCGAATGCTTTGTTCTTGCTGTTGTGTAATACTGTACCCCTTAGGTGTACTTGTCGCATCAGAGACCATGCACATTGTCACTGTATTTTGTATATCGAAAACAAAGTCATACTCTCCTTTTTTACTTTTATAGTTCTGTTATAGATAACAGGGGAAAAGTATGGTAATCGGTCAAAAATGACCCTCCTAAGATTTTTACATTTTTGGACTTAGGGCACCTTGAAATATCGAGAAATGCAAGAGTTTTTTCTGTATGTACGGATGTTAAAATGTGTGTGGAGGGAACACAATTTTGTTTATCCTGTTTGAAGCTTAATAACTCCTGTACTTTCGAAAATTTCTGAAGTTTCTGAAGTGGTTTATGGTCGACGGGATGAGGAGATAAAGGATGGTCGTGTGTCGTATCTCGAGTAGGGTCGGACTTAATGACGGTTTTACTCGTTATCAGCATTTACATTTCTTCTTTTTTTTTTTTTAATAAAACCCACCCCTTTCCTGAAAATTAAAATTTTTGTCTTTTTATACTATGTTTTACATGTAAACAGCTTTTTAATGCAATATCGCTACCAGAATTTTAAACGTTGCTGGATTTTTACATTTAAATGGATCCATATTAAGTTTCTGGATTCCTCGTCTCAATTAATGGAAAATGGCAAAGTTTTATGAAAATCGATCCATTAAATTTTGAGAAAGAACTCGATTTTACGAGACGTGCTAGCGACCTTGAAACATCGCACGACAAAGTCGCGCGCGAGAAAGCGATTCTCCTAAAACGACGTTATATCTCGAAAACAAAGCCATGAACCTTTAGTTTTTATTGCATTTTCGGATTCCGCATCGCAATTAATGGAAAATGGCAAAATTTTATCAAAATCTATCGAACGGATTTTGAGAACGAACACAATTCTTTAATTTAAGCCTCATAGAAGAAGCTTCGCTAACAACGCTCCGCTTCAATTATGTAATTATTTGCTACAAGCTTTGCCCTCCCGGAAAATTTTCTGCTGACGTCCATTCAGTCACCACCTGAAGCAGACCTCGGTGGAGGTCGAAAGTGTTTGTGGAGTTTACTACAGACATAACATTTGTAAGAAAAGGTTTTGTGGATTGTTATTATTTAAACTAATTAATTTAAATGGAAAGTTTATTGGTTACTAATTCTCACTTTTTTTATATGCATTTCATTTAATTCACTTCAGTTAATTTTTTGGGTAAATTTTTCTACCAAAAAAATATAGAATCATACAACATTGTAGATTTAATTTATGTAATAAACATAATTTAAAAACTACATTTAATGCTCTGCCTCAATAAAAAAAACAATGTTTTCTTATAATGAAACTGTGCCTTTTCTTTGTTACTTTCACTTACACACAATGAAGTGTCATAATAGGGCAATAGACTATCAATATATCCACTTTAATAATTGCCAAGATGCATTTTGGATGTAAACTCCTCTTCTGTTGGCTTACTATAAAGTACATTCTTTCCTCATTTTATAATCACATTAAAATTAATCTTCACAATATCCTTTATAATAGTTGTGTGTTTGTTAAAATTTACTAAATTCCTTATAAAGGACTCCATTAGTAAACTGAAAAAGCATAAAAGCTCCATACAATATGAATATTGACAAAAATTCTATATATTATAGTTTAAATGTTGAATTACATAAATTACCTTTACCAAAATACCAATTATCAAGGGTATGAAGAATGAAATTATCATCCGTAATTGTTGAAGAAGAGCAGTTTCCTTCATAATGTGGATTAAGTGTGTTAGCCATCCATTGCCACTGAAAATCAAAGAAAAAGTTTTATTTATATATGCAATTCTTATACATCATATACAAATAATAAACTAATTAAAAATTAAAAAATTAAAAGTAATTAAAAAATTAATTAATTTTACCTCAAGGTTTTTATTCCTCATTACTAGAATATGATTAAGAGCTGAAATAAAAGCTCCAGGAGCTTCACACAGATGAAATGTATAAACTTTTTTCTCATCATTTGGTATAATAGTATATGTAGAAGCAATTTCAACAANTTAATTAATTTTACCTCAAGGTTTTTATTCCTCATTACTAGAATATGACTAAGAGCTGAAATGAAAGCTCCAGGAGCTTCACACAGATGAAATGTATAAACTTTTTTCTCATCATTTGGTATAATAGTATATGTAGAAGCAATTTCAACAAATTTTAACCATGCTTGGGTTAACAGTTCAGGTCCAATTTCCATTCTTACTTTATATTTCACTTTGCCAGCTTTATTTGTATAATTTGTATGCTTCTTCCACTTAATAATATCTTTATCATCTAACTTACTTTTCACTCGATTAAGTTCATCTTTCATTACCATTAATTCTTCTATTTCCCATCTTTCAGACTTAAATAACTTATTTACATTTGGCAATGAACTTTTGACATTAAAAGTAAATTTTTTACTAAACAAATCTTTTACCTCTTTTATGTCACTCATTTTTTTTTTGTTTCTTTTTTCTTTTGTGATGAGTTTTGTTTCTCTGAAAGATACAAAAAAAAAAATATTAAAACAGCTTTAACCATGCTCTTTTTATCCTGGAAGTATACATTTTCACCTCATCCCTACAGTTTTAAGCATGGACTCCACATTACCTGAAAATAGAAACTCAGAAACAGAACTGAAACATATAGAGTTTTGGTTTCAGTTATGTTTTCGTTTTAACTACAAAAATGAACGAGGTTTTACATAATGCAAAAGCAAATCACCTTGTCTAAATTTCCTTTACAATTAACATAAATATATATGATTGTTTGCCATTTTAATTCTTTCGTAGTATACTTTAATCAAGAGTATTGTGCTTATCAGTTAAACAGATAACTTGAACAAATATAATGTAACTGTAGTTTGATAAACATTTGTTTTCATTTTAGTTTTTTTATTTGAGTAATTATTGTTTTTATATTAAATTTTTCAAAAAACAAATTAAGGGGCTGTCCATTCTTGAAGAGAGGGATGAATTATGTCAAGTCGGAGCGGTTGAGTTTCCGTGGAAGTCCGTTTATTTCATTAAATTTTGAGGGATTCACGGAAACTTGATCAAACTGGGACTAAATTTCAAGAAAATTCAATGAAAAAGTAATTTAAATAATTTTGAATACAGTCAGGGACGGGTCTAGAGGGGCGATTGGGTTCGACGTCCCGTTATAATAAAGCAAAATTATTATATTTTTAATAAACATTTTGTGATTTTAAATGATTTTGTAACAATTATATATCTGTTTAGGTTGTTAAATTAATTTATGAGATTAAATTTATTTATCTATTGATCCTTTCTTTTTTTTTTCTTTTTTTAGTTGTCAGGTAAGAACATCGCCTATCCCTCCGAAAATTCCTGATCTATCCCTGAGTTAGATCTATCCCCAACAGCAAGAACAAAGGAATTGCCATCGAATGCTTTGTTCTTGCTGTTGTGTAATACTGTACCCCTTAGGTGTACTTGTCGCATCAGAGACCATGCACATTGTCACTGTATTTTGTATATCGAAAACAAAGTCATACTCTCTTTTTTACTTTTATAGTTCTGTTATAGATAACAGGGGAAAAGTATGGTAATCGGTCAAAAATGACCCTCCTAAGATTTTTACATTTTTGGACTTAGGGCACCTTGAAATATCGAGAAATGCAAGAGTTTTTTCTGTATGTACGGATGTTAAAATGTGTGTGGAGGGAACACAATTTTGTTTATCCTGTTTGAAGCTTAATAACTCCTGTACTTTCGAAAATTTCTGAAGTTTCTGAAGTGGTTTATGGTCGACGGGATGAGGAGATAAAGGATGGTCGTGTGTCGTATCTCGAGTAGGGTCGGACTTAATGACGGTTTTACTCGTTATCAGCATTTACATTTCTTCTTTTTTTTTTTTAATAAAACCCACCCCTTTCCTGAAAATTAAAATTTTTGTCTTTTTATACTATGTTTTACATGTAAACAGCTTTTTAATGCAATATCGCTACCAGAATTTTAAACGTTGCTGGATTTTTACATTTAAATGGATCCATATTAAGTTTCTGGATTCCTCGTCTCAATTAATGGAAAATGGCAAAGTTTTATGAAAATCGATCCATTAAATTTTGAGAAAGAACTCGATTTTACGAGACGTGCTAGCGACCTTGAAACATCGCACGACAAAGTCGCGCGCGAGAAAGCGATTCTCCTAAAACGACGTTATATCTCGAAAACAAAGCCATGAACCTTTAGTTTTTATTGCATTTTCGGATTCCGCATCGCAATTAATGGAAAATGGCAAAATTTAATGAAAATCTGTCGAACGGATTTTGAGAACGAACACAATTCTTTAATTTAAGCCTCATAGAAGAAGCTTCGCTAACAACGCTCCGCTTCAATTATGTAATTATTTGCTACAAGCTTTGCCCTCCCGGAAAATTTTCTGCTGACGTCCATGCCCTCGAGGTTTAAACAAGGAAATGATCTAATTATATTTAACTTTGAAAAATAGTTTTCTTTATAAAACTTTAAAAAAATAATGTAGTTTTTTTTTTAAAAGAAATAAAGTAAAATTCGGATAGGACACATGAATTTCGGTTAATTATAATATTATGAAATTTTTAATAATGATATTATTACCAAATTTTTTATTTATTTGTTTTATTCTTTCGTTATAATAAAATAAAATAATTTCACCAGAACATTTCTTAACTTTATTTAATTGCAAAATATTTAACTGTGTAAATAATTAATACGAATATTATTAAATAATTTTATATTTTTAAAAATGTTCCGTACAGATAAGGAAAATAGAAAAATTTATTAACACACACAATAAATTATATGTTAAAATTTCTGAAATACAATGAAAGAATTTTTTTATCATTTATGTGTATTTTATTACTTTATTATTAATATTATTAACCGAAATATTATTAAAATGCGTCAAGGTTGATTACTTTTTTTTATAAGATATTAACAAAATTTTCTGATTGAATTTTTGATATAGCAATAAACAGCTGATACTAGATCACGTGATTATTACTTAACTAATTAATTAATAAACAAAATATATTTATAATATTACACAGTATTTTTAAACGACGAAAATATTATTATATATTGAAAATTATTATAAAATACAAAAAACATATATTAATTTTTTTTTTAATTTAGATTCGTCTGCTGCTGATGCGGTTATTATTTTCATTGGTCTGTTCATTTCGTAATGATTTCATCCAACCAATAGAATTTTGCGTTTTTTAATATATTAATATGTTCATTGTAGGGTCTTATAGAAATATAAACATGGCGATCGGATCGTTTGCTCGATGTGTTTTTTCTCCGAGACTTTATCGCATATATAAACATGGAGACGAAAGGGTGATTATGTTTATGAATTATTTAAGAAAATCGTGTAAAGATCTAAGTTTTAAAATGATTAAATTTTATAATATTAATAAAATGAATGGTGTATTAATTATATAATGAATGAAAACAAGGAAAATTCTTTCGATTATTTGAATTTTGCGCATTAAATAAAAGAATTATCGGTAAAGAATTGTATAGAATTTGTTTTCATTCATTCCTTATATTAATGTCTTTTATTTCCATTTATATGAAGTATATATTACATTTTTAATTGTTCCTTCAAGGATGAATAAACATTAAAGACTTTATCATATTTCATAATATATACTGCATTATTTTATGTTGTATATTGCATCTTTTATAAGAGTTCTCATATTATGTAAGCTTGTGTGTGATGAAGTGTGTTTTTTGTATTACAAATCTGAGATTGTAATGGAGTTACAGGTAGATTGGAATAATACGGCAGTAAATGCATCTAACAAAGAGCCTTAATTGAATTCTGGCAAAATTTAATTTGAAATAAAACTTTTGGACCAATGTTTTCGATCTACAAATGGAAATCTTTGGGTTTGTATATTGATGACAGAATGCTCGAATAGAAGGTTCTATATATATCGTGGATATAGAACTAAGTTATAAGTGACTAAATGTAAAACCAGATAATTTAGAAAATGGGATTTGAAAATTGGACCAACTAAAAATTTACTATTTTATGTAATTGGAATTTTACATATCTGCTTATGATCCCATATAGAATGTGTTGTATATAATACAAATTGGTTAATGAACATAATCTGTTCCAAGACCATGTTTGCTATCTGAATTGTTTAACTGATTATCGATTTACTGTAGATTTTTGTAGGAATTTGATTAATTTGTTCCGAAAACACCAAAAAAAATAAATAAATTATATACTATCTTACTATATTTATTTACATTTAATAACAAACTAAAAGCAATCTCCATTTTTTCATGGATGGCACATCTTTGTTTCTCGGATGCAATTTCATTACTCCTTTATCTGCTTGAGTCTTTTTGATTATATCTTTCTTATTTAAAATTGTATCTACTGTAAACCTGTTGAAGTCATCTGCTCTGCATTATCAGACATCTTCTGCCCACTCTCTACCTTGGCTATTATCTCTTGCTTAGTTTCTATGGTGAACACAGTTCTTGACACTACTCTTTTTAGGCCACATAATATCATCAGTTTTTTAAATAGAAAGTTCAGAAAAGCCCTTACAAAAATTTAGAAAACAGAAATTAACAACTCAAAAAAAGTTATATATACAACTATAAAAGTCTCATTCCATAAACCATGTGTAGATGTCATTAAAATATAGTTTTACAAATCTTAAATCCAGTGTCACTTCTTGTGTTTGTTCTGTCAGGTGTTTGTTGTCTGATTTGTACTGCTTCAAAGTGCCAATCTTATCTTTACCAAAGAAAAACACATAAGAAAAAAATTTGACTGTAATCTAAATTGTCATAATTTTTTAGTTGGTGCAATTTTTTTTTATATCTCAGATGTTTTTGTTTGTATATTTAATTGGTTTTCAGTTAATGATTATGTTATTACATCAAGATCTAGATGGTGATGTACAGTACAGTTCAGTTGGTGCTCAGTGATGGCTACCAATTGAATGCTTTCAATATGCCATTTAGTAAAATTGTTATAAAAAAATTTTAATTTGCCTAAATTTGAGCTTTTGTTATTCTGGATAACATTTTGATTAAAAATTATCTGTTTCAATATAATTTTATTAGTTATGTGCCTGATTGTTAAAAATGTATATCTGCGGATATGGATCATTGGTGTCTAGATCCACGGATACGGATACGGATCTCAACTTTCGTACTCAGTCGGCACCGGTGCTTATGACCTTGGACCGATAGTTGATGTTTTGCGTTAATAACGCGACGTGTTTTGACTTGCACTGCGAGCGTTTTTGTTTATAGCAGGGCTGTGGAGTTGGAGTCGTGAGTTTTGGTGTTTTAGCCGGAGTTGGAGTCGTCAAAAAATGCGCTGACTCCGACTCCTTTTTACTTACCAACTTGTTATTTATATAAAATGGAAAAGTATTGGAATCGTGTCAAATTTGACCCTCCAAGTTTTTTTTCTTTGCAAATCTACACGTTTGGAGACCTTCCGACCCCTCAAAAAAGTCAATAAAGGGGGAAAATTCATGCGCATGTGTGTGCTGGCATCTAATTTGTTTAATTTCTTTATTTTCTGTTTTGAGATATTAAACAATATCTTAGAATGGGTAAAGTTTAAGAAACGAAATGTGGCACTGTGGCTCGCGTGTAACGGGGCATTAATACTATTAAATTTTGGTTCTTAATTAAAGGTCGACGGGGTGAAGACATAAAAGTGGTCATGTATCATATCTCTTAATGAATATTTTACTCGTTATTAGTGTTCAAAATTTTAAAAAATAAAATAAAATTCGTCTCTACCCTCAAAGTAAGCTTTTTTGCCATTTTATAATACAGTAGTACAGTAAAACCCGTTAAGATGTTCTCACCTAAGACGTTAGAATGTATATGGGGACACGATTTAGTTCAACCACTTTGACGCTTAATAATTAACTCCTGTGTTAAACCATCTGACTCCGATTCCAACCACTCTGACCACAGAAATTATTAGGCTTCAAACAGGGTGAACAAAATCGTTCCTCGCCACATGCAGTCTAACATCCACACATATAGAAAAAACCTTGAATCTTTTGCATATCTCGAAATTTCAAGGTGTCCTGAGTCCAAAAATGTAAAAATTTGGGAGGGGTCATTTTTTGACAGAGCGCTACACTTTCCTTTTGTTATATAGCCTATAACAGTAGAAAAGTAAAAATTATCGAATACATATTTATATATTACTTAGAGAAGTCTTTTAGCTTTGGAATAAAAAGTTTCTATGCTCTATCTTTTTCTATTTATTGAATCTTTTATTCTGAGGTCACGTGATGACATCAGAATTTCTGCATCTCTTTCGGTAACAAGTCCGCCCCTAGTCGGAGTCGGATGGTAAGGAAAAGTCAGAGTTGGAGTTGGACTCCACAGCCCTGGTTTATAGTTTAGTGTGACACAGGATAGCATAGATTACGTTTCTGTTTTTGGAGAGTGTTGAGTTAAAATAGAAACAATGTCGAAAAAAAAGTTTAGTAGTGTAATATGGAAATATTTTACGATAGTAAATGAATTTTGCATGATAAAATTTTTGCAATATGAATGTGCCAAATATGTGATTTTAAGAAATAAAAAGTGATTTGAATTGAAATTATTAGTATTTTATTGCTACCTATCTTTAAAATTTCATATAAGTAATGAAATTCATTAAGATAAAAGATCTGTTAAAGATACGCTAAAAAGTAACGGATATGGATGTGGATTTTTTTTTCCCCTCGGATATCCATGGATATGGATACGGATATGGATACAGATATCTGGCACATCACTAAATTTTATCCTTACAAGCATAAAATTAAGCGATTTAAAAGTAAAATAGCCTTATAGGGAACTCTATGCACTTTGACATATCTATTTGGAAGTTTCATCATAACAAGAGAGGCTTAAATTTAAAATTTGACCTCTCTAGTCCAAGTAGTTTTTCTCTAAGAGTATCTGAAGTGGCAGATGAAGAACAAGAAAACACAGCTTTTTTGATGGTTTGTGTATATTTTGATTACTTATAATTTGGCAAGCCTCTATAGAAAAATCCTGATATTTTGCATATTACTAAGAAAACAATTATCTTTCGAACAAGATAGAATTACTATAGGTGTTTGGGGGTGGAGAAATTAACCTCTGAAAATCAGCAACTCTGATTCCTTTATATATAGTCAGCCAGTGACTTTTTACTTGGTGAGGAGTCAATGCAATGACTCTTGATCAGGTATTTTCCACATCTTTATTTAAAGTTATGATTTGATTTATACAATATAATATCTTTATAATTTAACAGATATCATTTAACAAATTTTAAATTTATTATCATAATTTAAAATCTGCCCAATAGGTTGTTTTTTCTTAACTTATGTGATACATTCTTAGAAATATGTTAAACTCATTTACAAAAGTATACATTTTTATGAAATGATTTTTATAAACTTTGTTGCCAAAAATTTAAGTTAAATAGTTTATGATGATAAAGTTCTTTAAGTATTCTCTCTGCAGTTTATTCTATATCCATTAATCATAAGTAAACTGATGTTTTCCTATCTTCAGATTTTTTTCTATATAACCTTGTAAATAAACTTATTGCTTGTTTATATTGTTTGCAGTTAAAAATATTATTTATTATGATAACATATATACCTATAAATTGCTTGATCTAATTAACTTGTTCTTTTTACTGTTTTATAACAGAGTATTCTTAGTGTTTTTACTGATAATAGTGTCTTCATTACGTATATATTGTATATCTATATTCACTTATTAGAGTTTATCATATGTCAATATTTATATGTAATGAATATTGACATATGATAAACTCTAATAAGTGAATATATTGTATATCTATATTCACTTATTAGAGTTTATCATATGTCAATATTTATATGTAATGAATACAGAATCTGTTGGATACAGTTGTTTTATAAGGGTTGTTTTTTAAATTTTCAGCTGTTAAATGGGATTACTGAAACCATTTCAATAATTCTATTTATTAGCTAAAGGAATCAGCTGTAATAGATTAATTTAAGTTCTTGTTAATATTGTACACATGTTTTTGGAATAGGAATTTAATGTTGAAATTAAATCAACCTACCTACACAAAAGCCAAGAATCCAGTAAAAATTTCACTTATGTGAACATTTTCATCCATATTTCATTGGACATCATCAGGCTGTAGAATTGGAAAATAGAGCTGCACTGTTTGAATATTCAAATATAATGTCATTCATTGATTGGTGGATGTGTTTTTGATCTGGATGGTTGCTAGTTGAGACATTTCCCATATACTGGCTTGGAGGAGACATTATCCATATGTACCCATGGTTTATAGGTGGTGG